CATAAAAATTCATGAAGCAATCTTGTCCATCCAAGTTCAAGCCAACCAATCTTCTCCCATACATGTTCAATGGCTGTCCTGTGACACTCTTCAATGGTGGGCCATTTCCATTTAATGGAAGCAATGGCCATTGTTCACCAAAGTCTGGCGGACAGCAATGGGCAGATGCTCCTGAATCAAATAGAATCCACGGGGTGGAATCCTCGACTGCTGAAATCAACTGTTCATGCAAGAATGTGTCAACAAACTTCGAATTCAAGTGATCCAAGCCGCAGTCCTTCAAGGTGGTCACGAAATGAAAAGAATCCTTCACTGGGGTTGGTTCATCATACCAATCTAACAAGTCTTGTCCGGGAACAGGGGCAATCAATCCGGCACTCAAACATGGCATGCTATCCAATCCAGTGTCCAAGCAATACATCGACTTAAACAATCTTTCATGCTCTCCAAATGTCATCCAACTTTCACCTTCACCCTCAGACGGACTGCCACGAGTGGCAGGAATCTGAAAGGATGATCCTGAGGTGACCGAATTCATGACAAGTGCAGCAATCAAAAATGATGAGGCCTTTGGCTTGGCCTTTGGCCGAATGGGAGTTGAGCCAATGTTTGGACTCAATCCCGGCGGCACCTGTGTCACTGCTCCAATGGTTCCTTGCTGTGAATCTCCTGCTGGGGGTGGTCCTGCCGATGAAAACGCGGCAGAATCGCATCCAGCAGGAGGCTCTGGAATCTGACTGTCCTGAAACCAATCCCAAGGGTGGTCCCAAGAGTTCACAGAATCCCATGATCCCCAAGACGAATCCCAGGACCAATCTTCTCCTTCATCCCAACTCAATCCAGCAATGTCCCATGAGCCATCAGGCCACGACGAATCAGGCCAGGGCTCTTCGGACCATTCTTCATTCCAATCTTCCTCAATCACTCCGCTCACAGCTCTCTGCGGACATGTTCTGGAAATGTGGCCGCGAGAGCCGCAAATCCAGCAGGTTGCAATCGACCCTTTTCCTTTTCCTTTGGAATCCTTTCCTTTTCCTTTTGGGTCCTTTCCTTTGCCTTTGCCTTTGAAATCCTTTCCTTTTCCTTTTCCTTTGCTGAATGCTCCTTTGTTGTATGACCAATGTGGTCCTTTGGCTCCTTTGAATCCTTTGAATCCTTTGCCTTTGCCTTTTCCTTTGAATCCTTTCAGCGCCCCAATGTCCATGGGTGCTGGTCCTTGGTTGTCATTCCCCGGCATGTTCCTAAGAATGTGCCTGGAATGGTGGTACTGCACAATCACGTTTCGTGTTTGTTCATAGGTCAACAATGCCGAAGCATTGAGCCTCAAATGCTGTTGCAATGGGCCTGTTGTCTTGTTCAAGAGGGTAGCCACCAGAATGCTATCAGGAATGGCTTGGCCGGTTTGAGATTCATATCTGGCCTTAATGGTCTCCCAGGTGTTGAAATCTTGTTCAAATGTATTGGAGTGAAACTTGAATTCCAAAATCTGGCTAAGTAAACTCATGTGCCGTGTTGCGTCCGGCAATGCAAATTTGGAATACAATCTCCTCCAGGTTTCATAACCATTGCAGCCAATGTTCTGCCTGACTACCAGCCTTGCTGAATCACTGCACAAATTTGCTAACAAATAATGCAGCCTTCGGGAATTCTGAATCCTTCTGTCTGTGGCATCCTGGTTACCCGCTACATTCAAATGCGCGTCCTCAATGGGTGTGTCTGCGTTGGCCTCAATGCGGTCCATAATCGTTGTTGAATCTGGCAGGAACATGCTCAAATATGTCCTGAAATCCCAGCTCCAATCTTCCCAGTCCTCTGGCTTGCCAGTGAATTTCCCTGCATGGGAAGTCTTAGCTTTCCTGCAAAATCCTCATCTTGTCCGAGTGCCATGGCAGCTCTCAGAATCAGGTTTCCCTAAGGTCTCCTGAATCTTCGAGCTCCGCTACCATGGGAAAATCAGAGACTAATCTCTGCTAATCAACCAAGGCAGCAAATGCACCTTTGTCATCTTGAGCCATGCAATGGTAATCAGTATGAATTACATCCAAGTGGGAATGCATGGTGTACTTTCGCATGACCAACCAACCAACCAACCAACCAACCAACCAACCAACCAACCAACCAACCAACCAACCAAGCCCAACACTCACCCCAAACTAGCCCCGATCAACCCTGAACTGCCATCAAACCAAAGCCAATAGACAGCTCGCGTCCGAGTGAGGCCAGTAATGCTGGCGATGCGCTATCCCGAGCATCAAGTCATGCCCCATACGCAGCCGTGACAAGAAACCGGAAATGCTGGGCATGCTGGGGATGCGGCCGCCCAGCTGACCAACCAACCAACCAACCAACCAACCAACCAACCAACCAACCAACCAACCAACCAACCAACCAACCAACCAACCAACCAACCAACCAACCAACCAGTCTCCGAGCCTAGTAAAAAAAAAACACCGGTTCCTAGAAGTCAGTCACCATCAAAACCTGGAAGTCCCTCGAGATCGAAAGGGGGTCATCAAAAACTGATCGGTGTTCAGCTTCCCACTGCTTGGTTGGCTGGCGCTTGGGTGGTGTCCCATTGACCCTCTGGAACTATAAGGGTATCCAAATCCAAACCACCCATCCAAGCCACCAATTCAGGCATCATCAAAACCGACTGTGGACGAAATCCTGCACCACCTCAGGAACCTGGAATGAGTCGATTCCCATGTAAATGCCAACAAACAATGGTTTCCCTATGGTTTCTTAGGTGGTGCGAAATGGATTTCGCAGCCATCCACAGGATTGCTTGTAAAATGGTCCACCCAGAACCATTTTATAAGAGTTCCCAAAGGCGGAGAAGGCACCGTGTCGATGCTTCTTTGATTGCCCCAACTTTGATTCTGGCTCAGGGGATCCAAGGGCTTTGATATTCACAGCCCGGATAAGTCCTCATTTCATGAGTGGATTGGATCCAAAGCGAACCAAACTTGTTGTTTACCCCCCAAAATGGTCCAGAGTCACCCAGGAGACGATCAAGTGAGGAAGCAACGCGGGAAGTGAGGGGTAAAGCATTGGGACCCTTCTTTGGGGCCCATGTTTAGAGAGGCTGAAGTCAGTGACAAAAGCTGAGAGGAAAATGAAAGGGAAAAAACCAAAAGGCCAAGAAAGATGAGCATTTGGTCTAGGGTTTGACTGGGCCGCAGCCCACGCGGTTCCCCTCTGTTTGAAGCCACCGGGAAGAAGGGGACACCAAGCACAAGAGAGAGAGAGGTGTGGCATGGAAGCAACACATCTAGGTCCTCCAGATTTGAGAGGTAAGAATAAGGGTACCCTTTTTGATGTAGTCTATTTTAGTCGGGGAACCCAAAACCCCCCCAAAAAAAATGGTTAAAAAGGGCACCTGGCTGGGGCACCTAGACATGCAAGCACAAACGCTTGCAAACTGTCGAGAGGCTGGCAAGCTCCACTTCATCAGCTCATAGGGCAACGAAAAGAGTGTCCTTTGAATGCTGACCGTCACCCCAGATACACCAACCCAGGTTATTTTGATAGGGGGGCGCTTTTCCCTGGGTGCAGATGCTTGAAGTCCCTAGGAAGCTGACTGTTGGGCGGGAACCTTTTGACGGATTGCAGGGCGTCTTGAAATGGATCCAACGAAAAACCCCACACTTTTAGAGGGGACCACGCGTTCTGGTCGCTTCCTCTCCTGCAAATTGGAACCCGAACTTGCCATCATTTGCAGGAACTCCTCGCTGTGGAATTGCCCCCTTTCGGCGCAACGCAGACCTCCTGGGGTTCAAAATGTGTGGAATCAGAAACCACTTTTGAAGGGCCCCCCCTATTAATAAACTGGGGTTGATAGATATGGGGTTACAATTTTCCAATGCCGGCCTCAGTTCGACAGTTACGAGGGATCCCTGCAGAAACAGGGATCCTTAGATTATACACCTGAACATTGCCTTGTTTTCTTGTGGTTTCAGTGGTTTCCCTTCATGTTGGTAGAAAAAGCCAGGTTTCAAATGGTTGCAAAATGTATCTGTTAAGGAGCTCTGAGAAAGTGTCCACTTGCCCAGGAAAAAGGACGCCCCAATCTGGCGCAAAGAGGTCAGCGAGTTTCGCTCCGGACCACGAGGCAACCTTTTTTTTCCTTTGAGAACACCCTTTCTTTGGGCGGCTTCAAAAGGAAAACCCATGGGAACCACTTCACTTTGGAGGCCCCCCCACAGAAAGGGCCGCCAGCTGCTGCCAACCGCCAACCCACTTTTGTGGTCTCAAAGTTCAAAGCCAAAAGGAAAACCGCAATTTTGCCACGGCCCCCTTAAATATATATATATATATATAACTGTAAGTATATATATATAACTTTCAATTCTATGGGGGGTGCCAAAAGGAAAACCAAAGGGAAACCACCAGGAGGGGGTGCCCCCAAAGAAAAGACACAAGCATCTTCCAACTAGCTCCCCTCCCCTCCCCTCCCCTCCCCTCCCCCCCGAACGATGGACAGTTAGAGTTTGTTCTGCAACCTCTTTCGTTGAGGGTATTTTGTGTTCAGGGTTGGAGTTTGCAAAATAGACTGTAACTCACTTCCGATCGAGTGGATTGGATCCAAAAAAAGTAGCCAGGACATCCAAGTTTGCCACAAAAATGGTCTCATCAAGTCCATGAACAAAACGGGAGTGAGATCCACTTTGTATCCAACTTGCTGCTGCGCTAGGTAGGGAATGACCGAGTCCGGGTTTTTTGGAATGCATCGGTTTTGGGGATTCCCTTCAAGGAAGCCATAAGGGGATGGTTTATAATTGCAGGGGTCATTCCGCTTCTCATCCCCCATCGAACCAGCCAGAAAAGGGTACTTCGTACCCTCATGGTTTCCTTTAAGGCAATGGGAGTGAGGGAGTGAGTTCGTAAATAGTGGTCCAAAAAGTGATGAACCCCGAAAAGGGGGGACACCAACCAGGACACCACCCCCCCCCAACCCCCCGCCCCCGCCGGCCGGTCCCACCGCTTTCCGCGCGAGGCACGTAGCCGACTCTGAGCTCCACCGGCGACGCCGGCGGCGAAGCCGCGGCCGAAGCGACGCCGAAGAGGTGGAGCCGCGTCAGCCGGCGCCGCACCTTGGGGGAATGAGCAGCTGTAAACCAGTTTCCACCTTTCCAAAACAAAAAAAAAACTAAACTAAAAATAAAGATGGAATTCACCAACCATCTTGTTGGGATGCAATAACCCTTCTTTCCTCCATTTACTGGACTATCTGGAAAAGAACAACACAACAACAACATGGTCAGCAAACAGGGTGCCCGCCAAGAGAGGCCTACCGGCTTACCTGGAGCCTCACACTAGCCATGAATAAGCGAACTCACTTAATCATAAGTTTGGGTTGCAAAAACATCTTCAAGGAAATGTTGAAGGTCCAGGAACCCTGTTCCTCCATTTGCCCAAGTGCCCTGACTACCTGTTTCACTTGAAAGAAAATTCCCTCGGCACCGAAGAATTGATTTCCCGCGAAACCCGCTCCGCTTTCCACATGCCCAATGCTGAGCACATCATCCCGAAGGAGGCATCCAAGATCACCTTTCGAGGACACTAGAAACGGGATCCCCAAAAAAAAAACCGAACCGCAGGGTCATTTCGATCGGGCGATCGAATGGATGGCAAGTGGAGTTGTGCTTCGGTAAATAAAACGTGCAAACTAAACTCCAACCCCAAAAGCCAGGCAATCAATGCAGCCAGATTTTGTGGGCGTGGCCTTGTTTTTTCAGGGGGCCTCCTAAAAATGGTTGTTTTCCCGGGCCCCCCCCCAAAAAAAAAACACAAAAACAACAAAACACGAGACAAACCCCTGTCGAGCTTTGTGTGCATCGAGCGGCAGGGGGAAAGCCATCCTCCGGCAGATCTTCCACCACGACCTCCTCCGGGCGCACGCAGAGGTCGCTTTGAGGCGACGGCGAGTGCTTCCGCAGAAGGTCCCCAGCCAGATGCATCGCAAAGAGCGTCCTGAATTGACGAATGGGAACTGCTAAAACCACTTTTGGGGTTCATTGTATGGTGTCAACTAGGTCCTCCAGATTTGAGAGGTTAGAATAAGTTGGTACTACCAACTGGTACCAACTTTGTTCCGTTTTGTTTTTTTTAGTAGGGGGCCCGAAACCCCCCAAAAAAAAGGTAAAAGGGCACTACTGGGGACCTAGAATGGGAGCCCCAGGTTAAGAAGACCCCTGCCAGCACCGCCCGAGTGCTGCCAAATTGGCGTCACTTAGGGGTAAAACACAAACAACGTTACTTTTTGGCTAAGTGATGCTTTGCCGAATTTTCGCAAACCCCCTCAAATCGGACGGATATACGAGGGCAGGGGCGGGGCAAAAAGGCAGTGTGACCAAAATCAGCACGCTGTGCGCCAACCCCAGCAGAAAACCTGCTCATGACCCTTACAGCAAACGGCCATGCAAATCTCCATCGCTCGTCACGAGCATGTCACAACAGGTCGCTTGCTCGGCCTGCGCGTCGCTTGCGCGTCGCCTCGAGTCGCTTGCGTTTTGCTCCGTGTCACTGGGGTGTCGCTTGCGTGTCGCCTGCGCGTCGCCCCGTGTCGCTTGCGTGTCGCCCGGTGTCGCTTGCGTGTCGCCCCGTGCCGCTTGCGTGTCGCTTGCGTGTCGCTTGCGTGTTGCCCTGTGTCACGCTGAGTGAAAGTGCTGCTTTGGGCCCCCAAGGCAGGACATTTTAGCCCGCAAAGCATCACTTCGGCTGCAAAAGCGTGTCGCTTGCGTGTCGCTTGCGTGTCGCTTGCGTGTCGCCTGCGTGTCGCCTGCGTGTCACGTGCGTTTCGGCCAGCGTCGCTCGCGCGCCGCCGCTCGTTTCGCCTCGTGTCGCTTGCGTGTCACCCTGTGTTGCCTGCGTATTGCCCCGTGTCGCCCCGCGTTGCCCCATGCTGTTTTTTGCTAAAGATTTTCAGAAGCCTTTGCTAGAAATTTTGTCCAGATCTAGGCTCACAGTGGGTGGCAAATATGCAGACAGTTCTTATGGCCGCTGAGCTTGGAAAACGCTTAGCAGACTCAGCTGCCATGAATGGGCTGAGAATGGTCTCCAAACTGGTGGGTTATAGACCTGAAGTGCTGCCGATTGCATTTTTTCACAAGTGCCTTCAAATTGGCGGCACTTTCACAAAATTGAGAACAACGGTCGTTGGGTGGTCCTGGTGCTTGAGTATTCGTGGGGTTGTCCCTTTTTAGTGGAGGTTGAAGACCACTTTTGGAAGGAATACCCCCCCATTAGTAGGGTGTTTTTATTTATTTGGGGCTGTCCGTTTTCTAATATCCTGCTAAAAGTGATTAACTTGTGGGTTAAATGGACACCCAACTACTACACCCTATAAAGCTAAAAACCTGAGGAGATGGCTGGGAACCACCAAGTAAACCCGCCGAAATTTGGTCCGCTAACAAAATGAGAAGAACATGTCCAGTAGTGAAGCCCATTCCCTTTGAAACAAACCTAAACAACATGCTGCCCTCTTTGCCCAGTTTGGACATGGAAATCAAAGGCGATTTTCTTGCTGGTGTGATAGGCAAGAAATGAGGGAATGAACCTGGGGATCCCCGAGCAAAGAAACCACAAGTTCGGTCTTGATTAACTAAATCCTTGAAGCCACTATTTGGAGGGTAAGCGTGAGAAAGCACATTTGAATTCCCCCAGAATCGATCCTTTTTCTGTGGGTTATAAAGGGTGGTATGACCAGTACTCAGACGGTGAAACACTGGTTCTGAGGCAGCAAGTGTGACAGGAATGGAGCATGCAAACCGGCTGCACATGCAAGGGTGTGCAAAACCAACCTGAATACTACTCTGTGCGGGAAAAGGTTTCGATTTGCGAATATTCAAGAAATTCGGATTGTGCCATCTTTCGATCAGATGCACACGCCCAAAAACACATAGAAGCCGACAAAAGCTAACTTTCCGAGTGGGTCTTCCAAACAGGTCCGACTTTTTGTTGTGCACTAAAATTGCCCAAACCAAAAAGTACAAAGTCTAAAACGGAACTCGGGAACTGCAGTGACAGGAGACTACATGTTTTTTTGGGGAAGCCCGATGTACCCGACAGCTGGTTCATTGGAAGCTGACAAGTTGCTCGTTTGCTCAGTGGGTAAATGGCCATCAACTTCCTAAACTATCTATCATCTCAGTTGCCCAAAGGACCTGAAACTAAAAGGTCAACCTTTTGGAACCTTGACTAAAAAATGTTAACCTGGGAAGAAGATTAGGTCATTTCAGGCCGACTGGCTGTTGCAACTGAGTCATGTGCCTACGCAGCAGCCTTCCACCCCGACCAGCTTTTGGCTCGCTTCCGAGCGAGTGGCTTGGATCCCGAGAAAAAATCGCTACTACTACTGTGGATGGTTGTGAAATCCATTTCGCACCACTTTGAAACCATGCAAAACCTATATGTTTGCTGGTATTTACAGGGGAATCATCATTTCAGGGCTTTTGAGGTGGTGCAGGATTTCGTCCATCCACAGTAGGTCCTCCAGTAGCGAGGTTAGACCAAGGTTCCCCTTTTTGTTCTGTTGTCTATTTTAGTAGGCAAAAACCACAAAAAAGGGTAACAGGGCACTACTGGGAGACCTAGCTAAAGATCAAAGGAATCGACCATGCAAAACCACCGCCATTTGGTGGTCGCCAGGGCACGAGTAGACCACGTCTGGCCCAGCGCAGTCGAACTCGCAACGAGCCTCGCTCAAAATCTGAAGCTTGATGCTCTCGGCGAGGGCCAAGGCCGGCGCTACTTCGCGGCCTGAGATGTCTTTTTAGTTGCAAAGGGGCCAAAGGGGATGTGTTTTTTGGTTGAAACGAAACCAGCTCATTTCGAAGCTGATTTTATTAGGATTGTATTTTGTCTCACTATTACCACGTCTGTGATTACAAGATCTGACTAGAGAACGTGTATTCAATTACGATACAAGGATATTTTTCATATGTTAGGGCAGGCTACATGTAGAATCGAGTCAGAAAAACTGATTTGTTCTGTGCCCCAAATTGGGGCCAAGATCCTAGCCCTGTCTCCCCAGCCCCCCGCCCGCCCACAAATGAGGGTGAGTTCCCACAAAGGGAAAAATGGGACCATAAATGAAATTCCAAGGGTCGCGGGTGCTTCTTCCCAGCAACCCTGCCTAAGTGGCTCAACAATGAAGAGCAATCTGCAACCCCGCCCCACTCCTGCAAGTCTTTCCGTTGTAACCACATACTGTTGACTGTTTCTGGGGCTAATTAGAGTCAGAAAATGTGGTTGTTTCCCTTTAACCTACCACTCGAGGGTGACTTTGATGATGGTGAAACAATGGGGCCAGACAGGACCTGAAAATGAGAGAGCAACCAAAACACACACCAAGAACAGTTGAGAAAAATGGCGCTTAACAAAGACAACAACACATTGACATGCACTACTGAAATTATTAGGGGCACCCTTTGGGTTTGAAGGACAGCATCGAAGCAAAGTGCCAAATCTGTGCCGAAGCAACACCCCGTGGCTGCAGTATCGCAAGTCCTGCGAGGCTACTGCAAAACAAGTGACAAAAGCATACGAAAGCCCGAACCAGAGCGTATGACGACGTCCGATCTGTCCCAAATGCAGCCCTGCGGCTGTCCGTGCTGAAGGGAAGCTGCCATTTGCGACCTGGCAGACCGGTCCTCTCGGAGAAGGGCCCCATGCGCCACAAAACGCTCCATGCAGCGCACGTGTTTCCCTTCAATCAGCAAGTGTTGTATGACCACTATGCGTTGGACATGAATTCGAATTTTCAGAATGAATTGCTCGGTGCTTCCTCGCTTCGGAAACCATGATTCGGAAACTACGAGCTTGGTTTGGAAGCCACACAATTGTTTGCGAAACATCGCCGGAAAGAATTGGACAATTGATTGAATGGCCAAAACACACATGCAAGGATCGAGTCTCCAATCTTGTAGTCTTCCCAGGGTTCCATCTCAACAGTTTTGAGGTGAGGAGAACGTCTCGCACGCTCAGAGGCCAAATCGATTGAACAAATTTGCCCCAAAAGCAATGCTCAAACCACATAAAAAGGGGACCTGTACCCGGTCGCAACGCGTTACTTTGGTAGAACGAGACTTGGAGCCCTTTGTGGTTGGCTGAGCATTTGTGAAAGAGGGGGTGGGAACAAAGGACTGGGTTGACCAGTTGGTTGACCAGCTTTTGTTGCTTGGACAAAGGCTTGGGTAAGGCATCTAGCCTCGACGCATCGCAGGCAACAGGCGCCATGCGCGCATGGCATAAGAGGATCTCAAACCGCGAGTGGTCTTTCCAACCGTTGGTAAATGGTATCAACCGGTATCAACAGAAGAACGTGGTACGAACTTTGCTTTTTTGAGAACCCCCGCCCAAAAAATAAACAGAAACAAAAAACAACAAATCTAAAAACATGCCAACAACAGGGAAGTGGTTAATTATAACAAACCAGCTACCGGAACATCTGCAGGACATATGGGCTTAAAACAGGGCCCCCCCCCCCACTTTCCCACCATTTTCCCTATAGAACCAACCAACAAAAGGTTCCTTCAAAAAAACAAGTGTTTTCTTGGTAGATTCCTGTTGGTGCTTTTTGCTTTCTGGGTTAACTACCCTGAAAGTGGCCAGAACGTAAATATCAATCATTCGGGCCCGTGTATGACTTGGCAGTCTGTGGTGCGCAAAAAATGATGCTTTGTGGACTCTGCCCAACCAAGCTCTGGGGTGAAAGGTTCCGGAGGGTTGCTGTGGGGATATCACCCGGGCTTTAGTTTGGCCCGCACCAACATATATACCTTTTTAAGAAGAGACAGGTTGGTGACCAAACCAGTCCCCGGAATTATTTTAGTGTAACATGCTGAAGGGATGCACTCTAGCGGGCTACTAGCTGACTAGTGCTTAGTTTGTTGGCTGCTTGTAACATGGCAATCCACTGCTCATTGGTTCACTCCGAAGCAACGGCCAGCAATGGAAGCGCAGCACAGGACATTGATGATGCCAGCAAACTCAAGAACACTCGCATTCAAGCAATGCAAGAATTGGCTAGAACGTATTTGGGTGTACGGTTGCGTGTGTACGGTCGTTTCTTGGGCACCCCGGACGTGTCTTAGCGGCTGACATGCTTCGTCTTGCCCTGCAGTAGCCAACCTCATGCCAGACTGTTCGCTGTGCTGATCCGTCACCAAATGCCAAGTGCCTTCAACTGATCTAGTTGCCGCTTGCGGCTAACCAACGCGATGCGGGACATGCGGCCACTGGGACCTCTGCCAGTCGCTTTCTCTGGGTTATCCTCAGGGACCAGGGGTTCAAGTCCCCAAACCAATCCAAGCCACCAGTTCAACCTAATCCACAATTGCAAAGCCACAAATGTTCACCAGGGCCCCTCCCCATTCGCAACTCAAGGGACAAATCTGGCGAATTTGGACAGCCCTAGCAGGCGGGATGGGGTCGCTGTGGGTGAGGTGGCGTACCAATCAAACTCTATGGTTCCATTCAGAATTGCCCGGGCGTCTCGTTTCAAACTCCCGTGAGTTCAACACATTCCTGAAAGGTCGAGTGAGGTCAAGTGAAAAAAACCTGGCCCTGCAAACCACAAGAACCTTGCGGAAAGGTGACAAGAGTGACACCAGCTTGCCAAAAGTCGTGGGCACGCCATGAGAATTTCTGAGAAACAGCGCCGAGCCGCCTGCCTCTCTCTCTCTCTCCTTCTTTCTTTCTTTCTTTCTTTTTCTTTCTTTCTTTCTTTGTTTCTTTCTTTTCTTTCTTTCTTTCTGGTCTTTCTTTCAGTCTTTCTTTCTTTCTTTCTTTCTTTCTTTCTTTCTTTCTTTCTTTCTTTCTCTCGCTCTCTCTCTCTCTCTATCTTGGCGTGAAGCCCTTCTGACCCTGCGCCGCGTTGCCCAAAGCGAGTCTCCCAAAGGCTTTTGTAGGGAAGTATCGAAGGCTGAGCTCTGAGCTCTCCCCCTCCCTCTCCCTCTCTGCGCTTCGGACCGTCCCGCTGGATTTTGTCGACCGGGAGGTGTGCGGTTCTTACCCCGCACATGCGTGAAAGAGTCACCAGGTGTCTTTTCCGAACCAGCGGTTCCATACCCCCAGGAGGAAACTTGCAGTCTTTTTGTTCTGGCATACCTCCATGAGTCAAGATGGGTTCAAATAAGATTGGCTTCCAAACCTCCGAGAGGAAACCGATCTCTCGCTTCTCGGGCGGTTAAAAGAACCACCCTGGCCAAACGCCAGCTTTGAAATGCGACCGCAGCGCGCGTTTGCGCGCGCAAGCCGCGCTGGATCTTCAATAGGCGGCATGAGCAAGAACAGCTAGTAATTTATGCATCCTGGTTTTCTGTTGCTGCTCCTGTTGAACAACCTGTCAGGACGGTGTGGACGAGGTTCCTTTTGAGGCTGCAGTTGTTTTAGTTTTTTTCGGGGGCAAGAGCAAGCATCGTCTTGATTGAAGGTGCGATTTTTTTCGGTCAGCCCCGTGTCAATGCCACAGAAACTTTGAGATGGCTCAACAAGATGCTGGGTGTTCGGTGGATCTTTCGGCCCTTTTGCTTGGGGAAATATCGGAACGTTCAATTCAGTCGAAAGGAACAAGACTCAACCCGCCCAGCAGGTCCAATAAGGTCAAACCACTTGAACTACAATGTTGACCATTGTAAGCCCAGTAAGCCACTGCCTGATTCATAACTGCCCCTTTGCGGTGGTTGGCTCGGTTCCGGCACATTTCCCGTAACAGGCACAGGATTTGCAAAAAAAAAGTACGTCCCAGAATCCCCGCATCGCAAGATCTGTCAACTAAACCGGCAAGCGGGGATGTCAACACAGCCAACAATGCTGGCCATGGATTTTAACAGGCAACCACCTCAAAGTGGCTGGTGGGCCTGAATCCGCACCTAAATGATGTCCACCGAAGGGTCTGTAGCTGAATTCACACCCTATAGGTATACTCATTGTGGCACTACGCCTCCACCGGCCGCCGGAAGTGTGAAACTCACATCCGAGTTAAATGGCACACTGCCGCGCACCGCGCAGGCGCGCAAAGGCGCACAGCAGACGCACAGGACAGGCGCAGTTCTTTCAAGCATGCGCAACTGGCAAGGCGCGATTTCACCTTTACCCGGGCGCCATGTCACATCTTGTTCGAGAGGAGCCCCATTTGGGATCATGTTGGTTGCTTTTTATCGGGAAAGCGACGGGCAAGCTATCGTTTTGCTGGCAAACCCCTTCTAGGTCCTCCAATAGAAAGGTTAGAATAAGCGTACCCTTCTTTCTGTAGTCTATTTTACTAGGGAACCCTCCCAACCAAAAAGGGGTGAGAAACGGCACCTAGCAGGGGGACCTACCCTTGAGACAAACTCATACGTCGATCAACATGTTTGGTATACCTCACCGGTCCCAAGCATGGGAGCCAAGCCGGAATCTCCGCCTTGTGCGGGAGATCGGTGCCTTTTCAGCATCCAGGCCGGACGTTAAATCCGTTCCGCCTTTGAACCACGCGCTAAACGCCTAGAGTGTATCTTTTAACACCGCTGCAACCCCGTCATACATGTGTGGTTCAGCAGTGAAGCAAGCCCCTTTTGAGTGACAATGTGCTCTCGCCTCAGCTCCCTTCCAATTGAGTGGATGAGCACAAACAAAGTCCGCACTCTTTGTTAACCACTACCCTGCCATGTCCGTACTGGTAGCTCCTTAGCTCCCTTAGCAGCAAATTTGGATACCTCTTGACCCCCTTCCAACCAACAGCCAGCAAAATGTTCTTCCCAAAAAGTCTCAAGTGCAGGAACTCGCGTGAGAGAAATGATCCTCTGCCAAGGAAAAGCTACACGTCATCTCCCCGAGGTGCAGGTCATCGGGGGATTCACGTGGAATTTGCCGCAGCGACGGTGTTGCCCTGTTCTGAAGTACATGGGTCATGACGCATGTGGTCGATCGGAAACCACAAGCAGGACCCCTTGGCAGCAATTCTGCGACCTCAAGTTACGATGTGTGACTTGCAGTTTACTCCACAACCCTCTTTTGGTTGGCTTTAAAGGCAAACCAAAAGAAAACCACCACGTTATGCTCTTGTATTTATAGTTTCTACTTTTCATTTTTTTTAAGGGGGGGGCCTGAAAAAACTCGACACACCCACATGTTGCGTTCATGTCCGCCCCGGCCAGCGGCCGGATCTCAAGACTCGCCGCTCCACCAGGACAAAGGCCGCCTAGGGAAGTGGAGCCGAATCACATGGAGCCCAAATCCGCCAACTCCATTGCCTCACTGTACGAAGTGGGCCGGCCAAACAAAAACGAACACACTTTTTGTTGACAACTAAAAATTGGCCTTCCCGGAAAAAGGAAAAAAAGTCCAAGAACTCGGGGAGTGAGATCCCTCCCTTTTAGAAGACCCCGTTTCGATTTGTCCATCCAATGATTCGGAGCCCAGCGGTTTGGAGGTCCGTCAACCAGGTGTTCAAATCCAAGCCACGGACTCAGGGGTTCAGGAGTCTCCGTTTCTGCTGGGGTTCCAGGGGTCAATTTGCAGGTAGATACCGTGGACGGCAAAAACTCTTGCGAAGTCCATGCACCACCTAAGAATCCCAGCTGAACGACTCGATCCTCCTGCTTCAGGCTTTCCTTATTGGCTAGGTCCTCCAGTAGAGAGGTTAGAATAAGGGTACCGTCTTTTTCTTGTTTGTCTATTTCAGTAAAAGAAACCCTCCCCGCAAAAAAGGTAACAGGGCACTACTGGGGGACCTTCCAACTCTGAAAATAGATGGCCTAACATGGTTGTGCCCTTGTTTGCGGGGACCCTTTGCTTTGTGGTGGTTTGCCTAAGCAGCAACCAATAAATCCTTGATGATCTGGCATGGTCCTTTCTCGCTGAGGAATCCGAGTGTCGCATGATGGTTAAGTCTATAGTCTACCTCTTCCGGAGACTCAAGGACATGACCTACCCTTCAAGGCTTCTTGCCTAAGATTCCCTCACCAGTTGATCCATTCCTTTGTCCCGACCACAAAACCAGAGTAAAGGGCGGGAAGCTAGAACATAATAGAACCTATCCCAGTTGCGTTGCTTGCTTTATATCGAGGGCATCCGTACCGGCTCCAAACCAACGCGGAACTCCAAAAGGCTTGCACCACATAGAAGCTACGCCTGCCCGTAGGTCTGTTCTGAACCAACTGGTACCTGAAGGCCGGCTTTACATCAGAGGGAAAGTAGATGGTAGAATTCCGTGGCGGGCAAGTAAACTTGACTAAGCCTAAATGGGCTATGCCATCTACTTTCACCCAACTGTAGGCCCCTGGAGCATGATCAGAACCATATCTGGTCGAGGGCAGGGTTTTGGTGGGAGGGTAGTTGTACATGAAAAGGTTGGTTAATTGTTTGGCCCCTCGATCGGACGTGAGGTAAACATGGACCCCCAAGAATGTCCTTCCGTGAAAAGGGTGGCAGTGTATCAGAACTACCCTCAGGTCCCGCTAAAAGTGACTAACTTTTGGAGGGCTAAATACGGAAACTACCAGTAAGCACTAAAAGTTGCTAACAGTTGCTGAACGGTTTTAAGTTGCCAAAAGCTGCTAAAAGGCTAGGGAACCGGATGGCTGGTTTCGCCACCAAGGTATCTCAGCTCGGATCGAATTCCTCGCGCCGCGTTCTTTCCTTTTTCAGCTCCATGGCGTCGCGCTGCGAGGGGTTCGCCGGCCCGGCCGAGCGGAACCTGAGCACGCACGCGGGACGCGGCTGACAAGAGGAGAGAGCCTGGGGAGGCCAACTAGGATCATATGAATCATAGGTGTCATGTTGTTTTTTGTGTGTGTGTTTTTCTTGTTTTTGCAACCTGACCCTGGGAAATGCAAGAAAGTCCATCTAGGGATTAGATTGTGGGTGGTTGCGAGATCCATCTCACACCATCTGAGAAAGCCTGGAATGATGCTTGCCCTGTAAATGCCAAAGAATGGCTTCGACCTGGTTTGAAAGTGGTGCAGGATGTCGTCCATCTACAGTGGGTGACCTTTCAAAAAATAACACATGGCCCGGGTAAATGCAATAAAACCAGCTAAACCAGTGGAACCTGTCTATCCTTCAACCAAACTAATCTTAAAAGGACACCTATGGCTGGGATTTGATGCAAATGGCACTGGCTTCAGTTTGGTTCCTTCTCATGCTCGAGGGCCTGCAGCTCACTTCCAAACCATGTTGGCATCATTCCTTTCACTTCTCGCAGCGAAGTCAATTCCAAACCAAAGTGCTTTCCCACACGGGCATTGTGGCATTTGAGCCTGGTGCGTCCCTTGTCTCAAAGCCTACAATGCATAAACCATATATCAACCCCTGAAGTCCGTTGCCGTTGCCTGGCCACAAGTGCTGGGGGCGTGAGGTCTCTTCTAGGTTGGCAATTCGATGTCCCCGAAAAATATTAAGGACCCAGGGCCAAATTCTTACCTACAGCGGCTGATCGTTAGCCGCCACGCTCGTTTTTCATGCGTCTCGCCAGAGCTTGTCATTGTAGACGACGGCGCGCTGGCCTGGCAGAGCAAGTGTGTCAGCGTCTGTGTGCATATCTGTTGGTGCATGTGCGCGCGTGTGCGTGTGTGTGTGTGGGGGAAAGGGCACGCTAGTCAATGCGGCCTAGCTGCCCCTAACTGCAAAGCCTAGCTTTTCCCCTGTCTGCCACGCACTTCGGTGTGAGTGCTTTCCCAGCAGAGCCCAAATGCCACATTTGGTCCTTTGGGGCATTGTGGCTGCCACGTGTGGGCAGCACAGTCAGCAAGCCTTGACGGGCTTGCTGCAGTGCTAGTGCTGGGGCGTAAAGCCCTTTGGGACCTGGGACCTGGGACCGCTCACCGCTGGTGCCCAGCTGGTCAACGGCCAATCTGTCAGGTCCGTCACCGCACATTCAACAACTGTGGCTGCCTCACAAAGTCAATCATCAAAGAGTCAAAGCCGGAAGCGCTGGCCACTGCCGCTGGGATGGAATCGGAGAGCAAGTCTGTCGCACCACTTTCCAGCACCACTCTCCGCCTCGCCGAGCGCGCGCTCGCAAGCGCTGGGACATGCTGCAGCCGCCACGCAGCTCGCCAGACATGACTGCTTCCTTGGAAGTGAAGCCCCAGTGCTTGCACCACTGGGAAACGGTGTGGTCATAGCCTTGCCTTTGATCTAATTGAGCCATGAGCATGGAGCCGTTGCACAGCTCAAAGACGGTGCAGCCAAACGACCACTGATCAACTGCCGGACTCAAGGACCTGGGAAGCTGGCTGTCGGACGCATGCCAGAGTTCCGGCGGGCGGTACGGCTCTGTTGCGTATTCCCGGAAGTTCGCTGTGGGGCTGTCCCCTGCAAGTGCTCCCCAGCGCTCTGCCAAGCCGAAGTCCGTGATCTTAAGCTCATCAGTGCCCTCGCTGTACAAGATGTTTCCGGGCTTCACATCCAAGTGCAGGATCTTCAAAGAGTGTAGCGTCTGGAGCCCCTTTCGCAGCTGAGCAGCTGCTGACCACAAAGCAAAGCCACGCAGTGGCCCGCTGCGCAAGACGTCTGCCAAGCTGGCCCCGCAGAATTGCAGAGCTATCCATGGAAAGGGGTCGCCCTTGGTGTCAAAGTTTCTAAGGGCTGGGAACCACCTGGCATCTTCAGCTGGCAGCTTTTGGAGTTGCTGGAAAACTTGGAGCTCCCTATCTGCATCTTCTTTGCCATGTTTGGATGTGAACAGCTTCACAGCATGCTTGCCGCCATGCACCGAAGTGCACAAACACACTTTGCCATAGGATCCACAGGGGGGAAACACCTGCAAGATGATGTTCTCCTGCTGCTCATGCTGGCTGCCAGCGACCAGTGAGATTGGGCCAGGGCCTGGCCCAGGCGTTGCCTGCTGCTCAGCGACGCCGCTGTCGGCACGGGATGAGCGCGGGCTCTCAGCCGCCGCGGCCATGGTTAGACCCTAGGACCTGGGACCTGGGGCCTTAGACTTCAGCGCAGCTTGGGCCTAGCTCTTTCAAAGGTGTGATGACCAAGATGCTGCGACCAAGTCTGCGCTCACAACGGCAAGCGTGCAGCAGCTTAGGCTCCAGGCGTGGCCGCGGCGAGACCCGCGTGATCACCACGCTCACACACTGCTGAGGTTAAGGCGGCGAGGCTGAGCGATCCCCCCAAGAAACCCTGAGGACATGCTGGCAAACACACAACACACACATTCACCAAAAAAATAAAAAATGTTCGAAATGACTACATAGTCTTTGCCTGTCATGGGTGTGGAACATGGGTCCCCTTTCTGTGCCAAAGAGTCATCTCAATCCATGTGGCTACTTTGTGATTTTATAGGGAGCTCCCTTGTTCTCAGAGCACATGGCCCTAAACCTCCCGGTGGCGGATGTCGTTGTTTGGTTCTAAAAAAGCCAATGAATGAAGAGCACACCTAAGACACAAAGCAAAGAAAGCAACGAAGTGCGACACACATGCAAACAACAAATGCGCACACCAACACAGCAAATAGACCTCAGCACGCAAAGGAACGTTACCAAATAAGGAAGGCAGAACACAGCACAACCAGCTGAAGCCACCACAACCACCCAATCCAATACATCCATTTGCTTAAGTCTTTTGGACCAAAACGATCTCTGGTAGCGAAATCGCCCTTTCAAATTAACAGGGGAACTTTCCAACCCTTGGTATGGTAGCGACAAACTTTGTGTTTTAGCAGCCCCCCACTAAAAATCACGTGACTCTGGTTGATGTCGACTGGGGGGGTCCCCGTGTGGGGCTTCAGACAACCTTAGGGGAAAACTCCCATATGAATCAGACGGGTTCTATTTACATGTGTTTAGAAGGGGAAATCTCCATTTGCGTTTTCACCCACTGGGCAAAATATATGTCCCTTTCAAGCCACCAGGAGAAAATCAAACAAATAATTACTCTTAAACACATGGAAGCATTGGGGTGTCTTTTTCTGGGGGTCTCCTTTTTGTTGAGTCGGTTTACAGGGAGACCAAAAGGAAGCGCCCCATTTTTCAGCTTGCATCTGAACCCGCCACATTTTATCTGAACCGCCGAACCGAAACACAACAACCAGGTCCTTCAGTAGAGGGGTTAGAATAAGGGTTCCATTTTTCTTCGGGTTTGTCTATTTTAGTAGGGGAACCTAAAGCCAAACAAAAAAGGGGAGAGAAAGGGCACCCAGCTGGGGGACCTAGTCCCGGACAAATGATCCCCAGTCTATTCATGGGTAGGGGCCCCTCCAAAAGCGGTCTGATTCCCCACATTTCACACAGACCAGTACTAAACTTCCATTTGCTTAAGACCCCTGGAACAAAACATCCAGCAATGATAAATTCCGTTTAAAACCAACAAGGGTTAAATAAAAATACTAATATTCAGTTCAGAAAATGGAGGCCAAGCAGCTGCTCATGCGTTTGTTTCACACCTTCAGAAGGAACAGTTGCACAACTCCCGTGCCACTGCCCTATGCGCCAGAGGAAGCAGAGGAAGCTACTGGGGGACCTAGAGACAAGCGCATCTCTGAGGCCCCCCGCTGCCAGAGGTGGCCGTTGTAGGAGCGCATGGCCGGCAAGCCGCGACGCTTCGCCCAGGACCGCATGGCCTCTGACGCTTTGCGGCTTGGCTCCGATCGATCCCCAGACGAAAGAGCCTCACTCCAAACGAGTGGAACGAGTGGATTGGCCGCTGACTCCAAACGAGTGGATTGGCCAAACAAGCCCTGGAACCTTTTCTTTATTTGCCACTAACAAATAATCTTTCAACCTTGCTTAAAGTCCAAGAACTCAGGAAGTCAGCGTATGTGCCATGGCCAAAACTAAACAAATGGTCTGTGCTCAGGTTGTTTTCTCACCCACAAAGTGGATGGCCCGAAAAAAATCAAAGGTTTAAAGTCAATGAACTCAGCAAGTGAGGACTGTTGGTAGGAACCAGTATGATGGTTATTCAGGCTCCTTGCAAGGTGGATGACCATCCCTGTCAACCCCAAGTAATGGGGTCTTGACCATGACACAAAAGGATGTTAATGTTAAGTGGTCAAGCGGTTGGACCCGCTGGTGGGCATTATTTAGGTAGAGATTCATCTGCACTAACCACTTTTGGTTGGTAGCTCCGACTCTTAAATTTCATAGCCGCATCGCTAAGCGAACCACACCAGGTAGCCAACATGTTCTGTGGTTGGTCTGCCCTGCTTTTCCATCAGTGGACTGGGAGTTGCCTAACCGCAAGAGGATTGCGAAATCCGTTTTCCGATTCACCAGAACCAATCAAAAATCCGCGAGCACGGCCCTGAATCCCGAATCGGGGGACGCTTAGGACCTGGTCGACATTATGGGTTGCAAAAGGTGAAAAGCTGATTCGCTTTGGTTGCAAGTGGGTTGTCCCGCTTTCAGATCCGCTCAAAGTGACCAACTTCTAGTGGGTTATATACGAAAAACCCAAGCACTAAACACTGAACACTAAAACACTAAAAAGCTCAAGCTAAAAAGTTACAAATCTAAAAAGCTAAAAAGCTAAGGGACCGAATGGCTGGGAGCCGCTTTGGTTGCAAGTGCTGGCGAAAAGCTTAGGGGGTGAGCGCCCGAGGGAAATAGGTTCTCTCTTTTCCTTTCCCTCTTCTTCTTTTGTCTGCTTGTTTTTGCGTCCAAGCCTCGCCCCGTCGAAGCCTCCCCCCTAAACTCTTCTCTGAAAGTGGGACTAGGTCCTCCAGCAGAGAGTTAGAATAAGGGTACCAACTTTTTTCTGTCGCCTATTTAGTAGGGGAACCCATAACCAACCAAAAAAGAAGGGGTGAGAAAGGGCACTACTGGGGGACCTGGCTACACAAACCGACCGCATTGAATCTCGCCTCCAGCACCTCTTCCCTGGGCGCATCGGGCGTCACCAGCCCCGCGCGCCGCAGCTGCAAGCGCACGGCTTCGTCTGAGGGGGAGGCCTCCCACATGCCTCGGATCGACGAAGAAAATGGAGTTCACTAGGGGAAGCCTCCCCACGTGCAGGGACCCTTCTCTTTTCAGGAAACCATCCAAAACGGATCATTTTCAGGAAGCCATCCAACAACCAGTGGAAACGGATCGACCAAGAAGATGGAGTCCACTACTAAGAAGCCTTGTGGCAAGATGGTGCAGATATAGGAGAAGCTAAGTAGATAGTCAGGATACCGGACACTTAGTTCTCTCCTACTATCTACCGTTTCTTTGTTTTGGAAGATAATGAAGATCCCAAAGGTTAAAACAAATCGACAAAAAATCGGGTCCACTACTCCAGGGGAAGCCTCCCCACGTCCAGGGACCCTTCTTTTTCACGAAACCATCCAAAAACCTCGGAGGGAAACGGATCTTTTTCAGGAAACCAGCAAAAACCGGGTGGGGGGGGGGGAATGTCACAAGGCACCTGTAGATATTGTTGTTCCTGCACTTGTCGTTCTAAGGTGGTGTCCCCCCCAAAAAAAATCAACAACAACAAACAGTACCCCTACCAATTGGATGATACTAGATGACGCAATTCGCCTATTTTGGCGTAGGCACATTTAATTTCCCACACCCTCCATGTGCTTCAGTCCCCTGGAAAAAGTATACGTATTTCCAGCAGTGAAGTCGATTCTCTTTAAAACCAACAGGGGAAAGTAAGACATACTGTTTTCCAAGGAAGCCAAGGGACAATAGCAAATGGAAGCCATCACGGAAACTGCGTTTTCTACTTTCATGGCTGCAGCTCATCCCACGCCGTTTGGGGACCCCGGGGGGTCCACCTCCATAGCTGGCTGTGGGGAGGCTGGCATGTTCTAGGGTCATCATGGGGGATGGGGGGGGAGGGAGGGGAGGGAGGAGGGAGCCCAAATATGCTCTAAATAAGGCCCTATTAAGGGCTTTTGGGCTCCCTCCCCCCCAGCCCCCATGTCAAGGGCTGCTTTCGGGTCGAGATTTAATTTTGTTTTTTTTGGTTTTACTTTTTTAATTTATTTTTTCCGTCCTTGCCTACTAAAATGCTGTAATTTACAGCATTTTCTCACGAAATGTACGTATTTTACACGTCCGTCAACATCATCAGCATCGTTTTCAACATCCCCCGCATGTCCAGCCAACATCGCCAGCATCACCAGCAAATTGGCTTCCCGTAAAAGTGATGATTCAATTAAAGGCGCGGGGGGGTTGGGGCGGGCGGCAGCCCCCCCCATGATGATCGAAAAAGTGATGATTCAATCAGGGGCAAAAAGTCTAAAAAATAGCGGGGGGGTGGCAGCCCCCCCCATGATGATCGAACAATTAGGGGCAAAGAATCTAAAAAGTAGCGGTCGCATGATGATCGAAAAATTGATGATTCAAATAGGGGCAAAAAGTCCAAAAAATAGCAGGGGTTGGGGGGGCAGCCCCCCCCCCCCCACGATGATTGAAAAAGTGATGATTCAATTAGAAGCAGCGGGGGGGGGCATCAGTGCCTCTGCGCCAAGGCCTCATGGTACAAGTGAGGGTTCAAATACGGGCAAACTAATCCCTGCAGATCGAAAAAGTGATGATTCAATCAGGGCACGAACAATTAGGGGAATCCAAAAAGTATGATGATCGATGATTCAATCAGGGGCAAAGTCTAAAAAATAGATGATCGAAATGGGCAAAATAGCGGCAGCCCCCCATGATGATCGAACAATTAGGGGCAAAGAATTTAAAAAGTATCGGTCGCATGATGATCCAAAAATTGATGATTCAAATAAGGGCAAAAAGTCCCCAAAACAGCGGGGGGGTTGGGGGGGGTTGCCGAGCCCCCCCCCCACGATGATTGAAAAAGTGATGATTCTAGGGCCAAACAAATATAAAAAAGCAGCGGGGGGGGGGGGGCATCAGTGCCTCTGCGCCAAGGCCTCATGGTACAAGTGAGGGTTCAAATACGGGCAAACTAACCCCTGCAGATCGAAAAAGTGATGATTCAATCAGGGGCAAAAAAGTCTAAAAAATAGCGGGGGGGTTGGGGGGGGCGGCAGGCCCCCCCACGATGATCGAACAATTAGGGGCAAAGAATCTAAAAAGTAGCGGTCGCATGATGATCGAAAAAGTGATGATTCAATCAAGGGCAAAAAGTCTAAAAAATAGCCGGGGGGTTGGGGGGGGGGCGGCAGCCCCGCCATGATGATCGAACAATTAGGGGCAAAGAATCTAAAAAGTAGCGGTCGCATGATGATCGAAAAATTGATGATTCAAATAGGGGCAAAAAGTCCAAAAAATAGCGGGGGGGTTGGGGGGGGGCGGCAGCCCCCCCCCACGATGATTGAAAAAGTGATGATTCAATTAGGGCCAAAAAAAATAAAAAAAGCAGCGGGGGGGTCATCAGTTCCTCTGCGGCAAGGCCTCATGGTACAAGTGAGGATTCAATCACGGGCAAACTAATCCCTGTAAAACGGCAGCCAAAGAATCTAAAAAGCAGCTGTCGCATGATGATCGAAAAAGTGATGATTCAATTAGGCGTGTATGTTCATCGAAAGGGGGGTGGCGGGGGGCACCAGAGAGGAACTTGTGATGCTGAGGATGCAGGAAGCCAAGGCCAAAAACCAACTGAGAAAGCAGAGGATGCGAAAAGCCAAAGCCAGAAAGCCGCCAAAAGCCACGAAGCCAAAAAGCCAGCGGAACTGGCAATGCAGAGGATGCGAAAGAGAGGAACTGTGAATGCAGAGGATGCGAAATGAAAAGCCACAAAAGCCACAAAAACCCACGTAAAAGCCACAAAAGCCAAAAAGCCACCCGCCCTGAAAAACAAAAATAATTCCTAAAACAAAAACAAAAAACATTTGGGGGAGGAGGCGACACTAAAGGCGCTCGTTCGTTTTCACTCTCCGTGTGCTGTGTGCCTGAGTGTTGATCGCTTTGGCCATCGCGGACAGCCTGCGACCTGAGCCGAACTAGCTAGCAACTGCGGAGCACGTGCAACAGAGGTCTATCAAGTGCAATGCCTGGAGACCAAAGGGTAGCCGCTATGGCTCCAGACACTCAACAACAGCGTGCAAGATGGGCTGCAGAGCCCCACCCCCCGCTGTTTTCGATAGACACCTGGCACTTCTGAAAAGAGAGGGCGTGCAATGGAAAACTGCCCCCGGCGCAGAAGTATGTCACCGGCCAGCCCCAAAAAGGCCCTCGCAATTCAACACAACTGGTAGCAACAGCTGACAACTGATGGCAACAGATATCACTGAACAGATGGCATACGTGTATTGCTAAGAAAGCCATTGTGAAGAAGAAGGGCAACGGGGGCCATAGGCACACAGCTAGCCGCAATGCGCCCTCATGGAACCGGGCAGCAAAGCCTTGCACTCTCCGCACAAGGCGCGGTTGTATGCCAAAGCCTCGAAGATTGTGTCTATCTGCACATTCTCACCTGTTAGCCCTCCGCGAGCGCCTCGTCTTTGCTGGCAAAGAGGAACTCCATCTGACACCGCGTGTACCTGTGAGTTGGGGCGCGTGGAGAATTGGAACCCCTCAATGGGGGCTGCTGCAGCTTGACGTCCCTTCATCCGCCGCACTGCTTGAGCAGCCCAGGCCCAATGGTCCTCCCCCCTGCGGCCTGTCCACATCTTCTCGATTTCCACGGCCCGGACATCCCTGATCCGGCCCACGGCCTCCTGCAGCGAGCACCCAATCAAGGCAGCGATAGGTGGGGCAGCTGCATATGGTGCCCTGTGGACACCGGCCATGCAGTGGATCAGGACCGACTCCCCATGCTTGACCGTGGCCTCGATCGCGTGCCAGGTGGGCATGAGCTCCTGATCCCTGTCGCGGGTATCGGCCGCTGCATACTTGAGATGCAGCACGTTCCCGGGGACCCATCCCTGGAGCGTAGGCCTGGTGCAGGGGCTTGCCAAAAGCCGTGATCACCAGGGTGATGCGGTTCTCCTGGATGAACTCCGCAGCCTCCCGGTGTGGCAAGGGACCAATGAAGATGCTGCCCATCCCCGGGCCCAGCTTCACTCTGGAAGGTGGCTCCGGCTGGCCGCTGTGGCCTGGCCTGCTCCACCGCTCGTGGGCCCATTGGTCATAGACCTCATCAGCCTCCGCATCCAAGTTCGCCACCTCATCGATGATCTCCACCTCCTCATCTCGGGCCCTCTTCCTGCCCCGACTCGCGGCTAGGGCTGCCGCAGACGGGGGGTGCAGAGGCTCTGGCACTGCTCCCGCAGCACCAGATGGGCTGGGCATGGGCCGCACTGGCAAGGGGACGCCTCCCGACGAAACCCCGGCCGGTGCCTCGTGGCTTCCTGATGCCTCAGGGCCACTGCCCGAAGCTGGTGATGGGGGCTGCCTGCTGGAGCTAGGTCCAACATGGGGCCACTGCTCGTCCTGATCCATGCGGAAGCGCTCCTCACGCAGGTAACGCTTCTCATAGCAGTCGATGGCCGGATGCTGTCCACCACAGGTACGGCCGCTGCCACAAAGGACTGCACATCTATGCTCCTTCTGGCAGTCAGGATCCTCACACTGCCGAGTCTGAAAGTTGACACACAGCATCACCCCTGTGCTCTTCAATCGCAGGCGCAGCACCTTGCCTGGAATGGCACCCAACAGGGGCTGATCCTGGTATGCCATACTCGTAGCAGGTGACCGGAGGGCAAACCGTCGAATGCTTCGAGCCGCAAGATCCACAGAAGTCCACTCACTGCGTGCCTCTGCAACTAACATGCGGTCTACCTCATGCGTGCAATTGGCTATGTGGCTCTTCCACTGCTCAACCCCCAAACTTTCCCAAGTTGTGGCTCTGCTGTCACTGATAGCTCGACTGAGGGCCCCGACCAGCAGTAGCTTCACCCGCACTGAGACGTGGTATCTGGCCGACGAGTACCGCAGCGGCATGGCAGACTGCTCATCCACCGGCTTCAGCTGCCAGTCTGAGAGGGCGAGCGTCTCGCTGGGATCCATGCCAACCAGCATGGCCTGGGTCGGCAGCACCCTCCTTGCTGAGTAACTGGTCAGCATCTGCACCTCTTGCACCTGCTGGCTCAGGGCGGTCCTCACCGCAGTGACCGTGGCCTCACGGGTCAGGGGGGCCTTCTTTATGGTGTCAAAAACCAAACCCAGCTGCTTGCGTTGCTCTTGGGACAAGGCGAAGTAGGCAGGCTTGAAGGCTTTCCACCAGTCAAAAGAAGTGCACATGAAAAAGCGCGGCTCGCAATTGCCGCTGCTTTCCCTTTGGACAATGGCAGTGGACCATGGAAGGGCTGACCCTGAGAACATAGGCTCTAGTCAGATGCGCCATCCGGGCACATCCAGTCATCTGGATCCAATGTCCCAAGAGCCCCAACCATGCCGGATGGCCTACGTCGTGGCTGTTCCGGATCGCGGCTTCCAAGGTGGCGATCATTGCTGGCTCCAGCACCGGGGCCTGCCTGGCGCCAGTCCCCAGAGCGGCCTGCGGCTTTGACGCTCTAGGTGGCAAAACTTGATCCACTGGTAGCCTGAGCAGGAGGTTCCGGGCCAGCCATTTGAGTGACGTAAAGGCCCTACCAGGGGCCTTGTGTGCATGGACAAAGGTCTCCACTCCTGGGGCCTGCTACTCATGGAACTTGCGATTGGTGCCTTTGAGAAAACAGACCAGCTCGTCCCATGTGCAAATGGCCCTGTGGATGGTGGCAGGTTCACTAGTGCTCATGAAACATGCCACAGCCTCCTGCTTGTCTCGTTCTGGAACAACGTAGGGCACAGGGGGCTGGCCGCACACCAAGATGTTGACCAGCTGCTCCACCTGGCTCCTGGCTCTGGCGTCCTGCTGGGCCGGGGCAAGGGGCAGGACCTGCCTGTCAGAGACTGGCCTGCGTGGCAGGGGCTTCCGGGGTGGGGACCACTCCATGGGTTCCACAGCAAAAGCTCCCCAAGGATGCCCGGGCCAGATCTGCCATTTGGAACCGCCTAGCCTGAACCCAGTGGTGTAGCATCCAGGGACCCACTGCCCTTGCCTGGTCAGCGTCCGTGAAGCAGAAGGCGAAGTCTCCCTCGTCCTGCAGGTCATGGCGCTGGCGCCATTCTGATGCCTTGGCCGCCCAGGCTGCGGCTTCCACCACATCCTCGGGTTCCGGGGGCTCAGGCTTGGTGGCAGCTGAACTCCTTGGGGGGCACAACAGCACCATGATGACTGTCCCCATCAAGGCCTGGAGCAACCAGGCCGCATCTTCACTGGCGGGCTTCCCAACCACACCAGGGGTGTCTTGGGCTGAAACCTCAAGGTGCAGTACAGCAACGCCGGCAGTACGCGAACTCATCTTCACATCCGTTGCAAATGGGGCCATCACAAACCTCACAAAAGTTCCCGGTTGGCAATCCACACCAGCCACACGGGGGGAGCATAGGCAACCCTGCCCGTGCCTGCTCATGCCAAACCGCCAACATGGATCCACATTGCAGCAACTCGGACCCCAGCCTGCCCCTCCGGTCCTCCATGAACTGGGGGTCAACCCATCCTTGGCGAGCTCGGTGCCAATGCGCCCACACATAGAAGAGCGTCCTCCGGGGCACCAGGGTGTCTTCCGGCCGGTCCAGGAGGACCTGCATGAAGGGGGGGCAGAAGGTCTCGAGGCTCCGTGTGGTATCCACCAAGGGCATGATTTCCTCCCAAGCCAGCTGCCTCTGGTTCTCCGGGAAGGGAAGGGTCCGCCCTCCAAGAGATGGGAGTGATCCTGCCTGGGCCCACGATGGGTGAAGCCAGGCGAATCGGTATCCTCCTCGTGCATCCCTGCAACGGAGGCACCCATCTTCCACACAGGGGACGTGGATGACGTCCAGCCCCTGGCAAACCAGGGGCACATACTCATAGGGGGCATGGACCACAATGCAGATGTCGCATAGGATCGCAGCCACCTCGGATCTTTCAGCCTGATTGGCCCACATATTGAAGGCAAGCAGGTTCGCTGCCGAGTCCACTGAAGTAGTGGACCAAGCTGCACGGCGAACCGCATGACCGAGCATGGCACAATCAGACAAAAAAGAAAACAGATGCTATTTTGGCTCTTGAGCCAAAATGGCCGCCCATGGCGTTCCATTCTGGTCAAGAGCGCTCGCTCCCCTCAAATGAAACCATGTCACCCTGGCCTGCCAAACACTAACATGGGAAAAATCCTAAAAAAAATGGCCCTCCGCTGCTTTCTCTTCAGTATCATCTTTCTATCGCAGCGAGCTCTGCAAAGCTCCCTCTGCAAAGGCAAATTTGGATACCGGGTCCCAGCTCCCTAACAACTTCGGACCAACGACCAGCTAGGCATATAGAGGCCCTGCTACCAAAAAAAGGAACCCTTTTACAACCATGTTTAGCGGAGAAGCCACCAAGCAAAAAGGAAGAACAACGTGCGAAATCCGTTTCGCAACTTTTTGTGTACTTACCTGTCACGCGATTCTTACAGCATCGTACCCATAGGTATCCTCTGCAAAATATGTCGCCCTGGCAAATGGAATAAATCCCATCCCCGGTCGAACCCATCTATGTATTTCGATCCAAACTAACCCGTCAAAAGGACACCTATTCTCGTACTACCTTTCAGGTTGTAGGTGTGTCTGTTTTGAGGTTGGACCCCCGAAAATGGCTTCAGTTGTCCCGTTGGTTTCACCAACTCCGAAAAAAAAAAAAAAAAAAAAAAAAAACAGACCCCAAATTTGGGTCTGTCTTTTTTGGAGTTGGTACCCCTTCTTGGTTTTAAAGGGGTTCCAAAAGGACAGCTATATAAATAAGTAAACAGGCGGTATCCGGACCCAACCCTGGAACCCCAACTGCTGGAACTTCGGAGCCCCCGAACCCCTGAGCAGAACTCTTAGGGCCTATCGACCCAAGGTCTGGCAACGTCAGAAGGTTTCGGGTTGGTTTCCCTTCAAAGCTTTCAACCAGAAAAAAAAAACGGTTTTGAGAACCACCCCTTGTTTGGTAGGGAGTGTCTCAACACGGAAATCCGAAAACGGCAACAGTTTTTTTTTCCGGGACCAGCCCCAAACACGCAGGCAAGCCTCAAACAAACACACCCTATGGTAAAAACACGGGAAGCCCTTTTGGAAATGATGGTCACCCTTCTGCCCACCGTCCACTTCCATGTTTTTCTTCTTCAGAAGTTTAATCCAAATTGCAGTTGATATGCTATTTGATTTGAACAAGAGACACCAGTTTGATGTGATTTTGATGGTCGTGGGGAAACTGTCCTTCTTAAAAAGTTGAATGAACACAGCTGATATGTTTTGTGAGAACAACTAGGTCCTCCAGTACAGAGGTAGCGATAAGGATACCAGCTTTTTCTGTAGTCTATCTTAGTAGGGGAACCCTCCCTACTAAAAAAGGGTAAAAGGGCACTACTGGGGGACCGAGTATTCCTCCAAAGGGACCTGGGCCATTTTTTGCCTTTCCAGGTTTGAGCAAGTTCTGTTCCGTTTCGAGTTTGCACATCCCTTGGGCCTGGAAAGCACAGCTTGCTTTCCAACTAACAAACACAACAGATTAAGCACAGCTGCTTTCCAACAAACAAAAACAACCACAGATTCCAGGTTTCTGCGCCAACAAAAAAAAAACGACCACAGATTCAAACGGTTTGCCAACGTTTAACGGGCGCCTCAAAAACAGAACACGCCGCGCCCGTTTACGGTCCAACGAGCGAGCCGAAGCGCCGGTGGAGCTGGAGGAGAGGAAGGCCCGCCGCAGCTGGCGTTCCAAGGTGGACACCGAAGCGCCTGGCCGCTTCGAAGGGGGGCGAGGGGGGGTGGGTTTCGGGGGTCTTTCCTGGGTGGGGGGGGGGGTGGTTTTGGGGGTCTTTCCTGGGTGACTCAGGAAGGCAAGGAGTGGGGGGGGGAGGGTGGTTTGGGGTGGTTTGGGGTGGTTTGGGGTGGTTTGGGGAGTGGTTTTGCTTTTTTTTTGGAGGGTGACATCCCCCCTACCTTCAGGAGGACGGGGTGGGGACCGGTCCCCAGGGGTGGGGATGGGGTGACTCAGGAAGGCAAGGAGTGTCATTTCAACCCTGCACCTTTTAGAAGATGTGTTATTTCCCTTTACCTCATGGTTTATTCGTCACCAGTGCCACCTGCCACACTGCAAGGGAATAAAGGAAACCGAAGGTTGGCTTACTTGTGGCGAACGGGCCATCCACAGTATGTCGCAAGGGGGGACATTATCTGGTGGTTAAAATGGAACAAACAGAAAGAAAACCCAAGGCCTTGGCAAAAGCTCTGCCCTTGTCGGATCTGGACAAATCAAAGGTCCTGTGGCGCTAAACTGTCTTGCAGGTACCCTCCATCAGGTGCCATGTTGGAACTTTGACTGAACATGCACAGAAGTAGGGACACCAACAGGCGAGAAAGGACCAAGGCCGAGCTTTGCGCGACTGAGCAAAATGAAAAACCCTTGGAGTGTGGTCATCCACGGGCAACCCTGCCCAAGGTTCCTGGAAATGACCATTGTCCCAGTCGAATTGTCCCTCGTAAGGCGATCTTGAACCCTGACCCTTTGGCCCCGCGCTCCCTAGAAAGGAATGTTTACACTGATTGAAAACCACGCTTACCTCCCATCCACTAATACTATGCAACCTGACAGGGGGCTGTTTCAACTGGCCCCCTTGGTGGGTTCCATGGTAGTGGACAGGAAGGTTGGCCCTATTCAATCAGGGGGAACCCTGTCTTGGGGCATTTGTGTTTTGCCGGCGTTCTTACCCTTTTGTCTCGCACCTCCAAAAAAAAAAAACAAAAAAAAAAAAAACATGCCCAGTGAGGTACGGCATGTCACCAGGGCTTGGCCAGGAAGATGTTGGGGTGGCATGGTGAGGGATCAGCCATGCGCCGGATGCAGTAAAGAAGGCCGAAGGCCCTGTTCTTGACAGCTTAAAAGGCTTCTCGGGTTCACACTCAGCGTTCCAACTGCAGAGTCTGCACACTATCACATGTACGCAGTCGCTATACCAGGTCAGCAGCACCACTGCTCGAGCCAAAGAAATCAGGGCCAGTGGCCCTAGAATATGCCTTTCGAGACCTGATCTCTTGCTCCATCGGAGATCATTTGGGCGTGATTGATTTTGATGCACCCCTTCTTAAAGGTTGGTTTAAAGGCCAATCAAACGGAATGAAACAACACCATTTCTGCAATCGAGTACTCGAGTACTTACTTCCCGTCCCGGGCACCAAGGAGACAAGAAACACGCGCCGGAAAAGATGTTGGGGGACACCCCTAGAACAATTCAAAGTGAACCTGATCGAGAGAAACCTGCGGACATCTAGAAAGGTCCTTTACATCATTGGTGCAAACCACAAAAAATCCACATGGGAAAAGTTACCCGTGACGTCAAAGCTAGGGGCCGAAGGGAATATTGATCAACTCCCCCGACTTGTTGGGTCTGTTTGACTAAAGCCAGCCAGCTTTTCGGCGTGTGCGCACGTGACTGCGACGCCCAAAGATTGATAGTGGGGGCACGGACTAGTCCGGACCAAAATCTCATGGCAAACGATGAGATAGATTGCTTCCGGGCCAACACTCCAAAGTTCAAAGAAGATACTCCAAAGTTACCCCCCTTCAAATTCACATGACGCCCTTCGGGGCCAGAGATCCAAATAGCAAGCTGGGCCAAACGTTGCTGCTGGGAAGAGGAAAGTGAGGGAAATCCAACAGCAAAAGCTTAAACAGGTAAGTTAATTAGTTAATTACTGTACCCCCTGTCCACTCACTAACATGGAACCCACCAGAGGGTCCATTTTAAAGGAACATAGTCAACAACCCAGGACTGAAGTCAACTTCCGTGTTCCATGTCAGTGGACAGGGTAAGTCTGGCAATGGATATTCATCTGGCTTCGAATTTCCCTTCCGGTCCCAAGACTAGGAGGTGAGAATAAGGGTACTCACGTTTTTTTTGCTTTTTCTGTAGTCTATTTTAGTAGGGGAGCCCTCCCAACCAAATTTTTGGTAAAAGGGCACTACTGGGGGACCTAGTCACCATCAACGAGTGAGAGATCAATCGGTTCACACACTTTGATGCAACTAGGTACCCATCGCTTGTACAAAGCTTTGATGCAACTAGGAACCAGAATAAGGGTACCCACTTTTTCTGTAGTCTATTTTAGTAGGGAAACCCAACACCCCAAAAAAGGGTGAAAGAGCGGGCATCAATTGCTGGGGACCCAGAGCAGTTCCTTCCGCAGGGCCTTCGGTCAGATCGAAGTTGCGCCGCAGCGCGCCCTTGTTGTTGGCGGTGTTGCAGAAGACCTAAGCCCACAAAATGCCGAAGGCGGTAGGCGATGGAAAATCCGGGAGCTGTATTGCGAGTTCTCAGAGACTGAGGGAAGGATTGTCTGGCTTTCTTCGGGGGGGAGGCCCTACTGGACTACTAGCAAAAGCAAGATAGGAGTATAAGGGATCTTTTTTTACATATTTTTTGGGGGGAAGCCTTACTGGACTACTAGAACTAGCAAATGTAAGATCATCCCGGTCTGGAAAAACATGAAACATGACCCTCCCCTGTGAGGTTTGCACACGCCATGTTGCTACGATTCTGGATAAATAGTAGGCTCAAAGTACTCCAGGACACAATTGCAAGAATCTCAGCTCTTATCTTACTATTCAGGCACGCTGATGAAGTGAGGGGAAGGGGCACCGACCATTTTGCTCTTTGGTTTGAGCGCCATAGCCGCAGCTTTTGGACAATGGGCTTCCCTCAGCAAAATGTTCACGAGTTGAAGGACGGGTCCTTGGGAACCAGCGCCATTCATTGGTGTTCAGCTTTCTTGGTCAGCGGGCTGAACGCAATTGTCTCGCAAAGATGACCAGGGTCAAGGAAATGTTCGGCTAAAGCGGAAAGTTGGGCATTGCATGGCATTGCTCTTCACGCAGATTCAACTTGACGCGGATGCAACTTGCATCATGGAACCCCCACCCCTGCCTGTTGCTCAACCAGTTATGCAAATACACTTGCCCACTTGGTTGCACTAGCCCAAGGGTGTCTTGTCTCCGTGGGGTGACCAATCCACTGCCATAGCCAAACACACTTGCCGCCTGTTGAAGGCTACGAGGTTCCTTTTCATGGGCTTCTGGCTTCTGACTTGAGTTAGTCAACAACACGTTCAGCCAATATAACTTAGTTGCCCTCAGAAACCCATCTTTTTTGCCTGGTTGGTGGAAAACAAAGGGACCCCCCCCCCAAAAAACAACAACAACGGAGCTAATTCTGGGGAAGAAGGGTGAATACATTTTGCCATTTCAAGCCCAAAACGGCAAATTTTCAGGTTGGTGCGCCTTGGGTTTTGCACATCTCCTGTTATGGCCCCAGTTGGAACATGTTGCTTGCGCAAGCCACAAGGTCTCAGTTCACTATGGGTGCGCTTGACGAAACGAATCCTTCATAAATTCCAGTGGTGAGTCAGACGTAATTTTCCACTGTAACACTGAACAACAGGTATCCTTACATTATACACCTGAGCATTGCCTTGAAAATAGTGGTTTCCCTTTATTTTGGTGGAAAAAGCCGTGTTTCAATTGGTTGCAAAATGTATCTTTTAGGGAGACCTGAACAAGTACATGATATAGCCCAGAAATCTGCTTCTACCCTTGGCACTGCCATGCTCCATTCGTTCAAAACAACTGCAACAGCCGCCAAACAACCAGGGTGATCCTACGACCCGGTCGGCGGTCTTGGGGTGAACTTGGGTCCCTAGTTGGCCTAGGTGCAAGGCTACCCCCCTCGTTTTGATCTTTCAGCCTTCCCACTTACTTGGTGGTTTGGAGCCCGGTGATTTGGAGGTCTGGTGGTTGGGTGGTTTCCCACTCTATAGAACCAGGTCTTCACGTCACAAAACCACCCATTCAAACCACCAACCAGGGGTTACCTGAATCTTCAGGCTCAAAACCACCCTGGTCGAAAGTTGAAACCTCGGCTTCGGAGAAGTCGGGAAACTCCTTTCCTTGGCCTCAAAAAGTGAAAGTGGAGCTCAGAAAGTGCGAAAATCAACGGGTGGAAAGCCCTGCCCTTTTAAAAGTTGGGGCCCGTTTCCCGTTTTCCCCTCCCAGTTGTTTTGTGTTTTGGGGGGAGCTGAGTTCCCGGCCCCCCGTTGGCAGATTTTCAAAATGCGAAAAGACGAAAATCCTGGCCCTGGAAGGCCACATGCAGCGACACCTACCTGTTGCGGGGATGGTCTCACTCAAGAGTCCTCCGGAGGATGTTCCATCCGTACGGCGGTCCTGTTTCGACCGTAGTTTTGGTCCAAGACAGAGGATGACGCCCACGTTTCCGGGCTGCTCCCAGATCCTCTGCCAAAAGTCAAACCCACAAAGTCTAACCTTTAGTAGCTTAGTGCAGACTACCACAAAACCCCATTTGACAATGTATATATGTATATATATATATATCAAAAAGGAGGAAAAAAAGAAGCAAAAAGAAACTAAGGAACCGAACGGCAAGGAACCACCGCAGGTTTGTGGGGACAGCCTCCCGAAAAAGCCTCGCCGGACGCCTCGCCTCGCCTGGATGGCCTCCGGCAAGTCGGAGTTCAGGTCGTCGTCCAAGTAGCCCAAGCGCCGCAGCACCCGCTGAGCGAGGTCCTGCAACAATCTTTGCAACTTACAAACGGAATGGGCCGGGCTTGCAAGAAAAAGCCTGTTAAAGAAGCAGCGCCCACAAAAAAGAAAGAAAGAAAAAGAATCAAACAACCTAGAACATGCCAACAGCAATGAAGGATCCTCTCTGGAAGTTCCCCCTCGCTGGTCCCGCATGAATGCTGTAGGTTATGTTGTTATCCAAGATAGGCTTCGGAGTGGATTGGAGCGGCTCGGGCTGGGCTCCAGAGGGTGTTTCCAGCACATCGTGAGATCATTTTAAGCAACACCTCCGGCCCTTCGGAACCTCCATCCCGGAGGTTCCCCCAAACTTGGCCAAACCCCGCCAAAACGGGTAAAAGAGAGGAATTGCAGGGATTCCAAGACGCGTGCGGGCGCTCAGGGACTGAGGGAATGACCTCTACGAAGAACCCCTTGTGGTTTCCTTCAAGGGGTTCATTCCCGAAAACCCTCCTCGGTCGTTCCCAAAAACCCGCACCAGCAAGAAACTCGAAGCTTTGGGACTGGACTTCGGTGATGAAACATGTGAAATCCATCCGTTTCACAGCTACGAAACCCAAACGAGTGCTTCGATTCCCCGACCTAAATACCAAATCAGGGATTCAACCATGGCTTCTTAGATGCTGCGAACGGAGTTTGCTTCCAAGCATCCACAGAACCTTTGGGAAGCTTCAGGGAAGACGTGTTGGGTCAGATCGATTCGATTCGAGCGCCGTGCCTGGGAGTCATGGAGCATGCAGGGCCCGCCCCCCCGAAAGAGGCTCAGCGCATGTCCACAGCCATAGGTCTTCACCTGAGCCCTGGCGATGCGTCGACTGATGAAACCCGATGAAACCGCTCACCGAAATGGAACCGTGGTTGAAACCAAAAGGTTTGTTGGGTAGTCGACTTGGGGAATCGAACCACTTGGGTTTTAATTGGGGGGGGGGGGGGCGGACTCCATGTTTGGATGCTTCAAGACAACATGTTGAAGTCCAATGTTATTTCTTGGTTTAGGAATGAAGTAACTGCTTAAGACTTGACCAAGGGACTGCCAGCAACAGGCCCACAATGGCAATGACATTTTGATCATAAGGGATCTGCACGTGAAGGAACTACAACATGATCGCCATTTGCAGATCTATGGGTCCGTGCCTTTTTGAGACTGCCATAAAAGGAAACAACCAGGAAATCCCACCATTCTAGGAGTTCCCCTATTTTGAGCCATTCGCAGATTAAAATTGTTCAGCCCTCCGAATGGCCGAACCAGTTGTCTGGCTGCTGATGAGTGAGGGTCAAGGTGTTCCAAAGACAAGCAAGGGTGGGATATGAAAGCAACTTCTGAACAGAATTTAAAAATCAACCAACCCCTCAGAGCAGGCTTGAGCCGTTTGCCACCTGTCACATGTTTAAGCCATTTTTGTTAAGGCCAACTCCTTTTGGCTTCCGTTTAAAAGGGGCAAAAAGCTGGTTGAAGAACCACGTCCCCCCGAAAAACAACAACAACAACAGAGACCGCCTGGTGGGTCTGCGCGCCCCACGGGTGGGAAAGAGGAAGGCGAGATCCTTCTGGTAGCGCTGCCACTTGTTGCCTTCAGCGACCGCTTCTCTCCAACTGCGCTGATCTAATTCTGCGGATTGACGAATCTACTTCGCGCCACCTAAGAAACCCAACGGACTGATTCGACCCGATTTCGTCCATCCACAGTAAGGGGCTAAAACTCATCAGAATGGGGCTTAAGGGTACCCTACGCCTACGCTACATCATCATAGCCCATTCTCATACCTCTCTGCCAAACGAGATTTGTTTTCATAGACCTTTCGGTGCTAGTCCCTCGCATTAAGATGGGTTGCTCTTCCCTCCAACCTTTTGTAGGTTTGCTGGAACAATCATTTGAGCCACGCGCGTGCTGTTGCGCACCGACAAACAGGTCGTCAGGAAACGACTGCTAAACATGTACACTGAGGTTTGGACACCGCTCGTTGGTAAATCCAAAAACAGTCTAAAGGGCGATGCGGTCAAACCACATACCAACCATCAGTATTCGTGATGAATCAAGCACAGTTGTCACGTATCTAAGGTTGAATCATGGGTTCAAAAAATATAACCCTTACATAGCGATATCTCGGTTGCCCAAGGGCCCCGGAAACAAAAGGTTCACCTTTTTTGGGGCCAATATTAAAAATGAAAATGGCCCAAAACGGGGAAAAAGGTCGGCTTTGGGCAAGGGAGTTGTGTTGGCGGTATGTAGCCCGCAAGGCGGCATGGTTTTCCAATTTACCTAGGGGTGCACTCCCGGGATAACCTGAATCCTTCAAGCTGAACAGAATGGGAAGCCATTCACGATAGAAAATGGCCATCTACGGGGTAATCATTGGGCCTAATCCTGGAAAGACCCAGAACCCGAAGCCGCGCCTGCTGCCAGCATTTGCAGCAACTCAGTCACCGCGTGCCTAAGCGCATCTCTCAAAAATACGGTGGGTGGACGAAATCCTGCACCGCTTTGACACCACAGGAAACCATTGCGCGTTGTTGCTTACAGGGAAATCATGATTCCAGGATTTCTTAATGTTTCTTAGGTGGTGCAGGAATTCGTCCATCCATAGTATTAGGGTATTAGGCCGCTTTGCGCTGGCTCAACTTTCGTTTGTTTTTCTCTGCTGGTTCGATGGGCATGGGTTGGAATGACCCTGACAAAACCATCGCCTCTAGTTTCCTTTTGAGGGAATCCCCATGTTAATTCCCAAAACCTGAGGGTCAATCCCTACTGAGTACCAGCAAGCTCTTCTGCCTGCTTGAGCGCCTTAAGTAAATGCAAGAAACGGTTCAGCCATTTTTAGCCAATCAGCTCGATCGGAAGTGAGGGTTAGGTTTATGAAAGAAACAGTGGCCTTATTTTCCCTTTGTTTGGAGGGTTGCCCACTAAACATTGGTCAGAAAAAAAACACATTTTCAGGTGGTTGATGCTTCTTTGCCCAACCGGGTACCCTGGCCACAGCATCCAAAACCGGGCTCAGAACAGCAGACTTGGCGGGTACGGAAGCCACGAGCTATCATGAAAGTTGGGAAATTGCATAACTACCCATGAGCAACTCAACCATACATTTGAACTGCAACTCACAGCTTGAGGTTGTCACAGGCAAGTCACAAATGTACCTTCACTTAATTATGGCAACAAGGATGGCAAAAGACCCTTGCCTCCTTTCAAGCTCCATTTGTTGTTTTACCCCTAAGAAAACTGAGAAGATAGCTCCAGTAGTGATAGAAACCCCTGGTAAAAACCAGGCGAAAATAAAATACCCTCTGCAACGCAAATGGAGATCCTACGGAGGGATGCCCTTGAAAAGGAATGACTTCCCGAATCAGGATTTCCCCAACTTTACAAACCTTAGGTATGGATTCACAACAACTGATTGCTGTTTTTGTTTGCGGCTCGCTAAAAACCAATGAACAACCTAAAACATAAAACATGTGCCAACAATTGTCCAACACCCTAGCAGGAAAACTGCCCCTGGTGAAAGGATCCAAGTAAACAAAAACACATGTTCTATTCTTAGGAGGGTTGGTCATCAAAAGTCTCAGGGCAGCCCCAGAAATTGGAAGAGGTTATCTCTTCTTGGATTAAACACATTGCAAGCGTTGAAGCATTTTCCGGCGAGCGGCTGGTAGGGATACACCGTGAGGGCTGGCCTCAAATGACTTTGGTGCATGAACCAAAACTTCGCCAGCGAGGGCAGCAGCAAATCCACCCGCTCCTGGCAGGACAAACGCCCCCAGTTGAGGTCCTCCAGGTCTACCACCATGACACTTTGCTCATTTCCCAAGTGGGTTAGCCAGCCTTCCCCCTTTCCCCAAGGGAAAACTTCTTTCACAAATACGAACGTCCCCTCAACTGCCCCCTCCTCCACCTCCGGAGTACAAAAGCTCTCAAAGTGAATGGGGTCCTTCCCTCTCCAATGCTCTGGCCCACACCAAACCTCTGCCCCCTTCTCCTCCGGCCCGCAGAACCTTCAAACTTAGTGGTCCTGTGGGCCGGAGGAGGTCCTTCCTTCCACCCCGGCCCCCGCAAACTGCCACCCCCCAGTGGCCCAGCTTCCTCCCGGCCGCAGAACCCATAGTGCGCCAGAAAGTCCCGCAGTGGCGTGGAGTCGCAGCTTTGCCGCGGCTCCGCCGCCATGAGCTCCACAAGACCCGTGCCATCCCCTTGCAAGGTGGCCCGGGTCTTGAAGGCGGTGTCCTGCCAACGTCGGTTGCGACGTCAGAGAAGCCATGGTCCTACTGGTCCTCCAGTAGAGTGGGTAGAATAAGGGTACCAACTTTTGGGGAACCCTCCCCAAAAAGGGGTCAAAGGGCACTACTGGGGGACCTGTCAATCTTCGCTTGCTGCTGCGTTCGCGGCAGCAAGCGAGAAATGGAATGAACTAAACCATCCGGGGATCCCTGGGTAAGTAAACAATGGGCTGTGCTCAGAGCCCACGCTGAAAGCTTAACTGTTAGTGGGTTATAAATGGAAGCCCCTAAGCACGAAAAAGCTAAATCGCCAAGGGGGTGGCTTGGAGCCCGGTGGCTTGGATTTGGATTTGAACCCGCCTGGGAAGTCCGACCACTAAAATGGTCTTAAGTCTGGGAGGACATTAAACCGCCGCGCTCTCCGAAACGTGGCCCACAGCAAACCGCAGGGTGGAGCTCAGGAAGTGAGTTGCCTTCCCTCCATTCGCTTAAGCCCCCCTTACCCCTTAAGACTCCAAGCCCTGGGGAAGTTCTCATCTTTTACAGACATATAGCCCATGGTACCCCCAAAAAGTTGAGAAAGTTATGTTTTTAAGAGGTACGCCCCTAGCCCCCTGGGAGAAAATGAGAAATATTTCCAGTCGTGAAACCGATGCCCTCTAGAACCAGCATTTCAGCAGATGGCAGGTGCGTCTGTGCTCGCTTTTCCCTTAGGGACCCGGAAGCAAAAGCTGAGCACTTGTTGGGGCATGGATCTGCGGAAAAAAAAAAACAACACCTTTTCACCATGGAACAGAACGGGAAAACTAAAAGGCCGGTGCTCACTAAAGGATGAGAAATGGAATAACCCTTCCAATCCAGCTTCCGTTATTTAAGGGGACCGAAGCCTGGGTTCATTCCCACATTCCCCACCTATCGAACCAGCTAGCGGTTTAAACTCTCAGAAAAAAGTTACCCTCAAAGAGTACCCTCAAAACACATATGTGACCGTCCCCCCACCCCAACCATTTTCCCAACCAACCCCCAACCCTTTGTGGAGTTCTTTTGGGGGGGCGAAAAAAGGTTGACCCCCAGGTGTCCCTGGGCTGCGGAATCAGACCGCTTTTGGACTAACGCCAATATCTAAGCCAGTGGAACCCATCTATTTCTGAACAAACGAACCGGAAATATTGCACGACTTTGAAACAATAGAACAACATTCTTGTGGGTAGTTACAGTGGAAATCAGTGGAATCATCATGCCAAGGCTTCGCCTAAAAAGGACACCTACTGTGGATGGACAAAACCCATTTCGCACCACCTAACAAACCCAACGGAATGATTCGATTGCCCTGCATTTGTCCAGCAAAACATGGTTTCAGGGATCCTTACATTATGCACCTGAACATTGCATTGCAAATGGCGGTGTCCCTTGATTTTGGTGTTGAAAAAGCAACATGTTTCAAATGGTTGCAAAATGTACCTTTCAACAGGGGTCATTATGTTCACTGTTTCTGGCAGTTATCAAAGTCAGAAAATGGAATCGGCTGTTTCCTTTTAACCCACCACTAGGGGGTGACTTTGATCATGGTAAAATACCTTGGTTGACGTTGGAGCAAAACATAATTTTCAGCAGCTAAGTGGTTGGATTTCAACCACTCAACCACAATAAGCAAACATGTAAAAAAAACTGTTTCCCAACAACAACCATGACTAGGGGCTGAAAACCCCCCAATCCGCTTGGGAAGAGAAATCCTCTAAGGTCCGGGCGGAGGGTTCAGCGGCTGGATCACGCGGACCCCCAACAAGCGCCAAGGACTGAGTTCGATTCCATCCACACCCCCGGCCCCCCTGGCGCCAGGCGCCAGGCGCGCCTGGTGTCGGGCCGCCAGGCGCAGCACCTGCGCGCCGGTGGCCTCGAAGACCTCCGCGACGCCGGGGCGCAGCTCTGGCACGAAGACCACCACCTGGCGGTTAGAGCTCCGGGGGAAGGGGGGGGGGCATGGACACCTAGAGTCTATTTTTAAAGCAAAGGGTGATCTTGCACAATCATTGTAGCAAGCACCCATCTGATGTAAACCAAACTCAGGGGAGCCAACAATATACTTCCTTGTTTAAAATAACTCTTGGCAAAATATTGGACGCTAACATTGCGCAATTAATCTTGTTTAAAACATAACCAGAACCAACCACGTCAACCCAAAATACAAATATGCGCCAAACAAAAATATCACCCCTCATGGGCTGCGTTGAGGGCGACCATTGGCTTTAAGAAGCATACCCTGTTTGGGACTTTTTGAGACAAACGAAAAGGGGGCTCTCTTGAAAGTGGGCTAATCCAGCTTTCCACAAACTGGTGAAGGGGCTAGGGCGTACCTTTCTCATTTACCCTTTACCAGGCAGGGGTTCAAATCAAAACCCAAACCACAAATCCAAAGCACTCAATCCAACCCTTGGTATGGGCCTGCAAAAAACTTTTACTTGTGCCCCCTGCCAAAAAAGAACAGAACAGACGATGTGCACATAGACACACAGCCGCTGCTGCTAGACCTTGGGGCTAGAGGCGCTGCAAGCCAGAGGACGGCAAAAACCGCTGCTGTTCAGCCGGTGATGGCTGCACGTGTGCCTGAAATTTGTGGGAGCTCCTGAACATTCGGGGCCCACAGCGCTTCCTTCTAGACTTGTATGTGGCCAACGTGGTTCACGAGCAGCAGCGCTGGTCAGCAAGGAGAACAGGAAGTCCTTTCCTTGACGCTGGTAATCAAGCACAACTCTGGGGTATGCATTTTAAAATGCACGATGAGCCCGCCGGGCACAACAAAGCGAAGCAAACGAGCACTCGAGCAAGATGTTTAGCCCGAATTGGTGGACATCATTTAGGTGGGGGATTCATGTCCAGCAACCGTGTTGGAGGTGGTTCGCCGGTTCGCCATGAGCTTTCAGTCCCTTTGAAACGAATGACGGAGATTGGGTTACCTCTAGTATGTACCGCCTAAAGATTGAACACCCTTTCGGTTTCACTTCACGGGCTCTGGAGGAACCACTCAGGGATCCCTGCGGCAAAGGTCTGCTTCCTAGCGAATTGGACGCAGAAGGGGACGCAGAAGGGGCCTTCTTGGAGGTGTTGCAAGGGAAGCCAATAGGAGAGGCCACTATTCTGAGGGGTCGCCCATTGACGCATCCAAAAACGAACCTTGGTATAGATTGAGGAACCTTCTCTCACTTCCCAAGTTCTTGGCCCTGCGCTTCTTGGGACGACCATTTTACTGGTAGACACAGAGTTTGGAGTTTTTAGGGGGCCATTCGCCCGGGAAGTGAGCCATATCCAGACAAAAGAGGCCCCAGAAGCAGACGTGTCTTTGACTCAGGCACTTTGTCAGTCCTTCACTGTGGTTGGCATGTGTTTAGATGTTTTTTTTGTTTGTTGTTGGGCGCCGTAGAACAAAGGGTAACCACCCAGTTGAAGGAAGGGAACTTCTTTAGAAATGGATGATCTGTTCATGGGAAGCCAGCAGAGGCTACAGTACCAGGCGTTTCCTTCACTGACTACGCTGACTGACCACCTACGAATCAGACATGACAACTTTCATTAAACCAGTAGTCACCAACCCACCCCAACCACCAATTAGAGGTGAGGTGCTTTGAATCAGCACTACCTCCCTTTGCATGCGAATAGAAGATATGTAAAACCTCCACTTGCTGAAGCCCCCCTGGAAAAAAGCAACAACCACATGCCCTGTAGAGATAGACTCCCTTTAAAACCCGCAGGGAGGACACAACAAATATACATACTATTGAGCCAGTGGAAGTTGCAATGAGTTGTGGCTGGTTTACGTGCAACGTAAGGTATCCCCGTTTGCAGCTGGGACCCAGCCTCACTTCCGATTTTGGCCCAAGCCACAAACATTAAATGGTCGTATCACAAAGGTGACCCAAGTCCGAACCGGAACTCGGGAAGTGAGGGGATGGGAAATCGGAGGGGGCGCTATCTGCTTCCACGCCACAGGCTTGCTCAGGTTGCTGGGCGAACAAAAAAGAAGCACCGGTTGCGGGCGCCCATTTTTGTAAGCCCTTCCCATGGAAGGCGGTGATTTTTAACATCTGCGCCTGGTCATTGTGGTTGGCATCCGCATGTTGCTCAGGTTGGAAGCCAACAGCCCTCGGGCCCATTTCAGCTGGCACCTGCCCCGTGCCTCCCGGCCGAGAGCCACCGCTTCCTCCACCACCTGAGCCTTGGGTTCTGGGTGGATGGGCCGCAGAAAGGTCCTCTACAGTCCTCTTGGAATGGGCTGGCAAAACTAGATCCTCCAGTGGTTGGAAGAAGGGTACCGTCGTTTTTCTTGTTAGTCTATGTTAATAGGGGAAACCTCCCAACCAACAAAAGGGTAAAAGGGCGCTACTGGGGAGGTGTGGGCTGGCAAAGATGGGCTGTTTTTCGCAGCCCCCTTCTAAAAAGGACAGAGTAGTGAAGGGTCAATACTGATCACTCGAGGAAAATGCGGAGTGGAGTCAAAAGGACAAAATAGCTTTGTTAACACCACTTCCTTGATTGTTGGAATCAGGTAATCACATAGTAGCCATTTCAAATAGAGGGAGGGTTCACAACTCAGTGGAACTGCCTGAGTCAAACCACTACAACCAAAGCGAAATGGGAGTTCAGCAGATGCGAGGGTGGCAGAGCGTATAACCACTAGATAGTGAAGAGCCTGGAGCAAATGCTAAGAATACCCACCATCCGCTCCTTGGGCACAGACATGTTCAAAATACAAGTCACGTATTGAGCCAACGCATGTGCACCAAGCCGGAGGAATCAACTCGGCGCTTCAATCCTTGAAGCCCCGGGGCAAAGCCGGCGTCCGACACCAGGATGGCCAAGCAAACGTTTCCTGCCAGGCGCCATGGGCTTCTAGCAGTTGACATCTTACGCATGATGTCCCTTGTAGCCGCATTCCAGGACAACTTGGTGAAAACAGAAGGCTGGCTATTTTGTGAAGTTGGGGTGATTCTGCCTCCCTGCAGGAGCCAAAAACTATGTAGGGGGTGGGTTGGGGCTGACGGGCCAAAGAAAATCAGCCAGGATCCAGAATATGCTGGGTAATCTTCACGTGGTAGCCACCCCCCTCTGAAAAGAATCTCGCAAAAGCTGCGCGGGTCACCATCTAGGATCATCCCTCCCATTTGCGAATCTTTTCCAAGCGGGTGCCTACAGTACTAGCGGTCCTGAACTATCACAAAGGCAACAGTCACCTGAAATTGTAGAGAAGCGATCAGCATCTTTGGCTTTGAACACACATTTAGCTGAGCTGAAAACGGAGCCACACAAATTTCACATGCTTGAGTAGCTGCTGCAAGAATTTGTTTGACTTTAGACTGCCCCCTTTCGGCACATTCCGTATAGCCCAATGTGGACTCATGCCTGCAAGGAAGTCTTAAATACATCAACTCATTTCCTGAGTGGGTGGCCAAACGCTGTTGGCTTACAAGTACAACTCAGTTGCCCAGTTAGGAAGAAAAGGCCCCTAAAGGTGGACGACCAAACAAGGAACAGCATGGTCTTCGCCAAACACAGTCCAGGAATTTGGGGCGGGGCTTAAGCCAATATCAGGTCGGTCTGAAAGTTGGACACGCATCACACAAATGTAAACCCAATATTGGGCCGAGGTTTTGACGTCACGAGTTGCAAACAACTGGCGCGTTCCGCTGAAAAACTGCCACCTTTCGAGGTACCAAAACAAGGGACATCGAGGGACCCGGTTGAATGCGTCTCACCGGCGGTGTTGGACTCCGCTACGATTCCCTCGCGCACACGGGTTGGAGGTTGTTTGCCTCTTCCCCTCTACAAGAACCAGGGCTTCAAATCCCGAAGCCGAAAATCCAAGTCAATTGGCTGTGATTCAAACATATGTACCAACATGGCACCTGGGCAAGTGGAACCAAAGACTAAAACCTGCGTAACCCCAGTTTTCAATCTTGAGCCACACCCAATTGAGGCTTTCCTGAAACCATGAACACCCGTTTCACCCGCCCGAGTCAAATCCCTCGCTCCTCGCGCGTTTAGTAGTCGCCGCAGGTGTCGCACCAGGGCCTCGTCGTTGGGCTCGCCCTGAACGCCGCGCCTCGGAACCTCTACGGTGGAGATGGACCTCGGCGGCCGGGGGAGTCCGGGGGAGGGCCATGCGCAAAGAACAAAGCGTGGGCCACAGTTCTTCACGGAAAAGGCGTGAACCGTTTTCAAAAAACAAAAAGTGAGATACTGATGCAGAGCCATGGCGAATGGGGCTATCTTGAATAGTAGTGACTAGAAGGAATGTTAGGGGTGACTCATAGGGTAAGAACCAATCAAGGGCCACATACACCTCTCCCAGCACCTGATGTTGTCCACCAAATTGGAAGGAATACTTCTACGAACCTTTGCAATGTCTCTCGTGAGCAAAGTCGTGGGCTGGGAAGGTGGGCAAACGTTTGACGCCAAAACTGCCGTCAAAGCTTCGACGTGACAAAGCAGGCCGGAATTCACACGAGCATCGTCAACTGTATGTACTCAAGCCCCTGCGCGCAAACAACAACCAGCATTCATCATGTTAGCATTGCGTGAGCCGTGCATGTGTACCTTTGTTCTGCGTGGATAATGAACATGAACGCGTACAAAGTCAGGGGTAAGTAGTTGAGCCCTCAACCTACGCAATCCCACCCAGGGAAGCCAAAACCAGAGAAACAAGCATATCTTACCCAAGTGCAAAAGCTGCAAAGAAAAGCAGTGAGGCTGGTGCACTTTTCCAAAAAATGGGAACGTGTAGTTGATCTATTCAGCACATGAACCTCTGACAGGAAGTGCTTCGTGGAAACTCCCAAAGGTTCCACCATAGGGACATCGGAGGGTTTGAAAGGGACACCAATGGGAAACCAACCAAGGACTCGAATAGCATCCACACTCATCTGTAAGGGGACGAATGACTAGGAGCCCAATGAAGTCGTGACCGAAGTATGTGGCAAAATGATAGCCGTTACGTTCATCCCTAACAAGTCCCATACCTGCACCAAAGGATCCACCAAGTAAAGAACCCATCATCATGGGGAGAACGCTTCCCCAAGTGAGCCCGCCCTGATTTTAGGCTCCAACTTCCCCAGCTATCCAACCAAGATCAGGTAAAAACCACCTATGGGGCAAACAGGTCCATGTTCAAAACCACCCCTGATCTCCCAAGCCCGATGTCCCAACCCCAAAACAACAAACATGTCGTTTAAGGGGCTGAGCAAGTACCTCGCCCCCCAACCCTTCAAAAAAGACAAAATCCATAGCTTGGTCAACCCCCCCTCGAAGACAAAACAAACGACAGAAGCGCATCATTTAGCCCCTCATGCCAAAAAAACAAACTATTTAGCCCCTCATACCCGCCCCCCCCCCCAACACCGAACACACGTTGCCCCTCATGCCCAACACATATCAATTTATTTAGCCACTCACCCCCCCCCCCCACCGTCCAAAAAAAGAGCCTGCCCATCCCCAAAAAATCAAAACAACTAAAACCAAAAACAACTCCAAACCCTAAACACCCCAAACCCCCCCCCCACTCCCCAACCAAAAAACAAACACATATTTGCTAACAGAACAAGAGCAAACCCAACCGAAATCCCAACCAACAAACAAAAATCGACCTAGTTGCTGACAAAAACTTTTTTTCTTTAAAAAAAAAGAACCCCCAACCATAGCTCCCAGGCGCTGCTGCTGCTCCCGCAGCCCGTCCTTCAGCTTCTGCGAGCCCGGCGCCACGAAGAGCGTGGCCCGCGCCGCCCGCCGCCCGGGGCTTCCGCCGCCTCCGCCGCGGCGCAGGGCGCGCAGGGCCTGGGAGACCTGTCGCGGCCAAGTGGCCGCGGGGAAATCTGGGGATTCCCTGGAAGGAAACCACCAGTTGGATGGTTCATAAGGGTCACCTGGGTGAATTATGATATTTCACCAACCTGAAATTAGGCGGTTGGGAGGCTATTACATCAACCACCATTTGGGGTGAATTCGGTCGTAGGTGGTTATAATTCACCCGGCGAAATGAATTTTCCCCTTCTGTGATACATCCAAAAAAAGGGACCCCCCAATTGGAGTGAGAGCCCAAATCCCGGGCGAAGCGCTGAAGCCAAACATCAAGCCTTCCTGCTTAGGGGATAGTTGGTTGAGTTTAAACTGGGCTGCCCGTTTTCTGATCCCCCCCGCAAAAAGTGACTAACTTTTAGTGGGTCAACTGGAAACTACCAAAGGCTAAAAAGCTAAGGAGCCGGACGGCTGGGAGCCACCAAGAAAAAATGGCTTTGCAAAGACTAATTAATTAACCCCCATACAAAGGGCTTCCCAAAGAAACCCTCAAGCAAGGTGAAATCAACAGATTCCCTTGCATCACAGAAGTGGGGATAAACCGCGAGTGATCAGGTGACCAAACAGACATCAGCTAATTACCCCGCCCATGTTGGAGGATAACTATTTTGTATGGAGCCTTGCTGGATCTTACTGGAAGTTTGCGGTGTTCATCGCCTGGAAAAATGAGAAACCCTGTAGGGGACAAGAGACAAACTTGCTCAAGCAAATGGACCAAACGAACAACTCGGCGAGGTTGAACAACGACCAAAAAAGAGAGAATATGGGGAACTGCGGTTGCAAACCGATGGTTCGAACCAGCCTCCAAAGTCGCAACTCCTAAAAATCCGGCGCAACCAAACCCTGGCCGCTTGGCGTTTTTCAAGTCGGGCAAACCAAAGGGGAAACCAAAGGGAACCCGAGGAACTGGGCAGCTGGCGTTCAACACGTCGGGGCACGGGGAAATTTCCGGGGCCAACTGAGATAACGCAATGCTCAGTTGTTCAGTGACCCTGGAAAAAAAGGGGAACCATTTTTTGGGGCTTGAACCCATGGTCCAACCTCCAGGCATATGTGCCTGCCAGGATGAGCGTCGCAGCCCTTCCTGCTGGTACTTGTTGCAACGCGGATGCGGATGGATCGTCGTTCAGGATGACGTCATCGATGTGCAGCTCGTCGTATGTTGCGTGCAACATGAATGTCGTCGTTCAGCGGCTTCGGGAGTTGGCCAACAGTTCTTGACTCATCACACATAGTTGAAGAACAATGGCTGGTATGTGGTTTGACCTGAAACTTGCGGTGTTTCGGAGCCATTCCCCACATAACCTGCCCTATTTGGGGTGAATTCGGTCGTAGGTCGTTATAAATCTCAACCAGACCGCATCGCAAGCTCAAAAAACTGCACGACTCGACTCCCGGCCTCGAAGGCGCTGTGCCGGTCCCCGTCCACCAGCAGCTCCGCGGAGCTCAGCGCCTTTCAAATGGCTGCAGGAAATGGCCCCCAAAGCATGTGAAAAGGGTGCGGGAAAACTTCCAGGAAATGGCCCCCAAAAAGTGTCAAAAGGGTTGGGTGCCCAGGAAAACGGCCCCAGGAAATGGCCCCCCAACACACTCGAAACCAGAGACAATTTCTCTAGAGTGTTTCCGGCAACCTGAATGTCTTGGATTTTTTTTTGGTTTCCCATGGCTCAGATGGGCAATCGATTCCCATGAAGAACCATGCGCATCCTTTCCGCACTTCCGATCGAGTGGATTGGATTCGAAAAGAGAAAAACCAAAAAAAACACGTTCAGATGCCCAGTGGCTTTCCATGCGGAAGAAAAAGGATGCTTCCCTTGTTGACTCACTTCCGGCGTGGACGGAATCCACTGGGCAACCGGGAACCCCTGGCATGGCAGCACAGAACTGCCTGCCTTTTGCAGCCCACTCAAAAGTAAAGAGAGAAAACAAACCAAAAAGTTGAACAAAAACAGAAACAAAAACATAGTGGAACAAACAAACATAAGTGTTTTTAGGTTAATAGTTGCAAAAAAAAACAAAAAACGCCAAAGCTGAAGCCAAGGAAAGGGCCCCGAGGAAGCCAAGCCGAATAGAGCCAACTTGTCGGGCTCCCTGTTCGTAAGGTGTAGGGAGCGCCTTCCAAGGCTAGGACTGGGAAACCCCTTCGGTTGCGAAATCTGCGATTTCCGCCCGGCTAAAAGTGACTCACTTTTAGTGGTTTAGTGCGGAAAACCCATGAGTTGGATCGAAAAGTTGCTCAGTCCTAACAGCCCAGCAAAATGCACCAAAGTTTTGGTCATGTTCAAAGCCAACAAAAAGGGAAACCAAAACAAATCTAAGAAAGCTCCCGGCTGGTTTGAAGCCCGCTGGCTTGGAGTTGGGGCTATCTTTCCATTTGGTCGCTACAAGAAGCTTTAATTCCACCCACAAACCAGCTACAACTAGGTCCTATAGACAGGTTAGAATAAGGGACCAACTTTCGCCAATTTTTTTCTCGTTTGTCTATTTTAGCAGGGGAACCCAAAACCAACCAAAAAAGGGGCAAAAGAACGGGCACCTAGCTGGGAGGTTCTCCATTGCACATATCAAGTGGGCACATCGCCCACCTCCTAGGCAATGCTGTTTGGCGGTGCCAGGAAACGAAGCTATTTCCTAGGCTGGAAAAAAGGGACCCCAGCAAAAAGTTATCTTCTTTGCTGGATTGTGGAAAACAAAAAGACCCCACCAAAAAAGCAAAAAAACAAAGGGGAGCTAATTCTGGGGAAGTTTCCAGGCGCTCGGTTTCAGCCCGACTGGTGAGATCTTGCAACAACCTGCGTGCCAGATCGTGTTCAATCCTTCCTCCTAATAATAAATGTCCCTCCAACAACACTACTTACTTTTGAGAACCCCAAATCCGGGAAGGCTACTTTTTGAATACGCCAGTGCAAAACCAATTTCTAAAGTAGGTGGCCTATTAGGGGACCCTTTTCTACCTCCATCCGGCAAAGAACCCATTGTCGCAGCATCAGGCTTAGGGTAAAAGTACTAGTATGGTACAAACCAACCACCACCCACCTTGTTTGTATCCGCCCTAGCAAACCCCTCAGAACCCCTTCTGTCGAACCTACCCATTCACCCGTGGCCTGCCGCCTCTCGCGCTGCCGCGCCAGGCCAAGCGAGGCGAAGGCCCCCGCCGGCCCCGCCGCCCGCGCCACGCCGCACCGAGCCGCGCCGGAACTGCCGGCGCGTGGCCGGGGGCGGGGAGTCGGAGTGGGCGGCTGGGCGGTGAGGCGCGTGGCCAAAGGCCGCGCTGGCGGCTCCATGGCTCAGGCCATATTAAAAATGAAGAGAATTCAACCTAAAAACCTAGCGACAAGAGTGAAGCGTTTCCTGTTTAATCGAGGCGGCCAAAGGAGACTCATCTAACATCTGCCCACATCGTGAAAGAAGTTGCTCCAAGGCGAAGAGGATTGTCGCATAGTGGGCGAAAAAACAAGGCTCTTAGATGTTCTGAGCGGCCAAGTAGATTTGTCACACAGGCTATGAGAGCTCTGCGCACTGAAGCTGCAGTCTATGGCCGACAGAATCTGCGGCGCGCCCTGTGGCCTGAGCCTGAGCCTTGCATGAAGCCTCCAAGTTCACCTCACTTTGGACAATCGCCCTTCAAATGATTAACAGTGTGATCTGACCAGAAAAGCAGACCTCAGAGCTGGCCCGGTGGTGGCTGAGTGAGAGACCTGGCTAAGTGAAAGACATGCTCATGAACCATGAAGATAGCCAATCACTAGACTACACCAACAGAAAAACAACCGTGACGAACACAAGAAACAACGTTGCAATGTTCACAGCTATCTCATTGAAGAAACACACCAGCCAACTAACCAGTCAACCAGCCAACCAACCAACCAATCAAGCAACCAACCAACCAACCAACCAAACCCACCAACCAAGCAGCCAACCAGGTAACCAACCCACCACCCGTCAACCGAGAATGAGACATCAACCCCAGAACCACAAAGCTTGGGCTTGGAACCTGGGGTTCAACCCCCATCAAAACAAAGGCAAGGACCCAATTTAGATGATGACAATCCTTAGGCAAGTAATGCTGGTTTTATGAGCCCCCATTTGTTTTACTTCCATTTGGTTAAGACCCCTGGAAAACAACCATATGTCCAGTGGTGGTTATATAAAGCCCCCATTGTTTTACATGGCGGCTTGAACCTCAGAACCACCAGGTTTTCAAAAACCGGCTGTTTCCTCGGGGTTTTTGATGGTCTCCTGAAAAACCTGAAAACAAGGATCCCTGGGTTCAGAATGGAAAGGGAAGGTACGCCTAGAACCAAGCTTGGGCTACCGAACCCCGAGCGAGAAAGCCCAATTCGGGCGCCGGGCAGCAAGAGCGAGCCCTGCTCTTCGTCCACCTAGGGACCCCCAAAAAACCGCCCAGTAAGAACCATGCCTGCAAGAAAACTGCACCAAAAAAAGGACCCCCCCATTGGAGTCAGAGCCCAACATCCCGGGCGAAGCCTGCTTAGGGGATAGTTGGTTGAGTTGAAACTGGGCTGCCCTCAGATCCCCCGCTAAAAGCGACTAACTTTTTGCGGCTTGAATGGAAATCCAACCACAAAACACTAAAAGGCTAAAAAGCTAAGGGGATGGCTGGGAACCACAAAGTAAACCACCGCAAAACGCAGCAAACTAAAGGGAACCCGAATGGGAAACCATGGAGAAAACAGAGAAAGCCAAAGGCAGCACAAAAGGAAACGGACGAGAAACCAAAGGGTGCGGTACCTGTTTGGGCATTCCCTTGATTTGTCCCCACAAAACCGCAAATCACGGTAAATCAGAGGGTTTCCTTGTTCCTTCAGTTGCAAGCGGTGGCACGGCTGTCAAGTCCTCTCTTCTGCGGGGGAGGACAAAAACACACCCCGGGAAGCACGTGTCTTCGACCTCGTACCTGCAAATTGCATCTTTCCTGCACTTCCGCTCGGCTGGTACATGCACAAGCCTGACAAGGTTGACCAAGTACACCCGTCCCCCCCCCCCAGTTCACTGACTGAAAGACACGAATGAAGAGGGGTCCAAATTGGAAGAAAACAAGCCCCTCATCCGCTTTGCGGTTCTCGGATTTTCCCCGCTCGTAAATTGAACAAATATGGCCAGGCTCGGTGACAGTGCTCAGGGCAGCCCCAGAGGTGAGACACCCTGTATAGACGGCTGAGACCACGAATTTTGCAAGGATTGGAGAGGCAACGGTGCTTGAGCGTGGTGGGAGCTTCGGAAAGTGAGGTAGCCATAAGGTCCTTCTGCTACAATAACCTTACCCCTTAAAAACTCCAAGCCCTGGGGAAGTTAATCTTTACCATGTTACCCAAAAAGTTGAACAGTTGTGTTTTTAAGAGGTAAGTAACTGGCCTGGCAAATGCAATACGAACCGAGCCGACCTAAAAAGGTAGCTGTGCTTCAACTTGCTGCGAGACGGTAGCTGGGAGAACTCCAGCTATGGCTCAGACTCAGAGTCCCTGCAACAAGTTAACAGTCTTCTGCTGGTTGATAAGGAGAATGACGGCAACAACAAAAAAGGCAAACACTCAAACTGGGAAGACTGGAATTCAAGGATCCTTGAGAAAATAATGATCTGAATACCTCCCTCGACCCCAAAACCCAAGCCTGAAATGAGGGTTCTTCGAAATGAGTTTAATGAACCTTTTGTGCTCTTCCCTTCAAACACTCGCTTAGGTTTAAACATGTCTTTGGAATCTTCAGCAGGGCTCCGTTTGAAGGTTGGTTGAGACAACCCCTACCTTAACTTGGAATCCCTCAATTTCATGAATTCAGTCTTCCCATACAAGGGAAAACGGAAAGTCCAGGGTCAGCCTCCTCCCCCTAATGCAATGGGGATATTGACACATACCATGTCTCAACAAGCCCCTTGGCCGCACCTGCGACCGCCCGGGCCCTGTCCCTGGGCGCCGGGGCCAGCTCGGTGTCATCCCAATGGTCTGCCCAGCCTGGAGACCATGCGTCACAGTCAGGGAGCTGGGGTCGGCATTGCCCGCTTAGGGAACCGACTTGAATGCTACTGTGTCCATTTGCGGATACGTCCCCTGGGAGAATGGACAAACATGTCCAATAGTGATAGATCGCCTCTAAAAAAACCAACAGGAGATGGACACCTTTAAATGTGTATAAACGAGGCTACCGCTCAACTCTTTCAAAGCTCAGCTGGGACCGAACCTCCTGCCAGCCTCTAGGCAGCAACTAAGGCAAGACAAACTCCCTTGTTGCGAGCAATATTTCCCAGCATATAACCCATCATGGCAAGAACAGTCTCTGTGACAGCATTCTGCCTACTCACCTATACGTTGGAATAGACCCTTGAAAGAGACTGTTGAGCTGAACGTAACCACCAGCTACATTGAGCTCGCATATGCGGCTTGGCGTATTTGCAGGGCTTCCTACATCTCCCCCTGAAACATCACCCAAGAGGAAGCACATCTCAAAGCGGCTCAAAATGTCTTTCCAACCCTCGGTGTGGTTGCAACAAACCATTCTTTTTGCCGCCCTCAACTAAAAATGAGCAGAACCCAACAACCTAAACATCTACACACCATGCCAACAACAGCGAATAAAAGTAACACCGGATTAAAGGAGGACATCCCATTGCTTCACCTTTGTAACTTGCGTATCCTGACGTTCGGATCCCTGTGCGAACGCGCTCCCTCCCTTTTTTGGGACACCTGCCGCCCCCCCGCACCCCCCCCCCACTAAACATGAGCAGAACCAACCAAAACGCAAAAAAACACATCTAGAAACATGCCCACAACAGCCAATTGACACAACCAAACCTAAGAACCTAGAAACATGCCAACAACCGTGAAGACGTTGTGTTCAAAAACCACTTGAGGAAGAACAAATCTCGGGACCTCCTCATTCCGTCCTCCTTCCGCCCTTCCGCAAGTCGGCGCGGCTCGAGTTGAAGCGGCGCCGGTCGACCCAAGCTGCCCGCCCGCGGCTGGCCGAGCGAGCGAAGGCCTGTAGGCATCTCCTTGGAGATCTGAGCCAGGGAGGGGACCAAGTCCGCCTGGCTTCGGGTCTCGGGTTTCGGATTTCGGGTTTCGGGTTTCGGCGGTAGGCGCGCAGAGCCAGCGGCTGGTCCAAGCTACGGGGTTTGATTAGGTTGTTTGTGTTTTTTTGGTTTTTTGTTTTTCCGTTTTTTTCCCGCCCCAAGAATTCCAGGCTTGAAGTGGTTTTTGTTCTGGAGAATCAGTCCACAAACGGCATTTTCGGATTTGGCAAGGAAGCTTCAACTGAATGAAGGGCCCTGAAACGTGCAATCAATTGACTCACGGCGACATACGATGACTCAAAGTTGCTTGGGTGTGTACGCATCATTCATGTGTGAAGCCTGTGGAATCTGGGCTTTCCGGCTCTATGTGTAGATGTAAGACCTGCTCGCAAGGTTTGGCCTTTGCCAGGTGGCTCCACCGTGCAATGCGCAAGCAAACACGAAAAGGGGCTTGCCATCTGCGCCCCTTGCTGCCCTGTCTGCTTGCTCCATGCAACAGGATTTTCCTTCAAACATGCCCTCACACCTACTCGGTTACCCTGCGGCACTGGCACGTTTGCATCACAAGGATGAGCCAGCCATGTCCTTCTTTAGTTGGCATGTCCGAGGATGACTGAGACAGCAGGTGGCGTGGCTTCCAGTCCAAAGACAGCAACACATGCAGCAAGGAAAGCTGGAAAGCTCTTGGGGAACATCAACATCTTAGGATAAGCGGGCGGAACCAAGCTGCGATTCAATCATCCAACGTATTGCTCCAGGGGTTGATTCCCCATTCATAGGGGTTGATTCCCCATTCATTTTAACCATTGTTCTTTCCAAAAACTGGCCGTTTTCCCTGGGTTTCCGCAGGTTTTCTTGAAAGATCCGGATCCCTGGAAAGAGTGGAAATGGAAGGTACCCGTAGAAACTGTTGTTTTGAGCTTCTACCCCCCCCCCATGTGCATTTTCCGGGTTGGCTTAGAGGGAGCCAAGGGGGATGCCGGCCCATTTTCTGGCTTCCAAAATCCCAAATGGTGCGAGTTAGTTCAAGCGGGTTGCTTCGCTGGAAGTTTCAGGCGGCCCAACCAGGAAAAAGTCACACCTGGCGCGTCAAGGACTTGGACCCGAGCACCAACCAAAAGGGACCAACCAAAAGGGGTTCTCCCTCAAAAAATCAGGGATCCTTACATTATACACCTGAACATTGCCTTGTAAATGGAGGTTTCCCTTTATCTTGGTGGAAAAAGCCATGTTTCAAATGGTTGCAAAATGTGTCTTTTGAGGAGCCCTGAAAAACAAAACGGTATTCTGACCGCAGCTCACGTGGGCTTGCAGCTTGGGCGAGTGCTGAAAACATGGGTCCACTTTTGTCGAGCGAGCGGATGGACCACTCAACCCGGCTACATCGCGGTTCGGCGCGGCTTGTGTGACTTACGCACACAGCGGCAGCGCGGCCAGCCGGCACTGGCTGACTAGCCGTGGGCACTCACGTGGCTGCACGCAGAACAAGCTCTTCGTGGCTCGGGCTCACGTGGCTTACGCACGTGACTGCATGACCAAAGCCTGGGCGCTAACTTGTTTCCAGCGGCTCTACTTTGAGATGGAAGGAGGAAAGTATTGATATGCCTGCGCAGACCCCGAGGTCCAGCTCACCTCGCCTCGCTTGTTGACAATCCGCAAGTTTCCGTTGGGAAGCAAGGACCTGCCATTTGCGAATCAGACCCCCCGGCAAAAAAGCAGCAAATATCTCCAGTAGCGATAAACTCCGTTTAAAAACCAACAATGGATTTTGTTCAACAATATATATATATATGCTAGTTGGTTCAGACCCCCGGAAAAATGAGCAAATACTGTGGATGGTTGCGAAATCCATTTCGCACCACCTAAGAAACCATGGGACTCCTATGTTTGTCGGTATTTGCAGGGGAATCGAATCATTTCAGGGGTTCTTGGGTGGTGTAGGGTTTCGTCCATCCACAGTATGTCCAGTAGTGATAAACTCCTTTTAAAACCAACAAGGGAAAATCAAAAAATATACTTAAGCCAAATGGAAGTCTGGGAGTTCCCCTATCTTGATAAGCCCTTGAACACCAACAAGGGGGAAAAATAATAATTAAAGACACATCCAATATCTTGACAAGCCCTTTAAAACCAACAAGGGAACATAAACAAATATAATTAAGCCAAATGGAAGTCTGGGAGTTCCCCTATCTTGATAATCTCCTTTTAAAACCAACAAGGGAACATAATAATCATGATAATAACAATAGTAATAATAATAACAGATAAAAACAACAAGGGAACACATAATAATACTTTCTAAAACAAGGGAACACAAATAATAATAATAATAATAATAATAATAATAATAATAATAATAATAATAATACTAATAATAATATACAAAAACAATGAAACACAAATAATAATAATGATACTAATGATAATATGAAAAAGAAAACAAGGGAAACACAAAAAACATAATAGTAATACACAACATATGCTTAAGCCAATTGAAGGCACAGGACGTTCACTCCGCTGAGCTTCTCTAAAGATGTGTCTGCTGTATCCGAAGCCCATGGAGAAATGGTGTTCCCTTCGTCACAATATAAGACCAAGTTCCCATCTTCCTGCATTTTCAGGTGCGCAAATGAGTCCGTTGAGTTGCAACCGGCAGAAGAAGACCAAATGCTACTCTTCTGCCATTCTCGCAATACAGGCTTCCCTGCATCAATGGATAGCTCGTACTGCAGGAAATATGATTGCACCTCAAAGGCCCAACATAACAAATAGTTTGGGGGAACATGATTTGTTCACCCCTCCCCTCCCCCTCCCCCCCCATCCCCCCCAAGGTTCACAATTTGGAAAACCGGGTTTATTAATCATGACATGATCGCCGACCTTACTTTCAGGCTTGTTTGGCTGGTCGACGACGGGCACCCCCGCAAGCAAAAAGCTCAGCAGGGAATCAGAAATGGAATGACCCCAAACCATGCCCTATGGCCCGGGGCTCTTATTCCCACATTCCCTACCCGAATATGAATCAACCCCAGTAGATTTCCGCTAAGGGGACTAAATTCATTTGCTCATTCCCTGCTCGCACCAGCAAGAGAAACGAAGGAACAAGAGTTGCCACCGTGCAACTGGGGCGCAAGGCGCTGCCCAACTGCCAGAGAGTCGGGGCTGCTCAGATTGCTGGCTCCAAAGCCTAAAGGAATCGAGCCTTTGCTGGACCAAACTCCGGATTCATTTCCCACATTGTACCTCAGTTGTCCATTCCCTTGCCCAAATTCAGGAAAGCTGTAGTGGGATATGGGATTGTCTCAAAATGGCGAGCCCTCAAAATGTGTGTGTGTTCCTGCTATTTCCCTTTAACCCAACCCCCGAGAAAGGGTAAAGACAGACCCGCACGGGCAACCCGCAAGTTTAAGGCTTCTTCAAGGTGCAGGGCACGCAGCAATTTAATTAAAGCCTGGTAAATGGGTCAAAAACCGGGCTTACGAACCACGTAGCGACGTAGCTGAGGGAAAACCCCGACCGCTTTCAGATCCTTTCAGTAAAAAAACCAAGGTACATGGCCAGTGAGCCATCATTCTGCATGGCCACCATGCGGCAGAGCGTGGAATCCGTTTCGGTTCCAGCAGCCCACAGTGCGCTGCAACCGCAGTACAAAACCTCTCAATGGCGCGCTTTCGCGCCGCTTTTTCGCGCCCCCAGCGCAAGAAAGGGGGGGCCCTCCCACCTAACGTGGAAGTGCAAGAAGGCCCTTTCCAAGAGGACAGTAGTGCCTTTTACAGGGATCTGTGCACTTCCATGTTAGCTGGTGGGAGGGCTCCCATTTGGGTGGCTCTTTTTTGAATTCGGACCCCTAACATGGCTTCGGTTCTCTTTCTGGTTTCCTCTTGAAACCGCCAAAAGGGAGGGGTACCCTCAAAAAAGACAGACCCATCTTGAAATAAGGTATGGAGAAGCAAAAGTGGAACGCTATTTGGTGGCCAGCGGCTTTCCAACCCAAACGGTGCGAGCGGTAGAAGAAAAACAAAAAAACGCTCCTCTTGTGGCCCCCCACCACAACTAGGTCCTCCAATAGAGAGGTTAGAATAAGGCTACCTTTTTTCTGTCTATTTTAATAGGGGACACCTCCAACAAAAAAAGTGTAAACGATCACTGCTGAGGCACCTAGAGAATGAACAGAAGAAACAAGAACATGCCAACAGTAAAGGTGTATCAAAAGGTTTGGTGGTTGGTACAGGGGTCACTGGATTTCCCCTTCAAATTTTGCAAATTGACTGGTGGTCTTCATTGAAACGATCGCCACGTTTGCCCTGAGTGAATACCAAAGCTACAAGCCAAGGATCTCACCAACAGGGATCCTTACATTATACACCTTGTAAATGGTGGCTTCCCTCTAGTTGGGTGTTGAAAAAGCAACATGTGTCAAATGGTGGCAAAAGGAATTTCTTTTAAGGAGCCCTGACCAAACAGACAAGAAACCAAGTTGCCGTCAGATTGCAGTACAAGCTCCGGAGATGCGTTGGGGCATTTGTTTTGTGTGTCACTGCTCCATGTTGCTCGATCATAGATATCATAGATCACCAGATTTGCATCATTCTGCAAAAAGAGCTTGTACATTCCATTTGGAGACTGCAGCCCACTATTGGCAGCCAGCGTCTCGCCAGTCTTCATAATGTCGGAGCTGAAAGAATCAGGGCTCCAAACGTTGAGGTAGGTGAACTCATAGGTCGGCTCGAAATAGCCGAGGTACGAGTTGTGGGCCGAGCCCAATACACCTCCTACGAGTTTGTAGGAGCCATCGTCTGTGACATAGCCTTCTACCGCATCTCCTCCACCACTCCCAAAGCTAGCAGAACTGCCGTCTGACAGACTCATCTCAAGAGTTGCCTCAGTCCAAATGACACTGCGCACAAGGCTAGGCTGGACTTAGGACCCCAGCAAAAAATATATTATCTGTTTTGCCTGGTTAGTGGAAAACAAAGGGGAACCCAAAAAAGCAAAAACGCAAAAAGGGGAGCTAATTCTGGGGAAGAAGGTTGGACATGGGCTTGTCGCAATTGGATTTTCCTCTTGGTTTCCCTTTACAGGCTCTCCAGAAGGTGTGCCCTTCAGAAAAGGCACACCCAAAAATGGGAAACCAAAAGGTCGGTTGGTGGCAAGTGAGCTGCAATCTCTGGATCGTTGAAATGGAATTTGAGCTTGGTAATGTACTTGTCGTCAGAGAGAAGGAATTCATCCGCATTTCCCCCGCTCCCACCACCAATGCACTGCTGTCCATCAGCATAATAGATCTGAAAGCCATCCACAACGTTGAAAGATCGAACGATGACTTTGGTAATATTTCCAGGGCCGGAGTCACAATTCTTCGCAAGTGTGGGCAGGTCGTTTGCGTAGGACACTTGAAGCTCTGAAACCGGCTGAGAGACGTATGCGAATGGTCCAAGCGTGACATATTTGATCGCTGGCAGCACCTGAACAGGCTTCATCTCCATACCAGGAACATAGCGTTGAAGATACATCACAGTTCCTCAGATGCCCAGTGGATTTCCATGGGGAAAATCGACATCCTTTCTTGGTTGGTTGAGTTTAAAGGGGAACCCAAAACCCGGAAAAAAAATAAAGAAAAAAGGTGCCACTGGGCAACTGGGGTTCTCAAGCTTGCAATGATGGAGCGAGCCACATCTCGTACAAAACGAGACTTCTGCAGAGCGGCGGCAGATGCGCATCTGTCGTCGTTTGACACCTCCCCACTCCAAGACAGGTCATACTGGGTCCCCGTAAGCGTGTCCTTCGTGCTGGACGAGCAGGTCCCTCGCCTCCGTCCATTCATTTGTGAGCTTGTCTCCACCTTGTCAGACCGCCATGCGAACCAATCTCCATAGGTGTAGTTGAAGAAACTCTGATAGAAGGCCACAGCAGATTGGAGCTCCAAAGCCTGAGTTGTCCCTCAACCCAAACATAAAACGTTTACTTTTTTGGAGCCTTTTGGGGGTCAAGATTGAAAATAGTCCAAGGGGTTGGTTCCCCATTCTTTTCAACCATCGTTCTTTCCAAAAACCGGATCCGTTTTCCCTCGGTTTCCCGAGGTTTTCTAGAAAGATCCGGATCCCTGGGTTCAGAATGGACATGGGAAGGTAGCCCTAGACACATTGGAAAACAAAAGGTCAACAGGCCGGCTTTGGGCAGCTGAGAATCCCATGAGCCATCATCCACACCATAAAGAGATGGACCATCATTGACCCTCTCACGGAGAATGACACAATGGATAGTGGCCGTTGCAATGGTCAATGGCAACCTTAGATTCTGTTGCTTCAGGATCTCCCTGCCAGAAAATGACATAACCAACAATTCAAGGAGCTTCCAATAACAACAACAAAACACTAAGCAAAGCCATGCAGCAGCTGAAGCTTGTTTCCTGATACTGTCAAATGTGCTATGATATCCTCCACCTTTGCAAGGGCTATGCTCAAGAAGTTGCCACGGTCAATGGTGGACTTGCTCCTGTTTCGGCTAAGAGGAAAAACCCTTGGCAGGGGGGAACTCTCAACCTTAAATGGCCATGGGTCAAAATCCAAATCGTACCCCCAGTGAACATCCGATTCAATCCAACCACTAAAACAGGTTCTAAACTGGGTGGTGGAGTGGATTCACCTACCAACCAAAATGGGATCCTAAAGCGGTTTTGACCACCACAGCCAAATGGGCCAAACCTCAGATCTGTTTCCCGGGCTGTCCTCGGATCTGCCGAAAAACCTGTTTCTGACGTGTGGACGAAATGAAAACTGCCACAAGCCCCAAAAAGAAACCTAAAAACCTCAAAAAAAAACCAAAGGGGACGGCTGGGAACCGAAAAGCACAATGAGAAACGAAGAACCTAAAACCTTCAAAAAACCCAAAAAAAAGGTTCCCAGCCGCAAAAAGAGAACCGAAACATTCAAAAAACCCAAAGGTTCCCAGCCGCAAAAAGAGAACCGAGACAAAAATGAAAAAAAAAAGGACCCGCCGTCCTGGTGTACCGCTTCATCTCCCGCTTCAAGGCCAGCAGGTCGGCGTAGCGCTCGCGGAGCTCGTAGGCCAGGATCTTCACGTCCACCATCTCCGAGACCTCCCCCACGATCAGCTGCCAGATGTCGTAGACGTCACCACCTTCATGGTTGGCCATCCTATAAGCCGCTAGGTATTGAAACATGGCAATGGGTTGACGTCGCCACCTAACGTTAGCCATCAGAAAAGTATAAGCCAAGTTATTTGGGGTGGAAATAAAGCAACCATTGCGGGAAGGGGCCCTGTATTGGATGTACGTCATAAAGCAACACCTCAAACCAGTCTTAATCAGGTAAGCCCCTCCACTTGCTCAAAAATATAGGCCCAGTCCCCCACCGGAAGGGCCCAACAATTCGGTGTGCCTCCCCCCGCATCTGTTCATTTCGGGGTTCGGGGTAGGCCTTCTCTACAAGAACCAGGGGCTCAGATCCCCAAACCAACCCAAACCACTGAGGGTAAGCTGACCATTTGTGAATACGTCCCCTGGAAAACAAACATATTCACAGTGATAGGTTCGCTTTAAAGCCAAAAGGGAATACAGCACATTAGCTTCAGCAAGTGGAAGCACAATAAGATGAAACTGCGAACCAGTCGCTCTCGGGCCAGAAAAGATCAATTGCTTTCTCCACAACTCCGCCAATCACTGGGATTTTGCCTGCCGCGTATGTGACCACCGACTTTCCGACACTCTCTAGGCGATCAAGCCAGGATTGGCTACCAACCGTCACCGGGATGGTGTCTTCTAAAATCTTCTCATACTCCTCTTCTGCTTCTCCTGCAGGGTGCGATTCAACCCCTTGACCAAACATGATTGAACCACTGCTTAAATAACAACCTTTCGGCTTTGTTGGAAAGAAATTGGACCGGGTGGTCAAAATAATTAACACACTCGCTTGAATATCGTCCGGTCAGCTTTCCTTGAAAGAACCAAATGGAACTCCTAGGCTCTGGTTTTTCTTCCAGACACTTTATCTCAACATCAGTCACAGTTTTTAAGGGAAACGCAACTGGCGATCCAGGCCTGTGACCATTTCCATAGCGCTTTTTACATCCTCGGCGATGGCCCAATTGGACCTCAGCCCAGCGAAATTTCAGGCAAACACATCGGGCGCCATTTTCGTGCGTTGCCCAGAGAACCCTGCCTGAACTTGACGATGTGTGGAGAAATCATCAAGCAATGGGTAAAAGGGCAATCGTGGGGGACCAAACGTATTTGCCCAAAGGCCCCAGAAATGAAAGGCGATCATGTTGTGGAATCCTAACTGGACCAAAGGGCACAAGAAAAAAAACGGGATTGCTTTTCTGGACCTTGGCAATTTGGGGGGGGGGGGGAGGTTGTTTAAACAGCAAGCCAAGCCTGGCAAAGTTGTGCCAAAAAACGCAAAGGGATTGCCACTGGGCAACTTGGGGACATGGCTTTGAGAGCTGTCTCCATCGATTCTACATTCTTCGCATCTTTGGCGGAGCAAGTCGTCGAAGTCGTCACATTATCCCGGGCGAAGCCTGTGCGCTTCTTCCAGCGTTGCATCAGTTGAAGCTGGTCAAGTTGGTCGCCGCAGCTCGACTCACCGGCGCAGGGCCGCAAAAGGATCCACGACAACCAGGCCATGGCAAAAGCGAACATGAGTCCAACACTTCGCGCGCAAACAGCTCTGGCGTTGGCCTAAGCTTTGAGCCAACAGAACATGTAACTGAAGCATCAGTGGGTAGCTCCAATCCGGCAATTCATCCCTTTCACAGAAGTTGTTTCAACAAGAAGTTCAAGTCCAATGATCCGCTACCAAATATCCACAGGGCTGTCAGTTTTTAGATCCCCTGCTAAAAGTCAGTAACTTGTGGGGCTTCAATGGAACCCCAACCGCAAAACCAACCCTAAAAACCAAAAATGCAAAATCAAAACCTAAAAAAATAGAAAACTAAGTCTCAGTTGCCCCGTACGGACTTGGACTTCTGAAAGGTGAACACCTTTTGGGGCCAAAGGACTCAGCATGGGAACCCAACAAGGGACACCAAAAAGGTCATTTGAGGCTTAAAGGTTGCAAGGACAACACGTGGTCAAAACAGCCTCTCCAAGCACAAAATGGATCACCTGTGGGCAAATGGCAGCCCAACTACTAAACCAACCCCAAAAACACCCCTCAAAGCCTAAGGGACGTGCAACCCGAGAAAAAAAAAAAAAAAAAAAAAAAAAAAAAAACAACCTACAAACCTGAGTTGAGCCGCATGACTCGCTCGGAGCCACCATGGCCCTAGACATTTCTTTTCGCACCTCGCCCCCGTTGCGCGCCGCGCAGTGCCGCCTCGGGCGACCGACGACTGCATTCGTCGAAGGCATTCGTCGAAGGCATTCCGAGCCGGGCCCCCGGGGCTTCTGCAGGAGTACCCCCTACACCCAAGACCCACCTTTTTTCAGGGTATGATTTGTCGGCCCCTCTACTAGACAAGGAGGTAATTATTTACCACGGAAAACCGGATCGGCTTTCCCAAAAATACCCTGAAGAAAGCGAGTATTTGGAGTAGGGGGTAAAGTAAACTTGCAAGAGCACCAGCGGGCGATTTGTTTCCGGCGAGACATTTTTTTCTACAGCGGGAATTGAGGCTTCTCTTTTTGCAGGGTACCGAAGCCATGTACCGAAGCCATGCTTGCCTTTTTTGGGGGGGAAAAGCCGGTAGCATTGTTGTGGTGGTTGTCGTTGCTGCTGCGGTGCTGTTGCTGTTGTGGTTGTGGTTGGTTGTTTCTTTGCTCGGGGCAAATCGCCGGAAAACCACCATGTTCTGAAGGAGAAAAGGGCACCCTCAAAAAACCCACACCACCATGTTGAGGTTTCGGTGCCATGGGAACGTAGACAAACTTAAAAACGCGGACATGAGCATGTTCATCGGACACCTGGGAAAGAAACCGTGATAACTCACCCATGGCCATTTTGAGTCCAAGCCAACATGGATGTAAAAAGACACACCTTAAGCGTATGGAAGGACACCCCCGCCAAGCTGTGCGGGTGCCTTTTGCCTTTCAAGAGGCATCGAGCAACGCATGCTTTCTGGGCATGGCGGCCTCACCAACCACACTTTTCACTACCGAGCTGTGATCAAGTTTGCCTACTTGAGGCTTACTTTGACCTGTTCATGGGTAAAACCGGCAACCTGTCGTGGAGATTCGGGGCCGGGCGTCAGTGCAAAAGGCACAACGCTTTCTAGAAGACCTCTTAAAGAGGCGGGGTACCTTGTCAGTGGTAAGCCTGGTTCTAACCCACTATAGCTATGGCTCCTGAGGGTTGTAACCATGGTTGCTAACCACTTACTAGGTGCGCGATCGCCCCTCTAAGTAGGCAAATGAGTGCGCCAACTACCATTGGGAAAACTCAATTTGCTGAAGGCGCGGGCCGTTTTAGAGCTATCTTGACAGTTCTCGGGTTTGGGCCAGCCCTTTGCCCGTGAAGTTTGGTGGTTTGAAGCACAACTCTTTTTGAATCACCCTAAGGTACCGGTATTTCCTGTTCAAGTGGTCCACGGAGTTGGCCAAATTTCAGGCTTCAGGCCTTTGTTGGGCAACTTGAACATTGAGCCCAAACCAGCTCAATTTCAAGGGCACCCTCCCTCCCACTAACAATTTCGCAACTGCGGGAGGGTGCCTGGAACATCCCATCTCCTCTTGGAGAATCCTTGCCATGGCAACTTTTGGGCAGGGAGGGTACCCCGAGTCGGAGCCCCGAGGGGCCGGCTTCAGGTTGTCTGTCCAGCTGACCGCCTCGCGGGAACTTCCGTCAGGTTTCACGGCCGCGGGTTTCCGTTGCTCATTGCGCCTCTCTCGTTGTTTGGTGCCCGGTGGTTTGGCGAGGTGTGGCGAAAAACCTGGGATGGGTTCAAAGGAAGCAGGGAAGTTGTCCCAGTCACAATCGCCAACAAGGCCAAATGGCACTTAGTGATGTTCTGGCTAGCAGTCATGCGTACAACTCAATCGATTTCCAACCATGGCTCTGGCTTGATAAATGGCCAGCCAGACCAGCACTCTGACACGCCTGCCCCTGAATACTTGGCTGCTCTTGACCCCCCTGCAAAAATGTTAACTGTTCGGGGGTTTAGTGGAAAACACCTTTGTTTCCCCAAAAGTTAAAGTCTAAAGATCCAACCCAATAGCAGTCAAGTGAAGTCCCCCCCCCGTTTCGGAGCTCCGCGCTCGCTCGGCGCTCGGCGCTCGGCTCCCTCGCCTTGCCGACGACCACCGAGGAGAGGTAGCTGGTGGCCCAGGCAGGGATCAAGCCGCCCATGTCGATCTGGCTGCCTGCGGGTCCCTCGTCCATTTTTTGTTTTGGGACCCAAAGGATCGCGCAGCCGAAAAGGGGTCCCCGCTTTTTTTGGGCGTGGCTCGAAATTAAAAGCTAGGGCAAACTGCAGATTTGGTTCCATTTAGCAAGGTGCTAGTTGGGTACATTTGATTGAGCCACAGCCTTTTTGGGACCCAAAGGACGTCCGTGTTACGGCCACAACGCGCAACCGAAAAGGTGGCAACTGGAACAGAAAGAGGGGGGTACGAATCCCTGCTCAGGAGCCCGAAAGGTGGAAACGGAACCTATTCTTCTTTGGAGTTGACCGCCTATTTTTAGTTGGGACCCCATCAGCCACGTGAGGGGGAACCGGTTCCGAGTTCTGTGGCCCGTTAGCAGTCTTGGGCTTGACAAGCTACTCCTGCTTTGACGGACAAACGGGCAAAGGGGCGGGCGCGTCGCTTCTTTTTCTTCTTCTTATTGTTTTTTCCTGGTCGCATTGTTGGGGGATGGCGTTCAAGGGAAAACCAAAGGAACCAAACCCGGGGCTAAGGCACCGCTTGCAAGCCCTTGACAAGTTGGACGTTTCGACCGAGAAGGCTACAAAAGGGTGCCACTAACTCGCTCGACCAGCGGGACACGTACAGCTCGGGAACACGCTTGCCATGGCACCTGACAAAGGTTACGTTGAAATGACCACATCGAACTACAAGGTGCCTTCCCACAAATGCGATGCTTGTGCACGGGTAAGGGGATCCATCTGATAAACTAAAGGCCATGGCGCCATTTAATTGGGGTAGCCATCTCATTTGGTCCCGCTTGTTGACGCATGTTTGTCTGCTCGTTGGGTTTCCAGTCGCTGCGAAACCAGGAGAATTGTTGGAACGCCAACATGTCAACAACAACTGGCTCCATGTTTCTCAACATGAATTTGAATGTTGACTATACTCGGCGGCTTTCTGCTCCCCTGCTAAAAGTTTAACTTTTAGTGGTGTAATGGAAAACCCCAGTAGTTGGCAAAAAGTTAAAGTCCTAACATCCAAGCAAAATGCACCAAAGTATATACTATTCTCACGTCCTGGGTGGATTGGCCAAACAAAAGTCCAAAGTTTTGGGTTGTGTCTTTCAAACAAGTTTGCAGCCCATGAACTCAGGGAGTGAGTCTTATTCTACTTAGTTTGTTACAAACTGCACGCGACCCTCTATTTGCTTAAGTGCCCTAGAAAAAAAGAAAAAAACAATCCCGATAGTGAAATCGATTCCCTTCAGGGGAAAATCAACGGTATTCGGCACGTGGAAGCATTGGTGGTATAGCTCAGTGGGTACTGCCTAAGACGCTAAGGGCCCAGGGTTTGACTCCCAGAGCCTGAAGGAATCGGGGTGAGACAAAAGAAGGATCCCGCCCTGGTAGAGCTCCTAGTATCAAAGGTTGCACACCAGACCCCTGGAAGATACCCTTTCAAAATAAGCAAACGCTTGCGGGTAAATTAGGGGCTCATGACCACCAAACGGAACACACAAATAATATAAAACCACTGGCATCCCACCTTTCAACAGCCGTGCTCAATCAACCCTCCAGGATTTCAGGTGGGGAGTGGGGGCTTGAAGTTTGGACTCACTTGTGGCTGGTATCAGCGAACATTGAAGTTGGGATTTTCAGGTAAAGGGGGTTAGAGGTATGAAGGTTATGTACCTAAAGGGTATATACTGCGCTTCAAGCTGATATTGGTGGCATGCAAGCCTCCATACCTCCGAAACTCATATCTGGTAATTCGATTGAACAATTACAATTTGCATTGTTGGCTTGAATTGGCTTGAGTCATTGTTGCACAAACAAAAACATTAATTAGGCCTTAATTTGTCCACAAAGGTGAATTTCCAAAAATTAACTTGGTCTTAATTTGGCCTTAATTCCTCCTTAATTTTGAGGCCAAATTAAGACCTTAATAAGGGCTTAATAAGTCCCTACTAAGTCCTTAATAAGGCCTTCCTTTTATGTGTCCTCTTAATTTGGCCTTACTTTGGAGGGGGGGGGGGGTTCAGGGGGGGTGGTTTTGCAATCTATGATTGGAAATGGTGGCTTCCCTTTACTTTGGTTTTGAAAAAGCCATGTTTCAAATGGTTGCAAAATGTATCTCTTAAGGAGCCCTGTTCAATCAGCCGGTGATTTGGATTGGTGGTGTGGTTTGGTTCAGGAGGCGGTTCCCGATTCTCGTCTACCCTCCAGGGGAACCAGGCCTACAAATCCCCAATCCACCAATCCATCAATTAGGGAGAAGCTGATTTAAAGTGGCTTCCTTGTGGTTGCCTGGGTACTGTGGATGCACGAAATCTTACACCACCTGAGAAACCCGGGAATCCTGATTCCCTCGCAAATACCAACCCACGGTCTGGCTTTCTATGGTTTCATTAAGTGGTGCGAGAAGCGGATGTCGCAACCATCCACAGAAATTCGCAGAAGCTGGCCCGTTGGGTGTTTAAACTCGGGGACACACAACAGGGATCCTTACATTATACACCTGAGCATTGCCTTGTAAATTGCGGTTTCCCTTTACTTTGGTTTTGAAAAAGCCATGCCTCAAATTGGCAAAATGTATCTTTTAAGGAGCCCTGCACAAATGATAGCGTTTCTGTTGGTTTCCGAAGACATCCCCGAGGTGTACCGAGCCTCAAGCAACCCACACACACACATGCATTGTCCAAGTTCACCGGGGGTTCTTAAAGGAGAAGCCTGTTTTATAATAGGGATATGTTCCCAAATCAGCTTGATGTTTCTGGCTCAGATGGGTTGTCTCCAACTAACTGAGGGCACCCCAAAATGATGTTCCCTTCACGGCCAACCAAAAACGGGTCCCTCTAGCATCTAGCCCCGCAAGGCTCCCTCAAAACGAGGAAAGTTGGATGATTGATCATAAAGTTCAACCTGTTTTTTCGCATTCGAACTACTCACTTGCAGTTAGTTGACCCTAAAATAAAAGGCGACCACCTTTTGTGGCCAGGACAAATCATGAAAACCCCAAAACCGAACACATGTCAATTCAGGTCGACCCGTTTTAAGTCAGGCAACCCTCCACTGGTGGTTTAGGTATTTTTCGATCTGATCCCCTGGTCGGTTCGAATCACCTGACGTGTCAAAACATGGGCACCACATTCTTCCTCAAACAAGGAAAAAAACAGATGAAATCTCCATCCCCGCAAAGTCATTCAAATGAACCCAACCCGGGTTGAGAAGATCACGGATGCAGAATTCCGCAAGTGAATAAGAAAAAACAAACACAGAAGCTTGCTGGTGCGCAGGGAATGACCCAGGGTTTGCAAATTTAGCTGGGGATCCCCTTGAAGGAAACCAACTCGGGGACGGTTTTTCTTGGTGTCATTCCGTTTCTCATTCCCTGCCTATCGAACCAAGGAAGGGCACCTCCTGAAGCCACACATTGATCAGTCGAAACCCTGAGGGCAAATGGGAAACCACCCAAACCATCAAAGGACAACCTGGGTATGTCTAGGTACTCCAGAGAGGTTAGAATAAGGCTAGTCTAAATTATTCTCCCCCCAAAAAGTTGGTAAAAGGGCACTCACTGGGGGATGCGTTCAAAACCGGGGGGGCTCCCAAAAGCCTAAACCTCGGTCCGACCTCGCTGAATCGACCTCGCATCGACGAAAAAACCTCCGCCGGCGCGGCAGCTGGTGATCTCTGTGCTGGCGCAGTTGGCGATCCGCGACACCTCCTCGCCTCGGATTTTTGGGTCGCCCGCGTGGGGGTTTTCGAGGGTGCGAGTTCCTGGATCGTCGGTTGCGATCGCTTTTTTCCAGCTACCTATCTAGGTTTCTTTTTTTTGGGGGGAGGGGTTAGTTCACAAGGGGAACCTGAACGCAAAAAGTAAACCACGTGATTGTTATGAGTTGTTTCGTTGGGGGTCCCTATTTATTCTCGAACTTTTTGGGCCTTCGCTCTGAGGAAACCTGGCAACTGAACAGGTAAGCAGATCAGGTATAGACCCCCTCCACGTTTAACAGTTGTTGCTCCAACCAGTTCCGGAGTTTCATGGGCCAGTGGAGGAAAACAATATGGGACTTGCGGACTTGCCGCTAACTCATTTGACAAGCTCTCAGAAAACGGGGAGCTGCAAACCCGCTGAGCTTTCTGCCCTCGGTTCCCCAAACTGTCCTTTGGCTTTACGGGGAGGTGTTGGGAAAGGGATTGCATGCATGGTGAGCATTGTTCAGTAGGCCTAGGGGTGGAGTAATGCGAACGTCGGATGAATCAGCGGGACAGTTCTGGCTTTCAAAGCTGCGTAATGGTCATGCTAGAAAACACGAGGCGCTAGTTGTACTCTCCTGAGGGCAGAACGACTCACAAAAAGATCGTTCGAAATCACATTGTTGAGTAGGAGTACCCTCACTTCCGATCGAGTGAATGGCCCAAACAAGTAACCAAACTGCTTGTCTAAGCCACTAATGTTGGCCCCATTTTTCATAAACTTGTTGATGAACAGGGGGGCAGGGGAGGGAAAAACTTGAAAACAACCCCAACAAGCCAGCTTTAACTAACCAGGGGTCAACATTCCAGGAGTCACCCCCCATGGAATTATGTTTGCCCAGTCTCCTGGGCAAATTTCCCAGCTCTGCAAAAGGTCGAGAAGTGCTGGTGGTTTCGCGTTTCGCGTTTCCACTAAACCCACCAAACACAACCAAAAAACCTAAGGAACCGGACTGGGAACCACAAAGGCATCTTCTCCCCCGCAAAGGGCCCCGTTTTTCAACCCAAGCACCTCACGCGGAGCATCTTGGGATCGGGTTCGAGTGATTCGAATCTGAACGAGGCCGCGGCCATTTGCTGGTCTCAGCAAGGCCCCGGCCTACACTTCGACTGGAAAGGAGTTGGTTCACCCAATAACCCCTACTGTGGATGGACGAAGTCAATTCGCGCCACCTAAGAAACCCTGGAATGATTCGATTCCCCACCAACAAACCATGGTTTCAACCATGGTTTCTTATTTGGTGCGGGTTTTCGTCCATCCACGCGAGGTGTCCTTTTGGTTGAACATAGATTCAACAAATGGATTTCCCTGGATTACGAAACAACCACAACAACCAGGAATCGCCAGCTCTGTCACTTGGTTGCAGAAGTTGCTGAGGTGCAAATCTCCCAAACCACCAATCCAACCCCCCAAATAGGGGCCACCTGAAAGGTGGCGACTGGGGGGCGGGGGGCATGTTTGTTAAATCACGACGACTTTTGATAGAGAACTGTGAAGTGGTTCTGTGGATACAAATCCAAACCTAAAGGATGTCCACCAAAGGGACCTGTTTGAAATTCACACTCATTGCTTCAGACCGCCTATTTGATTGTATGTGTTTGCTTTTGCGGTAATTTGCGGTGTGGACGAGCTTCTCCATGGGTACGACAAGCGGCATGCGCACAAATGAACATGTCCGCTGACTTCGCCAAGTGGGTAACGAAGAAGAAGCCCAAATAGGCAAAGGGCCACGTTGCTTGCTATGGCTCTGGAAAGCAAGCCCTTTTCCGTAAAACAATATGGAATACCCCATGGTACAGCATAAAGCTTAAAGAGTCATTTCACGTTCTTCACATGTAGTCAACCTCATATAGAATCACATCAGAGACCCCGGCAACCCTTGCCACCACTCTGCCGCCTTGTGTACAAAGGCCTGCACCCTCTCGGGATCGTGGTTACCCTCCTGGACAGAGCACGCTGGGAGCCAAAAAACAGGCCAACAGCTGGGATACTCCAAAAATGACATTGGTGGCTCGTCTTTCTTTCAGGATTCAGAGCAAACAAGGGGTACCCTCGAACAGACACATCCATATGTTCTGCTGCTGAATACTTAGCCTACTCTAGAATCCTTAATCGCTTTGGGGGGCGGCTTTGCAAGAAGATGTGGCCATGGGTCAAAATCCCGTACCCCCAGTGAACATCCCAATCCCCACTAAAATAGACTAAAATGGGTGGTGCACCTACCCCAAAATCGTACCGTTGGTTTGACACCCACAGCCAGTAATGTGAAAAACAAAACTATCGTGAGCCCTGGACAAGCCCAACATGGCCATTGAGTAAAGAGCGTGACCTGGCGGCTAAGGCGGAGGCTTTCTGGATGGCAGCCAGTAGGCAAACAAATGGTGCAAGCTCTCAAGCCCGGGCTAAAACACGTGAGCCAAACTCAAACCGTGACATTTCATGTTGACCCCGGATTAATAAACCCCCTGTTTATAACATGGGTGTTCCCGGTTTTAGTGGGGATTTATTGCCTTTGAAGTGGAACGGTGTTCCCGGTTTTAGTGGGGATTTATTGCCTTTGAAGTGGAACACCCCCGTATTAATGAACGGGGGTTTATTAATCCGGGGTCAACATTATACGAGTCCACCCCCGCAACGCGCAGGATTCGGGTGGTCATGCGATCAAGTTCTTAGCTGACGGTCGGAGGGCTGCACTGACTAGAGCGTGCAACCAGCCAATCTTGGGTGCTGTAGATCCCCCAACAAAAAGGTTACCTTTTTGCTGGTTGAAAGGAAATATGAGGAAAATCCAAAACAACAGTCTCAAGATCCAACCCAATAGAAGCATAGCAATACATCCGTTCAAAGCCGATGCGCGACAATCCTCCACAAGCACTGCATGCTGTGAGAACAGCTGGTTTGCCCAAAGCTACCAGCTTGGATCATTTGGCTAGGGAATGGGAGGGGTGGAACCATCTTATCACTAGGCTGGAAGTAGGACCCCAGCAAAACAACACCTTTGTTGCCTGGTTAGTGGAAAACAAAGGGGACCCCAAAAACGCAAAAAAAGAAAGAAAAAGGGGAGCTAATTCTGGGGAAGATCAAACATCCTGGTGGGACCGCAACTTTCTGGCCGTGGCTCTGGCCTCCATGCAGCCTCAGTGGGCGATGATAGACTTGATTGGGTCACGCTTCAACGAATTGGGTTCTAAAAGCCTGACTGCCTTGGGAGACGTTTGCGGCTGTGCCCCTGTCTTGGCACCAACTGGCCTCGCAGTTGGAACTTAAGGCAGGCTTCCAGGCTTCCGAAATCTACCTACCAGGTTGGAAAGTTCAGTTTGGGGTTATTCCATTGCATTCTCCCAAGCGGCCGAGCAAGCAAGCGCTCGCGCGTCCTCAATGGACCGCGACACCAAGGCATAGCCTGACGCGCAGGTGGAGCCAACCCCTCGTTCAAACACCATGATTTAACCAGTTTATAGTGTTTAAACAACCTCCCTGTGTTTCCCTAAAAAGACCCAGCCTTGAGGATACATCCGAAAAGGTGTCTCTTGAAATTAAATCTAAAAGCACGGCGGATGCCGTTGATACTGCAAGTAAACCAACCGCAGACCACGGGAATTCACGGGGGTGTCCTTTGCTCCCTACTTGCAATAGTCTCAAGGCACCCACAGTGTTCCCCCAAAAAGGCACACCCGTTTGATTTGTCCATCAGGCTTACTTGAAGGATACATCCCAAGCCCCCTGCAGCACAAGGGGATCCTTTCCAACATCAGCGCTGATAAAGGTGCTTTTTTGGTAAGCGATCCAAATGTATCCTTTAAAGCCACCCCGTCCACAACACTCTTGCGGGAGGTTCCGGTCTGATTTGATAGGAAAATGAAGCCCTTTTCAAAACCGTCCATACGCAGTCCCGACCTTTCTGGAGATGGAGCGAGAGCTTTCCACTCCTCGCACTTGCCCATCGAAACACGGCACTCGTTGGCTGGTTGGCTTCAAAGAATCCCAGAACGCCGGTGGCCGAGATGGCAACTCCGAACCAAACAGATAAGTTCAAGGATGGAAATGTCTGTGAACCTCCAAAATGGATTTGGTTTCCTCATTTTTCCCCTCAAAAACAAAAAAAAGGGCCGCCTCAAAAAACAGACAGGACCGGCCCGTTTTTCTCCCACCCACCCCACGACTTCTCTCTCCGATCCCTCGCCTTTTCCGGTGGCACAGTCCAAGGGAAGCCTCTCAACATGCGCGAGTCCGACGCTGGGCAGATCCGGCTGCATGCGCAAAGCAAGAGCCACCCTTCGTGACCGATCTCACTTTCGATCGAGTGGATGGCCCCAAGAAAAAGTCCACACTTGTTGCTTGCCACACAGACATGGTCTTGCCCAAAAGTGACTAAAGTCAAGGAACTCTGGAAGTGTTTGACACCGGCTTGCAAGTTATTGCACCCATGTTGGGGGGCTGCAGGCTTAGAGACACATAGCCTTCGAAATATGCATAGAGGACATTGGGGTCTACCCCATTTGGCTACTCCAAACTAGTATGATCCAAATACATGGTTGTCTCTCTTTAAACAACCCTCAAATTGGTGTTCCTTTTTGCTTCCCTGTATAACCACAAGACATACTTGGTTGATGCTGCAAGGAGCAAAGATTACATGTTAGCAGTTAAGTGGGGGTTTCCCACTAAACCGCAACAAGCAAAAATGCAAAATGTGTCCCAACAACAACCATGAATAGGTACCCTCAAAGACAAGCACGCCCATATCTTATTGCATCCGCAGATCGCCTAGTTCACTCTGACCCTCTCACTTCCGGCCTCGCGATTACATAGGCAACTGGTGTCGACGCACCTTACCACGGTGGGCCTGCCTTTTTTGGGGGAGACCCTCAAAATGGTTGGGATTTTTTAAGCTCTCTTTAAAACCACTAAAGGGAGGGTCCCCCTACAAAAAAGACATACTGTGGATGGACGAAAGCCTGCACCATGTCAGAAACACTAGAATCATAATTCCCTGTAAATACCTACAAACAATTGTTTCCCAGGGTTTCAAAGTGGCACGCACGGGTTTCGTCCATCCACCGTCGCAGCATAGAAATAGAAATCCTCCTCGAAGAGCCAGCAATAGAATTTGCGTTTAGAACTAGGGGGGCAGCTTAGAGGGCATCATTCACCCGGAGAATCGACCAACTAACATGTAAACAAGCAAAACTGATAGAAACTCTTTTTGGGCCAAGGCCCCCTCTTTGTTGGGATGCAAAGGGAAATAGGAATAAATTGCGGGCGGGGACAGAATCTTGACAGACTCACGGATGTACACACCCTTCACCGATTATCTCTATGTATTTAAAAAAAATGAACTCGGGGATGGACACTCTCTCTCTCTCTCTCTCTGTCTTCTTCTCTATTCCTATGAATGCGGTACATTTGTTGACAGGGTACATTTGTTCACGCATGTGTGGAGGGATCTGCCTTGCCGTTGAACGCCCAAGTAAATCAAAGTCAACCCTGCCACCTGTTTTGGAAGCATGGAAGTAACATACGTTTTCAAGACAACACCAAACAAAAACAAGAGGACAGAAGAGCGGTCCCGTGTTTTACCGGTGCTTCGTGTCTTCGTTGTTTTTTTGTTTGGGGGGGGGGGTAAACGGAGAAAAGCGCCAAGGCTTGGGCTTTCCAGGACCGAACCGATGGCCGTGCCTCCACTGCCGTTTCAGCACCTCCCGGTCCCAAAACCTGCGAGAGGGACAGCCGCGGAGAGAAAAAAACCGCCGCGAGCGCCTCCAGAGGTTTGGTTTTTGTTTCTGGTGCAGTGGGTGTGGTTGTCAAAAATCGTGCAACCCCAAAATGGGTGGCAACCAGGACTAACGACAAAAAGGTCCATATCCTGGCTGAATTGTTGCCCGTAGATGTCCCCGGTAAGATGCCCTAATTATTTGGCCTCAAGGAGGTTTTCCGCTTCCCTCGGCTTCCTGACCCCGAGAAGGATGCGACGAGGGAGTTGACAAGGGTAACAGGAAATTTAGAAAAAGTAGCCAGCAGGTACACATGAAAAACCCTCTGAAGAGAAGGGGAACCGGCATCACCTTGCCGAGGTTAACGCAGTGGAACACTGGTGAGGCTTAAAAGGAGTACCAGTGTCGGGCCCTGTGTCTCGTTGGGCGACTCGAGTCGCCATTCCGAATCGCACGGACCATCACCATGCGGTCCGTGGAACAAACTTTCAAATGGGTCTGTCTGCTTTTCAGGTACCCCCTTTGTTGCGGTGTTGAGGGGAAACCAAAAGGAAAACCGGTTTTTGAGGCTTGGAGGGCGCTGAGGTTTGCGTTGTTGTTTGTTTTGATATTGATTTTTAGTAAATGTTTGTATTGTTGTTTTTGGAGGGGGGGGGGGTCTGGGAAAAATTAGCGGAGAGGGCTCAACAATTTGGGGTCATGTGAAAGGAGACTCTCATCTAAAACTGACACGCGCCTTTTAAGGGTTCCATGTTTATTCTGTAGCGGAGTAGACAGTCGTTTACTTCTTCCGAAACCGTGTGGAAGGTGAGAAGGCAATCTCAAGGCTCCCGAGAGAGCCCCTGCAAGTGGAAGGCCGCAAAGCAAAACTTCCGACTTGCCCAAAGCCTTATGCTAGCGCTACCTCACTTTCCCAACAAGGCCCCGGAAATACAGGAATACTGCGGAAGCGGCTGAAACATGTTGACACCATTGTTTGGTGGTGAATTGACAGGGGAATCGAATCCTTCCCGGGGGTTCCTTAGGTGGTGCGAAACGGATTTTGTGCATCCACCGACTGTCTTCTTAGAGCTTTCATTCCAGTGCACATAGACCAACATGGGCCTGGGAATGCAAAGCAAGGACCAGCATGAAAAACCACAAAATGACAAGGTGACCTTGGACAAGTGAGCCATGCAACTTGTGTATCACATAGATCTGGGTGTGTTTCTTTTAAGGTGCGACACCCCTAAAATGAATTTGGTCTTCCTTGCGGTTTCCCTTTAAATCTTGAAAAAACACCGCCAACAAATCTCAGGGCCCCAGAAGTCCTATAGATGCCTAAAATCTAAAATGGATTTGGTGTTCCTTGTGGTTCCCTTTAGACACCAAACAATCTCAGGGCCCCAATGATGGATGGCTTGTTTTCTTCTGGGAGTGACTCCCAACTAAGACGAGCAACGTGTCCTGACCCCTCGGCTCCCGGCGGGCGCGGGCACCGGATTACACTTTGGTAAACCTGCGCGCTTGCGCGCTTGCGCGAGGGGCGGCGTTGGGCGAATGTCAGCTTGCAACCCAACGTTCTGGGCTCGCGCCGAACTTTCTTTTGGTGCAGCCCCTTACTAAAAATGAAGAGAACCAAACAAGAACACAAAACCAAAGCCATACCAACAACAGTGAAGCTCAGATCTTTCATATTTTAGGAAGGAGGCGGGGAGGGGAAGGAATTGGGGGAAGGGGGGGGGAATCCTTCAGCCTATTTTTTTCGGGGGGGAGGGGTGGGAGAGAGGGGGAAGGGGAACGGTGGATGCCTACATATTGCAAGGGAACAAAGGAAACCCAGTAAAATCAACCATGGTTAGTGGCTGGTTCATTTGCAATATCTAGGGTACCCACGCAGCACCCAGAATGGTGGGAACACCAAACTTTCTCTCTGAGCCACAAAAACGGTCTTCCCGAAAAGCGACTAAGGCCCATGATCAGGGAGTGAGAAAAAGATCCACCAGTTCTTCTTTTCCCGGGATCAATTTTAACGCCCTTTGTTGTTGGGTTGAGGCAAGGCCTTCAATCCTGATTGAACCGATGATCCCGATCGAGTTGAGCTTGCGCATGTGGTGTTTGTTCCTTGACCCAACAAGAAGTGATCATGCTTGTCTAGTGGGGTATCCTTGGATGGACATCATTGACACTGCGATTTTTGTGCACCAACATCGTCGTGAGGGGGAGGGGGTCCCTAACGATCAACACATACTGTGGATGGACGAAATCCTGCACCACCCAAGAACCCCTGAAATCCTGATTCCCCTGTAAATACCAACCAACAAAGGTTCTAACCATGGTTTCATTTCGTGGTGCGAGAAGCGGATTTCGATTTCAACCATCCACAGTTTACCAAGTCGCCAAATCCCAGCCCGATCCGGAAATCTTTGGTGAGTTCCCTTCGCCCTGATGGCTGGGCCGTTCCCAGATCCCCTGCTAAAAGTCGAACTGTCAGATACTCCTAGAGATCTTGGTTGATGTTGACCCCCCTGCAAAAAGTGTAACTTTTGGGGGTTTAGTGGAAAACTCCTTGACTTCCCAAAAAGTTAGTCTAAAGATCCAACCCAATAGCAGTCAAGTGATGTAGTTTCGGAAGCTACCACTAAGCCCTGAAAGCCTAAACTCAAAGGGGACAGCTGGGAATTAGGGTTTAGGGTTTAGGGATCACCAAGATAGGGGTAGTTTTCACAGCCTTACCCAGAAAAGATGAACAGTTGGAGGGGGGAGACTTTCCACCAATGGAATCGGGTCAAATGGTTAAGAATGGCGCGCGCAGCTCTCAGGAGAACGCAGAACGGCTGGCCACCGTCCCACAAGATCGACAGCACTCTAGTGTAAAAGCGTCAGTTGCTTCTCCAATAAACAAGTCTGCGTATTTCCTCCCCCTTTTAAATAAACACAAAAATCCTTTCGGCATCGAGCGGATTATCTTTAATGTTCGCAGAGCTCCGCAAAACAGACTTAGTCAACCCACATATGCTTTCCCGCCAATTAACATGGGAAAGTGACAGGGGGGCCCTGGAAGACAATTCTCCTTTTGAAGGGACCCGCTGTCAGGTTCCATGAAAATGGTTGGAGGGTAATATCTAAGACTCTGATTGAAAAGAGCCCATCTTGGTCCTTCAGTTGAGAGGTTAGAATAAGGGTACCAACTTCTTTTCAGATTGTCTATTTTAGTAGGGGGACCCTCCCAACCCCAAAAAAATGGGTTGAAGGGCACTACTGCAAAACCTAGGCATGGGCGCTACTTAGATCTGGGACTCGCCTGCCTCCTCCATGGTGGGGTCCGCTGTCTCCGCCGCCTGCACTAGGTGGCTCCTCAGTGCGGCAAGACGAGTTCACGCGGGCCCGGTGTGCGGAGAGAGGGCTGCCCAAAATGGTTCTCCTTTCGCTTCCCAAAACTAAATCCAAGCTTGTTGTTTGCCACTGAAATTCTTACTTGGCCCACTAAAACAAATGGAGAGCCACCAAGGAAAAAAGTGCAAAGTGCGCCCACTGGCTCGGTGAGAAAATGGTCTTCTCAAGAAGTATTGAGTCCCTAAACTGAAAGTGGGAGGCGCTGCCCAAAAAATGAAATCCCAAATGGTTTTCCTTTCAGCTTCCCAAAGCTCCCTTCCTGAGTGGACTGGCAAAAAAAAGTCCAAAAAGTAAATACATTCCATGAACTCAGGAAGTGACAGGTGTTATCCAAAAAGACACATCCATATGTGGGTTGGCGGTTTTGAGAGCCTGAAAAAAACTTGGTTCAAAGGAAAACCGAAACGGCTGAACACCCAGTCCAACTGTTGCTGTCCACAAATGTGTCTTTTTGACCAAACCGAATTGCAAGCAGTAACCCCAAGGTTAGAAATAGAAGTGAAATCACTTTCGCTTGGGTCCAGGCACTGTATTTCACTTTGTTTGGCATAGAAAGCAAACATGAAGTAAACCCGGTTGCTGAAACCCACGCTGCCTCTGGGCGGCAGTGACACCCCCAGAGCATGAATTCGAAAGTTGGAACTTTCATATGTGGCACAACGGATAAACCGCGGAACTCTAGGGGTTGACTCCCCATTCTTTTCAACCATCGTTTTTTTTCAAACACCTGCCTTTTCCCTGGGTTTCTGAGGGTTTTCTGGCTAGAAGGATCCCCGGACAGAATGGAAATGGAAGGTACCCCTAGAGAAACCAAATGCTGCGTGTACTTGTTTGTTTCCTTACAAAGCAAAGCCCCCAAAGGGCAGCCTCAAGAAATCACACATCCATGTTGCCCCAGTCGAACCCGAGCAATTGTTGCTTTCCGTTTTGGTGTCCCTTACCAGGGAGAAAAGGGTACCGACTCCAACAAGGACTTGGCCCCATTTCCCAGCCACCAGACAAAACCAAATTGGCCATCGAGATCTTGGAGCAAGGCTGTTTGGATTTTCACCAGCTATCTCAGCTTCCCTCGTCATTTGGTGGTTTGGAGCCCGGCGGAGGTTTAGAGGTTGGGGATGGTTTCCCATCTCAGCGTTTGCAGCCCCTAGACCTCTGAGGAGGAACGCGGCCATGGCGAGCCCTGTCTTGTTCATTCCAAGGACCTCACGTTTCTGGACCTTGTCGACCTTAACAGGGGGAGGTATACTCAACATGAGGGGGGTAACCCCCCTGCTTTCTTTTCGGGTAGTTGATGTAGAACAAACGCTGATATGGCTGGTTTCTTTTGGGCGTCCTTCTAAACCATCCAAGGTAGGCAATGTTGTTGAGTGACCCAGGTGGAACAAGGGAACCCGTAAACCCTGGCTTACGCATGCTCAACCGGAAAGCTGCGACAAATCACTGGAAATTCTATCACTGGAAGTTGTCCAGGAAGCCAGCCCAAGCCCGGGGTTCAGAGTTTTGTGGCTAGTTTCCTCCGGAATCGCCTAGAGATTGCATCTTCAGATAAATGAGCGAGCAAGTTTCCCTATCTGGGTCCTCCAGTGCCAAGGCTCGAATAATACAATTTCTTCCTGTAGTCTATTTTAGTAGGGGAACCCTCCCAACCAAAAAAAAAAAAAGCACTACTGGAGGACCTAGTAGCAGTCCGACTTCATCTGGGGCCCTTGGGCGCGCTGCTCGCCGGCTTTGTCCCACTCAGCTCTCTCCTGGACCGGCAAACAAAATGAGGATCCGGGACCCCTGGAGTGCTCAAACCCTTTGCGTATGTGTTTCAACCAAAGCAGACTGCGCTTCCCCAAAGAATGGCCTTTTGGTGCCTCCAGCAGGATTGCTTCAAACTCCATGCAGGGGCAGACGGTTGGTCCCTGGCAAGAAACATGATCAATGTGGGCTGGTGTGACAATAAGGGAACCCAAACAACTGCAATGTCCTTTGGATCTCCCTGTGTGGTCGGCCTGAACATGGCACCCTCAACAATATTACACACATATTTGCGAGCGCCGACAATAATACACACCCATTTGCGAGCGCCTTGTGATTTGGCAATATTGCGAAGGCCCGGAGCAAGTCTATTTATTGTTCAACGTACCCTGCAAAGGGTTCCGAAACAACACTCAAGGCTTGTCAACTGTGGGAGGGGTGCCCATTTCTCTCTCTCTCTCTCTCTCGCTCTCTCCAGTGCGATCCCACAGGTCCCAAATTATTTATTTTGATGTAGTTTTTGAGGGTACCCATTCGGCTACAGAAAGACATACCCGAATCGTAAGACAGCCATGGGTCGGTATTAACACTGAAGGAACCAACAGCAAGTCACCAATTCAGCCTACCCAGCCGAGCAAGTTTCCTATATACCTGTGCATGTCTGGCTGTCGGCGGGGAAACACATCTTACGCGAAGCGTGAATCCTGCGTTGAACCACAGGCAATTGTTGCAAAATGATTTCAGTCCCTAGGCGCGGGAGAACTGTGGCATTTGCAGGCTTTGCATAGGCTGAAACATGTTCCAATGTGCAAGTAAGTTCTGTTTCGGACAAGGGCAGGTATGATTGATCGGTGTCTTTCTCTTATCGTGGAGGCTCAGGGAACTCAGGGCTACAAATGGAAACACCGGAGGCAACAGCGGAACAATGGGGAAACAATGGACATATATCAGAGACAAGGGGAAACAATAGATATCAGGGGAAAGGAGAAGCGTGGGGAAAATGTGTCATGAGGGCACTGCTTGAAACACTGGAAAGCACAAGCCTGAGCTTCAGGGGGCTTATTTAAAAAGGCGACTCCTCACAAGGAAGGGTCCTGAATGAAACCTGAAGATTTTGTTGATTGGGGCCTCCCCACCAGAACAGTTCTCAGAATTTGTGCCCAAGTCTAGGGTTCTCAGAACCCTTGTAAGAGAGGGCGATTCTCCCCGATGATCAGCTTCCACCGAACTGGTGGTTTGGTTTGGCGGTTTGGGATTTGAACCCTTTTGAACCAGGGGTAAATGAGAACCCCTCCATTTAACCACCAAACCACCAATTCGGCCCCAAAGAAGCAACTAAAGGGAAGCTGACCACCAGGCTCCGAACCACCAATTGGAGGGAAGCTGAGGTGAGGCTGCGGCAAAGTAATGTTGACCCAGGATTAATAAACACGTCCCACTATTAGGGGGGTGTTCCCTCCAAAAGTGGTCTGAATCCCCACGAAAAGGGGACACCCCCCCGATCAATATCAATCAGGGGGTTCGCTTAATCCGGGGCTAACATTACCAAACAACTGGGTCCTCCGTTAATTAGAGAGGTTAGAATAAGGGCACCCTTTTTCAGCAGTCATTTTAGTAGGAGAACACTCCCCCAAAAAGTAAAAGGGCACTACTGGGGGACCTAGAGAAACACACGCCGAACTTGCTGTTTTTTCAGCTTCTGCGCGCCTCACACAAGCAGGCGACCACGTCCTCGACGCCCGCGCCCTGGCGAAGAAAAACAAGCGTTCGGCGCAGCCAAGGGATCCGATTGGAGCACCCCAAAGGCTGCCGAATGTGGCAGCACTACTGCGGATGGACGAAATCCTGCACCATGTAAGAAGCCCTGGAATGACGATTTCCCTGTAAATACCAACGAACAATGATTGACAAGGTTTGAAAGTGGTGCAGGCTTTCGTCCATCCACAGCAGGTTTGTCCTTTTCACCATTTTTCAGAGTTGGACAGACGTCTTCAGTGGTTGCTGAACCAAATCCCCATTCGGATGTTGATCTCAGTTTCCCAAAGGAGCTGGAAATAAACGGTTAACCTTTGGGGACCTTGATGAATGGACCAAATCAGGCAAACCAAAAGCTTTAAACAAAATCGATTCGCTTTGGGCAAGTTAGGGATGTCCAAACGGTCCCTAATTGAAATCTGAATCCGCCAATGGAACCCTGAACGGATGCACACACCGGCTTCGTTTGGATATCCCAATAGGTTTGGGCGGTAAAAATATTACATGGAATCGCACAGAGTCGGACTCATCGAACAACCAGCATTCCCCCTACCTTACGCTTAAAAGTCCCCAACTTAACTTATCTAGCCTTCCCCCAAAAAAGGGAAACCCGATTTCGACCCAATTTTTTGAGGGGCCCGGTAAGGAGTTGAGATCGTGATTTCCCATTGGGGCCCGGACCATGGGAAGCGTTGTATTGCCTCCCTTATTGCTCCGGTTGTTTGGCAGGGTTGAACCTATGTTTTCTCCATTGAACATCACGCAGCATGCGGCCAGGAAGAAACTCACGTTACACAATGGCGAACAAAAAGCGATGTCGAAGAGCGTGGAACATGTGCGTGCCTTTTGAGGGGGTATCCCCTTTTGGCGGCTGTTTTAAAGAAGCAAAACACAATCAACCCTTTCACAGAGATCATGAAGAAATCCTCGTTGGAAACACACCCATTGGCGTCTGTCAGTACTTGGATCGCGGCTTACTCAATATGCTCATTTCTACCTCATTAGCCCGCAAGCAAAGCCACCTCACATCTTGCATGTGGCTTCCCTTTGAAACAGCCCCAAAACGTACCGAGCCTCAAACCACAGTTGGTATAGAACACAGGTGCCCCCTTTGGGTCACTCGTCCTTTTAATCCTGCGCGAATTGTGCCCTTCACCCGTTACTTCTTTGGGGGGGCTGTTTCTAGGGTTGGCACTATTCTTTCACCACAACAATGAGGCACACATTGTCTGACTCTGTTCCAAGTCGAGTCTACCTTACAATCAAATTCCAAATTTGGGTCCTGGCATCTTTTAATCAATTATTATCTGGACTGTTCCCAGGTCCCCTGCAAACAAAAACTTGTAGTGTCTCACTGCGAAACCAAACCAAAAACAAAACAGTGAAATCCATTAGCAATCGAACTTGAACCAGAAGAATCGCTGTCAACCACCCCTAACAACCTAAACACCTCAAAAACCCTTGCCCTTTCCTCTTCTCAGCTTCTAGTTGCTTAAGCCCCCTGGAAAAAAACAAAGCAAACAACATATTGTCAATAGTGATGGATTCCCTTTAAAACCAACAAGGCAAAATAAAAAGTATTCTTCAGCGAATGGAAGTCAGGTTTTTGGATATCTTACCACTAAGCCAACTAGAAACCCCTAAGAATCTAAGTTGAACCGGATGATTCGCCGGGACCTAAGTTCCGTCTTCTGGCGGTCACTCGTCCGTCCTCCCCCGCCCGCCGCTTTTGGCTTCGCTGCGTTGCGCCTGGAGCTTGGCCCAGAGGCAGGCGATGATCACCGGCGAGGTCTCGTCGTAGCAGATCTCAGCCGAGGCCGGCGGCGGCTTTTGGGGGAAACCCGCAGAAAGCGTGTGGTACCTGTTGAAGTAAAGGGCGGACCCAAATGGTCTCAGTATATGGCCAACGAGGTTTGCTGTTACGTTGCACATTTGGATGGAGAGCCAGCGTTGCGAGCCGAGGTAGCCCGAAAATGTGCTAAACACCCCCAAACTCTACCAGGAATGCGCTATAAATACCCACCCCGCAAAGAATCTCCGAAATTCTATGGGGGCATTCACCAAAACACCCCGCCAAAAACCAGTTTCACCTTACTTTCGAAGGAGTTTGGTTTGGGTAAGGGGGGGGGGATCTTCTCCATTTGGCTTGGAAAAGAAGTGGGGTTCTACCAACGGCATGGCTGGTAGTTCGTGCCCTGAAGGTTCTGAATAAAAAAACGCGTCCTGGGACTTCAGCAGCTTGCGTTAAGGTTCCATACGTTTTTTTGCGCACGTCGGTTTTTAGGGGACCCCCCCCCAAAAAAAAAAAAACGAACCAATGGCCATGGGTTTGAGAAGGCCGGTGGCTCAAACATGGTGGATTGCAAGCCAGCCAACGGGAAACCACAAAGCCATGGCAAGCTTCGATGAGCTATAAGGCGTCCCTCCCTTCCCTTCTTGCAACAATGTGAGTCTGCTTGAAAATGGCGGACCCACACATTGAGTGGTTGTTGTTACCTCTTCAAATTCAAAGGAAAACGCTACCTCAGCACTTGACAGGGCGTCCCTTCAAGCGAAACATGGTCTTGTGGGTACCCTTCCTCTTCCGATCAAGTGGATTCGCCATGAAAAGCCAAACTATTTGTTCCCCACTAAAAACTGGCCATGGGAAGAAGGGCATCCTTCTTTCGGTAGTTGCTTTTAAACAAACCCCCCCCCAAAAAAAAGCAAAGCAGTTGAAAAAGGCTACCACTGGGCATCTGGGTCCAGAAACTCAGGGAGTAATCAGGGGCCCTACGGCCCACACCGACCCTTCTTGTTGGCTGTTTCCAGGCAACCGCCAACAGCTACGGCTGCGACCAGTTTTTTGAAAAGAATAATGGTTGAACCAATCTCTTTTTCCAAACCCAGCCTTGGAAACATTTGGACGCGGCAGTATTTCCCATTGTCAGATCCAAAAGTGATCACGGTGATCGCCTTTCGAAGCCTCGACTAAAAGTGGTCAAGGGGGAAAACACAAGGTCAGGTCGACTCGCTGTGTCAAAGGGCTTGGTTACAGGAACATCTACAGGAAATGGCCCCAAAACACCCTAAATAAGCTATTGTCCTGTACATTTTCATGCAACCCAACCCTTTGGCCGTGGTTGCAAGTTGGAGAAAATAAGCTGTTGCAGGTGGTATCCCACCAGCAACCCAAGAGAATCCTTTTCAGGAACCCCAGCCAGCCACTCAAAGAACCACGCTGGAGCATCTGGGCCTATCAACACCAAAGCTTTCAGTCACGGGTGTCCTTTTTGGAAAATAGATGGCCCTGGTAAATGAGCATAAACCAATCCAAACCAGTGGAACCCATCTATTTCTAACCAAACTAACCGATCAGACGCCACCACAACACACGCACACACACACACAGACACAGAAGCACACAAGAGCACACACAAGCACAAGCACAAGCACAAGCACAAGCACAAGCACAAGCACAAGCACAAGCACAAGCACAAGCACAAGCACAAGCACAAGCACAAGCACAAGCACAAGCACAAGCACAAGCACAAGCACAAGCACAAGCACAAGCACTGCACACGCACACGCACACGCACGCACGCACACGCACACGCACACGCACACGCACACGCACACGCACACGCACACGCACACGCACACGCACACGCACACTGCACACACACGCACACACACACACACACACACACACACACACACACACACACACACACACACACACACACACACACACACACACACACACACACACACACACACACACACACACACACACACACACACACACACACACACACACACACATCCCACCCACTCAAACACGCACAGCTACTCAGCTGCCCAGTGGCCATGGGGACAAAAAACAAATGACACCTTTTTTTGGTTGTTGAGATTCAACAGGGATCCTTACATGAAAAACACCTGAACATTGCAACTTGTAAATGGCGGTTTCCAACTTTATTTTGGTTTTGAAAAAGCCGCATGTGTCAACTGGTTGCAAAATGATTTTCTTTTAAGGAGCCCTGTTCAAGGGGGTTTCCCCCAAACCAAAAAAAAAGGAGAACAAAGGAGAAAGTTACCCAGTTGGTTGAGTCTCAAGTTGGTTGAGCTACCCAAAAACCAGGAGACAAAAGGAAGCAACCCACGCTGGGGCCATGGGAAAAACAGGATCGGCACCCACCTTTTTGTTTTGGCTGAGTTTGAAGGAATTGGAACCCTTACCCCCCCCCAAAAAAAAAAAGGGAGCAACAAGGAAGCAACCCACTGGCCTGGGCTAAGCTTTCAGACATCTGGGACCCCCGGGCGCAAAAGCGCGTGTCCGGCTCGTCGAGGAGGACCTGAGATCTTGGACCCTCTCGGCCTCTCAAAGCTGAGGAAACCACATGGGTCACCTTTGGGTCACCTTTTGGGTGGTTTTAAATGGAGAATCCAAAGGAGAACCAACCAATAAAAGATGGTCTTTGAGACAACACTCCCCACATGTTGCCCCCCAAACGAAACTTCCCTTCGCTTGAGCCCTGTGGATTTCACCTGCTCGTTTTCCTGTAATCTGTCTTAGTGCTCTTGTGCTCTTTTTTCATACTCTGCAGGGGAACCACAAAATCGGCCCCCTGGTTAAGCCCCCCGGAAAAATTGTCCAATAGTGATAGATTCCCTTTAAAACCAACAGGGCAAAATGAAAGAACACTTCACAACCCTCTAAAGCCAGGTCTGCGCCAACGCAACTCACATCTGCATCAAATGACTGAGCTTCCTCAACTGGGCATCAACAACCCCCTCAGGTTTCATCATCTTTACAACCCTTGGGCGGGCTGTGCCACGAGAAGACCCCTGAAATTGGAAAACCTTCCAACTGTTTCAGGTTCCCGTGCGCAAAACCCCCCCCAACCACCCTTGCCCTCAAAAAACAAAATGACACACACGCCCAAAATGACAACAAGGCCGCCTCCCACCCGGGAAAAACTCCTTCGCTTCGCTCACCACGCCGCCGCTTTTTCGCTTCCGGCATCTTCCGGGCGCTGGCTGGCTGGCTGGAGGTTGGGCGGCAGCTGCATCTGGCCGAACTGCAGCAAACAGGCCCGCAGCAGTTGCTGCTGCCACAGCTTCCTCCGCAACTACCCCGAAACTGAAAAACCGAAGCCAACCCCAGGAGAAATTGTAGTAGGAGCCACCAAAGGCACACCGGTCTTTTTGGCTCGGGCGTTAATTTCTTCCTTTGCAGGGGAATAATGGAACCTCCTACAAGTGCAGAGCCTCTAGACTTGAAGGTTTTGCTGTTTTCGCTCGAAACAGGCTGAACTGTGATCCTTTGCAGTGCTGTTGGTTTTTGAGAAAGCCCTTTATTTCCCTACAAGTACGTGACTTTGGCGTTTCCTGGTGTGCGAGGAAATAGTGAGTCGCGTTTTGTGGTTGCATTCACCAACCTTATGTAGTTTGCCATTCAGGTTTCCTTCTATATAAGCCAGTATAAGCCCTTGAAAAAGTTCGTAGCTGACTGGTTTCTTGGCTTCCTCTATGCATCCTAGAAAAGAGGGATCCACAAAAGCCTTCACTTGGAAAACAAGGTGTCTTTCCAAGGGCCCAAACAACACCACAGCAGCTACTAGAAGGGTAGACGGGGGGGGGGGGGGGGGTTGTTTACGGGTGCCATGTTCCAATGTCCATCCTTACCAAAAGGTATGTGTGACAATAGGTATGTTCATTTGAGCGAATCTAGGACCTTGGAGCAAACCTGGGCAACGGGCACGGGAAGAAACAGAACTCGCACCATCTTCTAAAGCAATTAACATAAATGGCGCAGGTAGAGGATTACCCAGTACCGTCTACGTTTTACCAAACTGACCTACAAGGGTACATGTGTGGGGTCAATGTGATGAGAACTGAAGATCCCAGATCAGATTTGAAGGCCTTACCATGTTGGGAAATTTCAAGGCGAGGTTCACGAGAAGATATCACTGTGCATGGGAGCCATCCCACAAAGCCCTTTTCGAGTAATCCGGGCACCCCTCAAAAAAGGGTTACCTACAGGGCCTCAACCGGGGCAAGTGGGTTACCATGGGTGCTACCCGCTCATCTGAATCTGACTCACGGATTGATCGCCCACAATCGCCACCCCGGCCCCTTACAGCCTCCCCCGCCACATTCCCCCCCACACTTCCCCACCCCACTCCCCCGCCATCTGACAAACGAATCGATGGCCCTCCCATCACACCACCCACTCCCCCCTCCCCACCCCCCCCCCCCACTCCCCCCCCACCCCACTCCCCCACCTCCCCCCCCCCCCACTCCCCCTTGTTCCCCCACTCCCCCTTGTTCCCCAACTCCCCCTTGTTCCCCCCCACCCCCCCACCCACACCTCACCCCGCCCGCACTCCCCCGCCACGACCCCTTCGCCTCAGCTCCTGGGGCGGCTCCAGCGCCAGCAGCCGCTGCAGCGCCAGCAGGAAGCTCACGTCCCGTTGCGCTGAACCCCCGTGGAGCGCCTGCTGAGAGCGGTTTCCCTGGTAGATGAGAACAAAACTACCAGGTAAACCAGGAATCGAAACCCATCTATTTTTCCATCAAGGCAACTAAAAAGGCCACCTATGTGGTTGAGCCGTCTTTTGCTCGATGTCATGGGCTGGATCCGGGTTTGGAGGAAGTCTTTTTGGACTGTCCCACGACCAAACTGGGGCTGTGTTGTGTATGTGGGGCATCTTGCTTGCTTTTGCTTGAAGGTTTTTTTTTGGGTGAGGAAAGAGGGTTGCTTCCTTGGTGTGTGAAACTGCTCCGTGCTTGTTGTTATTTCCCTGTCGTGTTCAGCTTGTTTCCAGCGATAATCATGCCGTTATTTACCTTCCTTTCAAATACGATTTCCGTTTGTGTAATTTTCACAAAAAGGCTCCTGCAACCATACTTTGCATACGTCGATATAATTCGGGGGGGGCTGATGTGGCGAGGGGATCTTAGGATGGACGGTTGCCGAAACTGCGAAACAAAGTGCCATGCTCCCGGTGGCTCCAAAGCTCCCCCCTGGGCTTTAGTTCCTTGCCCCCATCAAAACAAAGGCAAGGAGTCCCAATTTGGATGACAAAACAGGGAGCCAAACAGAAAAAAGTGGTTTCCCTTTATTTTGGTGGAAAAAGCAACATGTGTCAACTGGTTGCAAAATGAATCTGTTCAGGGAGCCCTGATAAACAATGGTGGTTCTATGACCCCCCCGTTGTTTTACTGGTAGCTGAACCTCAGGGTCCCTGATTCACGGCAATTTTTTGACTCCCTGCTCCCAGCTCCTGGCTCCCTTCCAACCAGCCAAGCACCCCGGCTTGGAACTGTTGAGACCTGGTTGGCCACCTGTGGGTGACAAATGCAACCAGGTCCCACCCTCAACAAATGTCTTTGATAGCTTGCCAGAAAGAAGTCCAAAATTGCCCTAATCTGCCACCTTTCATTCTTGTTTGATTTGCTTGGTCTCAAGGACTTGCGAAAAATGATCGGCCGATGGGGAACATAAAAACAAAAATGTACCAGTGGTTTGGTCGGCCAGACTGCAAATCGGGCTTCATCCGTGCCAACTGGTGCCCAATTGAAGTGGATTTGCAACAATGCACAATATTGTTGACCAACGAAAAAGGACAACAAACATACACACACAACAAAAGAGTCCTATTCATAGGCAAGGGCTCCCCTCCAAAAGTGATCCATCTCACCGAAAAGGGACCACCCAAATATGAATCAAAGGGGTTGGTCAATCAGATCCAATCTTTCTAGGCTGTCCTCAGATCCCCCGCAGAAGAAGTTGAGCTTTTAGTGGGGTGAAATACGCAAATCCCACCACTCAACACTAAACGACTAAGCTAAGGAACCGGATGGGAGCCAAGTTTGAGCGAGCCACCGAGCCGAGCAATTGCCTCGTAGCTGGCCATCAGCTGCCGCTTGCACTCGTAGAATGCCACCAGCGCCTCCTCTCGCTGAGGGCCCGCCAGGTGCTGGGCGCCTGAGCAACTTTGTGGTGTCCAAGTGAGAACAAGGGGTGACGTGACCTGGCTGGTTCTCAGTCACGCAGGGTTCTTAAAAAAAAATCCCCTTAAAGGAAGCCGATGGTTTTTAGGGGTCATTCCCTCATTCAGGACCAGCAGGAAAAGGTAGAAAAGGTCTGCCCAAATCCATGCAAAGAACTAAACGGGCGGACCGGTTTTGGTTGAGACTGTCCCCCTACCCTCCCACTGCCCGCGTGTTGCTTCTGCAACACGTCCGAGAGAAGGCGCTGAAGAAGTGGAGGTTGGAGAGGTTGTTGAGGAAGGTCACCGTGTCGGCGCTTTGCGGCAACGGGCCATTCGAATAGCACTCCTGACAGGAATGCTCCTTCTGGGCGGCATTTTTTTCAAAGGATGTGGCTCCATGTAGCCAGAACTCTTGGTAGCTCCAAAAGTCTCCCTCCTTGAAAAGACGAATTTTGAGCAAGGCCCCCTTCCAACCAGCTAGCCCTGTTTCTTTTGACTTTTGGCAAAAGTGAAAGTCCAAAGATCCAACCAAATAGCCATAAAGCCTAGGCGATTCTAACTCAGCCCCTTTGCGGCTCAAATAAATTCTACCTCAGCCCCTTTGATCCGTGTGAGGAGGGAGGGGGCGGGCCGGAAAGAAACGGAGGATTTTGCCTTCGCTTCCCCTTCAGACAACTTTTTGCATAGAGGTCAGCAGCAACCTAGTAGAAATTCAGGACTTCACAAGGAGCTCGCTTCTTGGGTGGATTGCAAAACGCAACCTTTTTTGGTAAAAAAGGGTCCAAGCCCAAAAGTCTAAAATCCAGGAGATCACCTAAATACAGAAATTGCTGCCATGCTTGCTTTTTCCAGGATCTCAGGAAGTAAGGGTGGCCCTTTTGGTCATCCCCTGCGCCCGTTTTCTGGAGCCCCATCCCAAAGCCCTGACCCCTGGTTTCAATTAACATGAAACACCAAACCCGTGGTGTTCAGAAGCACCTTGTTTTTGAGGCCCCCCTTTTGGTTCTTTCCGTGTTTTTTTTTTTTTGGCAGGGGGTCATCAGCACCTTTTTCTCACGGGGCCTTGGAGCCTGGGAGCCCAACTAGGGCCTTCTTTAAGGCTAAAACAGAAAGCTCATTTCGGCGCAGCCACATGATCTTCAGCACAACCTCTCACCAACAGGAAGCTCACACTGCCATGTCCGTACAGAACCCCTAGCTTTAGCTCCCTCTTGTTCTCCCATCTCCGAGTCCGGCTCCCTTCCAACCAGCGGCTAGTTGTGTGAAAGCTTGGGATCTTGGGAGCCAAGCTGGGGGCTAAAGCGAGTCCATGTTGTTTTCATTCAGAAACCAACCCATGAGTCAATGCGCATGCTTCCTCAGTGGGAAAAAAGGTATGAAATCCAGTCTGAAATCCTCAATGAGCATGCTTCATGAACTTTGCCCATCCACTGCAATTTCGGCAGGAAAAAGGCCACTGAAAAGGTTCCACTACTGTCAAAAGGTGATCCCCTTGAATGGTGGCCACACAGACACCCAATTTTACCAGTCAAGGCTCGACTGCCGGTCTCTCCCAAATGGTTGGCCACAAGATTGGTATCGCAGCCAGCCCGAAGTACAAAGAAGAAACCAGGGGTTCCACAGCCCCGAAACTCGTTCACCAGTGCAGCTAAAAAAAATAAAAATGGTCTTCTCAGAAAGTATGTGGCCCTCCAATGTGGCCCTTCCAATGGAGCAGGCTTCTTTTCATTGCCCCATGGCAGAAAATCCTCCAAGCAAAGCCCAAAGTCCGGCAGAAGGTGGCACATGACTCCAGAAGACAGCGTGTGTAAAGTCCAAGCCAGGCAATGTCTCACCAGAATTCGCGCCGGGTTTCCAATTCAACTAGCTCAACAGTAGTGACAAATTCCTTTTGAAACCAATAGGGGAAAACAACAACATATTCTTAAGCAAATGGAAGTAGGCCACGAAAACAAGTTCCCGGAAGGAACGCACACCAAAGAAAGCAGCTCACGTACATCAATCTGTCTAGCCGTGAGCCTTTTCAAGACTCGGAGCAATCCTGAGCCAAGAAATTTGTGTCCCTAGATAGCCAAGTTGCGATCGCCTTTTTCAGTCACTGTTGTTGGTTTCTGGGGTAAAGTGGATGGAAAAAAGCGATCGCAACTGGCGATCCAGGTCAGATGAATTCGTCAGAGATCAAAAAGGTTCCCCGCAGGTCCTTCTCCAACTCGCCTAATCAGGGAAGTATCCATCAAAATGATTAACGTAGCAACAGGCCCAAACAAAAAAATCCAAGGAAGGCGCTTCACGGGAGAGGTAAGTCAAAAGGCACTGGATGGCATCTGAGTGGTACATGAGAACTGGGAACCCCAGAGCTAACCCCTGGTTGATTTTGAGAGATGGGGGAGCACCCCCTTATAGGGATTCAGACCGCTTTTGCATGGACACCCCTATTGATGGGACGGGTTCATCAATCCGGGGTCAAGAATAGTCCGGCGAAGTCGGGCTAATCCAAACTCTGAGGGTGTTTTGTATTACGCCCTGGGATTACACCCTTGGGAAATGACCCAGAATGGTTCAAAATAACACGGTTTTATCCGGAAATGTGCCTAAGTGGGGTCAATACCCAGTGGACGTATTCCCAGGTTGTAATACAAAAACCTTTAGACAAACTGGGAATCAAATCTGAAGGGATTGGCCAACCTAACCCCAACAAAAGTTGAATCCACGCGCGGCCTTTTGCTCGCAGCCTGCCTCCTTGAGCTTGGTCAGCTTGGCAATGAGCTGACGGGTGTCCGTTTTCGCAGCTTCCGGCGACTGCATGAACTCATTCGCCTGCAGAGCTTGTGGTTGTTTCTTTGGTGGGGGGGTACCAGCTGTACCCTCCCTCCATATTTTTGGCGGGTTTCAGGAAAAGCCAAAATTGGCAAACCGCCATTGTGCGTTCTTCTAGACTTCCCCAACCGCTTTTTGGGCATCGCACTAAAAACAACCAGCTCCGTGGCTTTCAGAAAGCAATCCCATGCAACACAAGATCTAGCAGCCCTGGAGCCCTTTCAAGGGATCCGGTTGTTAAACACATGGAATCCAAGACCGAACACCAGGAACACTCTTGAGCCTGTGCTGTGCGGGATGGGAGTCGAACCCTCTGCCAGGCCCAAACACTGGTAAAAACACCAAAATGATGATGTGTTGCACTAAATGGGAAAGTTACCCATGGGTATTTGGAAGCCAATAATATTGATCAACCCATGCTACGAGGCCAACAGACCTGCGAGCCGCGCCCGTGGAAACCATAGGTCCTCCAGTAGCGGGTTTGGAATAAGGGTACCCCTTTTTTTTTAGGTAGTCAGGTAGTCTATTTTAGTAGGGGAACCCAAAACCAACCAAAACCAACCAACCATTTTTTTCGGTAGTCTATTTTAGTTTAGTAGGGGAACCCTTTCCCAAAAAAGTTGGTGAAAGGGCACTGGGGCAGATTCGGAAAGGACAGCGTCGCAGCCTTTTCTTTGCGCCCATCTTCAAGCCTCAAGCAGAGAGCCTCTCCGAGGCTGGCCCATGGCTGGCACGAAAACATCGTTCTTTGGGGAGCGTGTGGCTTCGGCCTCACGTGTCTTCCGTTTGCTTTTTCGCCCCCCTGGAAAAAAAAGAGAAACTACAGCATGTTTAGTAGTGAAATCGACTCCCTTTAACACCAAAAGAGGAGCTTCTCGATCCTTTCAGCAAATGGAAGGTTTTGTTTCGCAAATCGACCGACTGCACCGATCTTGCTATCTCATAGCTGCAGCTCGCGCTCTGCGGCGGTCAACATCGAACCTCACCACAGGCTGCCTGCACGAGGGACACAAGGCATTGCGGTTCATCACCTCCCGAACGCACTGCTCGCAGTATTGCCAATGGCCACAGGGCTGCAAAAGAACATTTGGTGGGCGGTGCAGGCAAATGCCGCATTCTTCGCTCTCAACTTCCTGCAGTTGCACGCTCCCGTTGGCATCAACGAAAATCACATCCCCGCGAGAAACCCTCTGGTTGATTTTAATGCTTCTTGATGGGTCCTTGATGGCAAGCACAAACATTTCATCGTTGTCTGACAGCGTTGGAGGGTTGAGCTCTTCTGCCATCCCCGCATCGACCAGGCACTTCCGCACGCCAATGCCCAAAGTAGCGCGCCACCAATGATGGGTATCCCAAAGACTCGGGAAGCGCAACTGATCGTCATTGCGCACGGAGGCTGTGACGGCGTTTGCTGATCTATTGTAAATTGATATGGGCAGTAGCTTTGAGTTGGCTGCTTTGTCTCGCAATGCCCATTCCCTGGTGCCGTAGGCAGCCGCTGCAAGAGCAAGAAATCCCACTGCTGCAGCTCCAGCAGCAATACCTACAGCAGCCTCAACTGGGAGGGAGGCGGTTGTGGCCACTGTGGCAGTAGTGGATCCCCAGGGAATGAACCCAAGAAGGTAGGTCGGTGTAGTCACTGTTGTGAGCGTAGTTATGCTCGCAGCACCTGCTGCAATGCCTGCCGGCACGGCGCCAGCCACCGCACCAATTGCACCACTCCCACCGATGGCTGCAACACCCTGCCGGACCTGCGAACTACGGGATACTTTGCCGGGCTCCCAGCACTGCCTCACGAAGTGTTCACAATTGTTGGTCAAAATGCGAAACTCCCACACCGCACCGACCTGCTCACGGGCACGCTTGAGAATGCCCCGCGCCTCTTCCTGCGAAGAGGGAGTCCTAACAACTTGAGGTCGCACTGAGAAATCCTGCTCAAACTGTCTCTTCCCGGTTCGAGCCACCGTCCACTGACCAGGATGGATTTTGTCTTCCACGACATGCACATATTCCTCCCTATCGCGGTCAAATATCGCATGATGATCGAATGAAATGTGTCTCTTACTCATTGAGCCGCTAACGTTGCCGTTGCTCGTCCTGCCAGACACCACTGACATGTGCAAGCACGGCATGATACCCGCGCTTGCTCTTTTCAGATCATACTCCCGACGACGATAAAACGCCTCTGCCCTCACATCCCCAGCAGCCATTGCCATGGCGGCAGGCGATGTTCTACAAGCCGAGTGTATAGGCCCTCACTCTAGTCCTTATGCAAAGCTGGCATTGGCAAGCCGAGTAAAGCAAGAGTTGCAAACATTGCAGCACGGCTCAGGTTCAAGTGTCTAATGAACAACTGCCGCGCGACTCGAGGACAAGCATAGAGCCGACATTCAAGACCATGAGCGCCACGAATAGACTCAAACATTATTCTTCTGTCAAAAACGGGCCTCGGTACCCCTTTTTGTGCTGTGAAAAGACACCAACAAGAACACCATTTCGGGGAGTCCGGACAGCTTTGCCTTCAGCTTCACTTCGCCCCAGAAGCGTTGCCTTCAGCTTCACACGCACACACCATTTGAGATTTAGGAATCGGACCCCGCAAAAGGCGCAAGGGTTTCCTTTGAGTTTCCCTTACCAAAAGAAATGGGCATCCTCCAAAGACCCACACACAAAAATCATTTGGGCCGGAGGGCTCCGCGTGGTTGCTAGTGTATTGAGAGACACTTTTTTAGAAGACTCATGTATCTTCGCAACCGTATGGGAGCCAACAACTGTGTGCTTTTTGCAGCGCCTTTCGAAGAATTGGCAGAACCAAAAAACAAAACAACAAAATACCAACAGATTGCCAAGAACAGTGAAGCCATACGAGTTGGTCTCTCAAAAAAGCGTACCCTGTGGTCGAATCGATATGTTTCCCTTGAACACACTTCCCTTGGCTGAAGCACCAGCCAGTGATGTGAATAAGTATAAAACTATCTCTGAGAATACGGCATGATTCAGGGGCCCAGGGGGAAAGGACAGCCGAAGGGTACCCATTAAAATAACGGGGTACCCGCCAACCCGCCAGGACAAAGGTGACACCTCTGCATGCTTCCAATTCTTTCCAAACCTGAACCCAAAAGGCAACCCACTGAAAAACAAGCAAAACCACACACAAACACATGTGTTGATATGCTGGGATTTGCTTAAGCCCCCGGGAAAAAATGAAAATATTTCCAGTAGTGAAGTCGATTCCCTTTAAAACCAACAAAGGGGAAGAAAAACATATATACATTCTTAAGCAACTGGAAGTACACAAATTTGTGTGATGCGTGTGGATCTCGGCTTCACGCCTTCCGACACGGGGGGAACCGGGCGCAAGGCGCCGGACGGCGCCTGGCTGAGCGCCGCTGAAGCGCTGTGCAGCGTCGCTGCATCGGCGCCGCAGGGGCAGGCCGCGGCCTGAGGCGAAGGCTTCCACGCGTTGGGTGGCGTTGCTTTTGTTGCCCACGTGATGTTTCAACCATTTCAAATGGGTGTGTCTTTCTGAGACCCCAAAATGATGGTGTTTGGTTTTCCCTTAAAACCTAGGTCCTCCAGATTGGACTGACCCTATACACCATCCCCGGGCCTCGGATTCCTTTCTTCGGGCATCCCGAAAAAACGGTGCATTCCATTTCTCATTCCCTACCTATCTCAGCAACAAGAAGAGCCGAGGACCCCCAAATGGGTGTGTCTTTCTTAGACCCAAAAATGATGGTGTTCATTTCGTTTCCCCTTTGTTGCCTAGGTCCTCCAGATTTGAGAGGTTGGAAGAAGGGGACCAAGTTTTCTCTGTTTTGTCTATTTTAGTAGGGGAACCCTCCCCCAAAAAGGGGTAAAAGGGCACTACTGGGGGACCTAGTTGCAGAAGTTCCTAGTGTGGATGGTGGCGAAATCCATTAACTGGAACCAATCTACACATGTTCATCTTTGGGTTGGACTTTTGAAACCATGGTTGAAACCATATCGCTTGTTGGTATGGCCAAGGGAACCGAATCATCCCCGGATTTCTTAGGTGGTGCGAAATGGATTTCGCAACCATCCACAGTACCAGTCTCAGTCTTGGTTGCCCCTTAGGGACCCAAGCAAAGCAGAAGCATTACTGTGCCCCAAGTGGTGTTCTCAAAATTGGCAAGACCAGGATTCTCTAAGCATCACACCAAAAGTGCAATTCGCAAAGGGGACGGAACATGTTGTACTTTCATGGAAAATTGGGTTGCCCCCAGGCAGCTTTGAAGTTGGGAGCTGGAAAGGCTGGAGCGCCGCATGCCGCATGTTAGCTCGAACTGAACTGGCCACGCCTCAAACATAGATCCTTCCCCCGAACTCTCACAGCAAAAGAACCACTCCTGCAAAAAGAAGTGCACACTTTTTGGGCCACCACTAAAATAAATGGAATGTCACCAAGGAAAAAAAGGAAAAGTGCGCCAGCTGGCTGGGTGAGCTTCTTCTTGCATCCCGACACGCGGCCAGCACTTGCCACAACAGGGGAAAATTGGCCACGTACGCCCCAGTTCCCGGCATGGGTCGCCTCTTCTGGCAGCCAGGCGCCGCAGGCGCAAAGCAGCACGCCCTGCGCCTCCTGCGCTATCAAATAATGAGGACTGCATTTTCACCCGTGTAGAAAAAAACGAGTCCCCTGCAAAGGGAGGGCCTTTCGTTTTAGGGGGGCTCTCATATCTGCCTTTGGGGGGCCCATTATTTTGGTTCAGGGGCCTTTAATGTTTGCCAGCTTCAAGGGGGCAACCCTGGCAGACTGAACACTAAAGTGGCGTTGTGGCAAGTCGCCATCACTTTGCTTAAGCCCCGTGGACAACATGTTAAACATGTTAGTCGGCACTAGGTCCCCTTGAAAACCAAGAGAACCCCATCCAACCATAGGTGTCCTTTTGGGACAACACAGATGGCCCTTGCAGATTATGAAGCAACCAGATCAACCATCGTCCGGACCCCACAAGTCAGACTTAAAATCGAGGTGTTCCTTCCTAAACGGGGAACCCCCTGGTCCTCCGGCTTTGTCCGAAGTCAGTGAAAGACTCGCCGGCGCGGCAGGTTAACAATGAGAAATGGACTGACCCCATCTACACCATCCCCGCATCGGACTCCTTTTGGGAATCCCTACAGGTGCACTCCATTCCTCCTAGGCCATCCAGTAGAGAGGTTAGAACAAGGGTACCCTTTTGTCTGCAGTCTATTTTCGTAGGGGAACCCAAAACCAACCGGGAACCCAGCTGGGGGACATAGGAGCCCAACCCACCCAAACGCCACCCCCAAATTCGGCGCGTGCCACCTCGCGGCAGCGCGCGCAGTCGCAGTCGAAGCCCTTGTGCCGCAGCTGCTCCGATCGCGCGGCCAAGGCGTCGCTGACCGGGACGTAGGAAATCAGCACCTCCGCGGCCTCCTGGCAGAGCCCCAGCCTTCAGGTCTCCTCTGACTCGGCTTCCCTCGTTGTTTGGTTGTTTGGAGCCTGGTGGCTTGGTCCTCCCCTCATCACGTAGTCAAGCTTGCCAGGTGTTCTCAAAGCTAAAATCCTATTTAGCGGCCCCAAAAGGTGAACCTGTTATTTGTAGTTGTTTAGGGGCAACTTGGTGGTTTGGATTGGTGGCTCGGGGATTTGAATCGCTGGTTCTTGTAGAGGGTAAATTGGGACACCCCTCCTGAGCCAAATTCAGGAGTCACTCCTGCCACCTTGAGAACCCTGCAGAATGAGCAGGATAAGGCCTGCTTACGTCAAGCTCCCGATCAGCCTGTATGTAGTAGTAAAGGAAATCCACGACGCTGCCAAGCCTCTGCTACCGCGCAGCTTGCAAGATGCCCGACTCAACGGAAGTAGTCAGAGACACAGAGAGACACAGTGCATCTTTTTCCAAGACCCCTGCTGCTTTGGCAGGTCCACTCCAGGCATTTGCAAGACCCCTGCTGCTTTGGCAGGTCCACTCCAGGCATTTGAGGAACCTGTGCATGGAAAACCCCGCTTGGTTGGCAGTTCCCCGTTCCCCAGAAGGTGATTCCAAACGGAACAAGCTCCTGCGAGGGTGACGCTGGGTCCTGAAAACCAGTCAAACTACAACTGGCCAACGAACATTCCTAGTCTATGCAAAGCTCTCTGTTTTGTCCGGCCTGACCCCAGCCTGTTGATGTCTTGCAGGTGGCCGTCTCTGTGTCTGCGTGTCTCTGTGTCTCTCACTCATTTTACAGGGCAACTTTTGGGTGGATGCCGCTTTGCCCATTGCCAGTTGGCTGTGGGTCAAAACTGGTACCATTTTGGGGTAGGTGCACCACCCAGTTTAGTCTATTTTAGTGGGAATTGGGATGCTCACTGGGGGTACGATTTCGATTTTGACCCATGGCCAGTTGTAGTGGGAACCCCGGATCTTCTCCAGAATTAGCTCCCCTCTTTGATCTGTTTTCGGCTTTTTTTGGGGGTCCCCCTTGGTTTTGACCATTGGGCCCAGTTTTCTTGGCCGCTGTGCCCCCCCCTCGTCTCCTGGATCTCCGTCAAGGCCCGGACCACCGCACAGCTCCGGGAGCAATCCACGAAGGCGTTGGGGAGGCAGCTGTGGTTCAGCCGCGCCACGCCCAAGAAGAGCGCGCACCACTCCACCTGCGTGCCACGAATGGAATGGGCCTATCCGCTTCCATGGGCTTGGTTGCTGCAACGACCCCCCTGCAAAACGTCTTAACTTGTTTGGGGGTTTGGTGGAAAACACCTTGATCTCCCAAGTCGAAGTCCAAAGATCCAACCCAATAGCAGTCAAGTGGGGAGGGGCCTTCTGCATCCCTTCACGCTCATCGGGCCTTGTTATATGGAGGGTCATTCTCGGCTATCCAGTGACAAACCTCTCTATGGCCCCCCCCTTTAGGGTCCATGAAGCTTCCCTACAAGGAGTTCTGAACCTCAGAAGATCAAATAAGGGGCCGGGCCGAGGCTCAGGTGCGCAACTGTCCACGAATCATAATGGCCTGCAAAAGGACTCCTTCAGAGCTTTTTCTCAGGCCCTGTCCAGCCAAACTGGCGGTCCATACCCAGGTAGGGATGCCGTCCATTTGCACACAATGTAGCGGCAATGCAACACCTGGTGTTGTTGACCCCTTCGCAGAACAAGTAAAGCTTAAACTAATCATTTACGGTTGCCCGAGGTGCTACCAACTTTCAAGAAAAGTGTCATGGCATGTGTCCTTGCAAAGCAAGAGGGGAAGACAAGAATCGCTTTGCGTGAGTGGAAGTCTGTCAAAAGAAAGAAACAAACATTGCGGACCCCCTTGACCGCACAAATTGAACAATTGAAGGGTTCCCGCCAAATCGTTCCACAGATTTCCCAATGTACACCGTTCTGCCCGTCCCAGAAAAGCAATCGGTGACCCAATCGATTCGGGTGCAAATCAAAAAAAGCGGACCCTAGAGGTGTCCGTGATGTCTTTAAAGGTTTATCAATTTTTACTGATGGGTTACACCGAAACGATCGCCACTTTTGGAGGCTCCAAAAAACGATACGGAGGAATCCCTGCAGTGTGAACTTCCCTCAGCTGGGAGTCGTTTACGCTCGGCCAAGGTTGGAAGCTCGGGCTTGGAGCTGTACTGAGTACTAGGGTTGTAGGGATCCAAAAATGGTTGCTATCCTCGGGTTTTCCTTGGTTTCCGTTTTCCGTTCAAGATCCAGACTTCAGGGCGCCCTCCAAACAAAGAAGCGCTCAAATGAAGCCGTCATCTCACGATCTGCTTTTTTTGCTCCCGAGCGGCGTCTCGAGTTGCATGAAAAACGTTGTTCTGGATCTTGCCCAGCACGTCGTCAGAACCAGCGCCGTGCGTTAAGGCCATGACCTGCAACGATTGCATGCCCTGACCCCAACGTTTTTTTTGATGCCTGGCCAACTCTTTGTATAGTAGCAAGCAAAAAATGTTTGCAGCCCCCCCCACTAAACATGAGCACAACCAAACAACCTAAAACTCAAAAACACGCAAGCAGTGAAGCGTTCATGTTGCTGTTTTGTTTGGCGTGCGGAAGCCACCAAACAAAGAAGCACATGGGCAGCACTGAATCACGAGCTGTGAGATGACTGGAAAAATGTCTACTTCGTTTGGAGGACACCGCTTTTCCATGTTGCACAAGTGAAGGGTCCTCTGCACCTGCGCTGATTGCGTGATTGCGAAACTTGGTTGCTGATGATTCCTCTGCAACAAGCTTACACTTTTTGTGGTCCAACGGAAAATCCACTGTTTCCCGAAATGTCAAAGTCCAATCAAAGATCCAACCAAATAGCCGTGAAGTAAAAGGGTGTGTGTTTGACAACCAAATTTTAGGGTCCTTCATTATGGGTCCCAAAGTCGCGTGTCCCCCAATCGATTGATATACAAACCTAGGTCCTCCAATAGAGAGGTTAGAATAAGGATATACCCTTTTGTTTGTAGTCGATTTTTTAGTAGGGGAACCCTCCACCAAAAAAGGGTAAAAGGGCACTACTGGGGGACCTAGAAACACATCTCCACATGTTTGATACCAAAGTGGGCTTTGCCCATGACTAAAATTGAAATCAATTCAAATAGGATTCCGCTATCACAGGATTGACTTCAGCCTCAAGCCCCAGTCTCTGCACAAATCGCGCTGCTTCTACAACCAAACAAACACTAGAGCTTGTGCTCCTGGTAGGGTGGTTCCCCTGCGAGGATTCATCGCAGTTAAAGAGGATTCCTCCAATGGTCATCCGTTTTGTTTAGTTTTCCAAGCCTCACATCACGCGAACCAACAGCAAATCAAACAAAACAAGACAAGCTCGCTTTAAAACGGGGTACACCGTTACACCAAACATATGTGTAAATTCCGGTGCATAGTTGGTCAACCTGAACATGAACAATCTTTAAGATGACCCAAGGTGCTTGTTCTTGGACCTTCCCCGCACCAAAACGATTCGGATCCGTTGGGCGCCTCACTGCCCTCACCCACTTGTGCCGCCAGCTGAGCTACGTCCTCCTCCCCCACGAGCGCCGAACATCGCGCGCGGTCGAAGAGAAGCGCCTGCGTTGCTTCACGCGACTCGCAGGGTTCACCCGCATCTAGCACAAAAGCGGGCACTCCCCCGGCAAAGTGCTCAGCTTCCATGATTGTCAGAGGAAGGGGTAAGTATATAGTTGCTTTCTATGTCGAAATAGGGATTTTGGTTTTTCCCCAAAAAACTTGGCTGGAATTAGGACCCCAGCAAAACAAAAAAATGTTTGAAAAAGGGGAGCTAATTCTGGGCAAGAAAATAGGTGGCTTCCTTTTGGCTCCCCTACCCTGAAAACGGGTACCCTCGACAAAGACACAAATCCAGGATCTGTTAAGGGGCCCTGTGCGAGAGTGAAGGAAAAAGCCACACATGATACCACTGAACTCACAACATCTTCGTTCGCGAAAAGAGCTGGGCCGAACGCTGTGTAAGTCATGGTTTGGACACCCCCCGACTCCAAATACCCACTCTTTTCAGGGTATCGGTTTGAAGGACCCGGCTTCTTTAGGGGTGACATGCCTTATGATACTCTGAAAGAAAGGTGGGTAATTAAGGGGGATCAGTTCAATCATGATGCCTTAGCCTTCCTGGCAGGTGGCCAACCGCGGCATGTCCCACTGTCAGTGCCCGTCGGAGCTCCGCCAGTGGGTGCAACAACACGCGAAGCTGCCCAACCCCACACTCAGTTGCCAGGAGCTAGAGATAAAGGGTAGACCCCGGCTGTCTGCTGTCACAGTGGAACCCAGTGGAGGCTCTGGTTTCTGGATCGTGGCAAACAAGGGTTCCCACGATAGTTGTCCTTGAAGCATCACCTAAACCAACGAATGCTCCCTGGTGATCAAATGTTGCAACAATGATCAAGATTATGGACCGAATCAGGGAAATTAAAAAATAAAAGGTAGATCCGCCTGAAGCAAGTGGGTGCAACGAATCCCTTTTGACCATGAACTCATACTCAGCGATCTCTTCGAACCCAAAACCTGACCTTGAGGCCTAATGTTAACTTCGGATACATCCGGACCGCTCGAATCAGGGCTCCGGATTCCGAAGATCATAGCAAACCTCATACCGATCCATTTTATTAGAACAGTCGCGCCTCGCCCCCTACATTGCACCTGCAAGGATGCTTTTAGATGCCACTCTTTTGGGCCTGGTTTTAAGGGGAACCTATATAGGGACCCCGGTCTGGTGTCACGTGGCTAACATGCTGGGCCTGGCACTTTCCGGAGCCTGCCTGTAGGACAACTAAATGGCTATGTCTGGAATTCAGGCAACCTCGAAATTGGCTGCTGTTGCTGTTCGGTTAGCCTTTCAACTCCTTAACTCCTTGTTCCCTGCTATAACCATTGGAAAGCATGGCACCCCCCAAACAAACACACACCCACATCAAGTGACCCCATCCCGCTCTAAGCAAAACCCACGCCGAACACACAAGAGCGACCCCATGCCGCTCGTGTTTTCGCCAAACCCCCCGCCTCCCCTCGCTTGATCCGCCGGACCGCGCAGTACCCCAAGCCGCGCTCCGGGATCTCGGCGAGGCGCACGCCGTAGAGCCTGGTGAGCTCCTTGGAGCGCAAAAATGGCTCGGTGAACCCTCGGTTTCCCTTTCAGACATCACGAAAAACAAGGTCCTCCAGTAGAGGGGAGAGAATAAGGGTACCATTTTTTAGTCTATTTTAGTAGGGGAAAAAAGTTGGTAAAAGGGCACTACTGGGGGACCTAGATTGGTGTCCTTTTCAAACATCCCCAAAAAAGCGCTCTCAACACAAACCCGGCAAAAACTAGAAACATGAAGAGCATTTTTGTTAATGAACGAACATCGCACCAGTTGATGGGAGGGTTTCTCCCATTCCTGGGAGGTTCATTCCCGTTTCATCCAGCGTCTGTCAAAAACCCGTCAGCTTCCTTCCTTAAGCAAACGGGTAAAAGTATATTTCCAGCAGTGATAGATCTCTTAACCAACAAGGGAAAATAACACATATTCTTACGCAACTGGAAGGATTCGTTTGGAGGTTGTGCTCTGTTACTCCAAGATCCTGGTGGGGCAGGCTTTGTTGGGCCCTGAGAAAGGGAAACCAAAGGTCCAGGCGTCAAGTCTCCACCTCCGACCCCGATTGTTGCTTAATCCACCGTTAGTGGTTTGGTTGAATGGAAAGTCCTTGCCAAAAAAGATCACCCTGCACGAAACCGTTGAGAGAAACAACCATGTAACAACAAAAGTGAAGAAATCGAGAGACAAAGACAAACAAAGAATGAGGAAAAGCGCTAAAAGGGGGAGACCCGACCAGGCTGCCTCACTCTGGCTTATTCGCCGGAGTTGGCTGTTCCTGCCAATTTACCAGGCTGGAATTAGGACCCCAGCAAAAAAATATCTATGTTGCCTGGTTAGTGGAAAACAAAGGGACGCCAAAAAAGCAAAACAAAACAAAATAACGGGGAGCTAATTCTGGGGAAGTGTATGGCCACCAGTGTCAAAACGTTCCGCAGACATACAGCCTAGCGGCGCCATGCTGGATCATGTGCCTGAGCAGGCTTGCGAAATAGTTTTTTGTTGAATGCTTAGCTCCTCAAACAATCGTCCAAGTCGAATGTCGCTCATTTTTAGGTTGCACATGAGGGAGCTTTGCCGCAACATCAGTATGGCCGGCAATTCACATACAACAGCTGGGTTCACAGAAAATGCGGACAGGGCTTGACAAAAAGAGATCCGGATTGTGAATCAAGCCATTTGTTGCCCTTCCAGTTTGAGCAAGTTCATCCCTTGAGCCTGGAAAGCACAGCTTCTGCGCCAACGAAAACAAGGTTCAAACACATGGAGCTTTGTCTTGGGGCGGGTGCGCCGAATATGTCAATTTTGATCGACGATGCTCTCGTTGCCCAGTGGCACGACTTTCACACGCCACCTAGTTGGTTGCAGAAGGGCGCTTGTGTGCAAGTTGGGCATCAAAACACCTTCCGAAATCTATATTGACCCATTCTGGGACAAGAAGGATTGAGTCACAACTGGAAACAAATCAAACGCGTCAGTGCACAGGGGAGGACGGCTCTCTTCCGTTGCTTTGGCCAAGTGAGTATATTCTCTCAAAGGCCGACAGCAGCGCAATCCACTCAACCACTCAGCAGAGTATATATATATATATATATGTTTTCCCGAAGCAACCTGTGGACGCTCCAAAACTGGAAGAAACGGAGCAAGGGAACCCCCAGTTTGATGCCCCCTAGCTCTGGGAAGGGCCCTTCTGAGGATAGGGTGAAACAACATTCACCGCCCTCGCCCCCCCCCCAAAAAAAAACACTTGGGCCTTTCCTGCAGGTTTCGTGGGCTTCCTTAGCGTGGGTATGTGCAAGGGGGGCGGGGGCAATATAAAACGGTGATTTTCCTGTTGGGTTTACAGGGGCTAAAAGAGTTCGCAAACATATCATGCCCCAAAGAAACGTAATTTCAATCAGTTGCAACATAAGCGTGCACGTGAGCGTGAATGTTACTTGTTGGGGCCCTTTGGTGGACATCAGTTAGATGGGGATTCATGTTCACCAAGCACTGTTCACGAGCTTTGGCAGTTCCCCAGCCACATTCACAGCCATATTTTCTTTTTTAAAATCACCCCACCAATGGAAACTCAATTTAACTTTGCCCAAGTGATGTTTCAACCACAGATGGGTTTGTCTTTTTTGCGGACCCCCCAAAATGATGTTCATTTCTAGGTCCTCCAGTAGAGGGTTAGAATAAGGGTACCATTTTTTAGTCTGTTTTAGTAGGAGAACCCAACCCCCAAGAAAGTTGGTAAAAGGGCACTACTGGGGGACCTAGATTGGTGTCCCTTTCAAACATCCCCAAAAAGGCGCTCTCAACACAAACCCGGCAAAATCTGGAAACATGAAGAACATACTGTTTATCAGCGAACATCGCACCAGTTGATAGGAGGGTTTCTCCCATTCCCGATTTGGTTTCCCCGTAAAACTTTTTCGAAGATGGGCGACTCATTTCAACCGCTGAAAGCTCGCCGCGCTGCTCCAACTCTGCTGCCTCTGGGCCGCCAGGGATCGACATCTCCGCGATCCGCGTGGAATCGAAATCGGAATCTGGATTCCGCCGAAATGGGGCGGCTAAGCCCCCAAAATGGATTTCGATGGATGTCGGCGTCCTGTTGGCTTCCCTTTTTCCACCACCAAAAAAGGGGTACCCACGAAAATGCACACTGGTTCATGCTCAGGTTTGTATGTTCCTGCTGGGTGTCCTCAAGTGACTCAAATCCTGGTTCTGTTTTGACTTTGTTTGACAAGCTGCCGGCTTGCCACATGCCCCTACAACTTGTGGCTTCCTTTTGGTCTGGCGGCAAAGGAAATGCTTTGAGTTGCCAATCAGCTAAACGACGTTCTGTACAGACACATTGGTTGTTGGCCCATGCAAGTCTAAGCTTGGCCCAAAAGCTGAGAGCTCGGGGCCCGTGGTGCGTCCATGGCCAGCGCCCGAAGACTGTCTGACGCCAGTTGAAATTTCTCCTCACCTTGGTGCCTCGAACCTAAATCATGTCCACCAAAGGATCCAACCAATTAAACATGCATACACCTGCCCAGTGACTATGGGCCAAAAAGGTGAACCCTCGAAACCCAAAGGTAAACTTACTAACCCTAGCCCAGCCTTTGGCTCAAACCCATACCACCCCCCTCTCGCTTCCCGACCTGTCGAAAGCAAACTCATTTTTCTGCCTCGCCGCTCTTTAGCTGCAGGCGCAGCCAGCGCGCCCCGCCCGTCTCCGGGAGATACCTGGAGAAATAAAACCCATCCCGCGCCGAGTTGAACGACCCAACAGGTTTATTTCAAGTCTGAGGCTGGAAGTTGCTTTCAGGTGCTCGGTTGCCTTTGTGCGTGGCGTTAGCCGGAGTTTGCGGAGTCGGGGGTGAGGACAATTAACTGCTCGAAGTCCACACATGCCAAGGGGCTAGCGGATTCCAACAAGCCTACTCAATCGGCATTATGTTTTCTAAACCGCTGTTTGCACTGGAGAAAAACACAACATCACCATGCCCTTCTTGTATGTTGTTAAGCCAAAAAAGTTTGCACTGCATCCATATTTTTCCTGATGTTGTTTGCTCAATGCAACTCTGGCAGCGCGAGTTGCATTCAATATAGCTTTCACTGGCCTCATTCTTTTACCATGATCAAAGTCACCCCGGGAAACAACCACATTTTCTGAATTTGACAACCCCAGAAACAGTCAAAGTAGTGACCCCAGTTTCAACCTAATCAGACTCCTCGAAACCTGAGCCAATTGTTTCGGATCCCCGGCTCAAAGTGAGTAGCTAGTGGGGTTACCCTTCCAACATGGAAAGGAAAGCCCCCTTCCCAGAGGAAGGTAGTCTAGGTCCTCCAGATTTGAGAGGTTAGAATAAGTTGGTACCAACTTTTTCAGTTTTGTCTATTTTAGTAGGGAACCCTCCCCCAAAAAAGGGTAAAAGGGCACTACTGGGGGACCTAGAAGGGTACTACTGTCGGACCTAGTAGTCGTTCTACAGGGTCCGCGCACTTGCATGCCAGCCGGTGGGAGGGCAAATGGCAACTACCAGTAAGAACGACTGCAAAGCAAAGGAACCGGATGCCTGGGGCTCCCAAGTAACCTAGGGATTGATTCTGATCATCGAATCACAAGGCACGGTAAACAAGGGACATGGGATGGTCCGAAGTCCGTTTCTCCTCCAAAGGAAAAGTTTTAACCCCAAACCCTAGGCCAAGATGTCTCAAAGGATTTTGAGGGGTCTTGGATGCCGACAAATTGATCCTGCTTTTAGGGGGGGATTGTGGGGGAGAGGACTCCAGTCATTTGCATTGTTCGAGTCTTCTTGCTTCGGCAAATGAAACTCTCTCCTCTTCCAATTTCAACTGAGTGCGTGATGCTGACCACGGATTTAAAAAAACCCGTCCTATTATTACTGGGTGGCTCCCTAAACCATGGAAACAAACGGATGTCGTCCATCAACAGTAGTGTTCTCTCCATCAGGAATGGACCCCCGGAGCAAACACCCCCCCCGAATAATCAACCAGCCAGATCCCATTATGGGGGTCCCGAAGCTTTCGTGCCAGCAAAACCCTATTGCATGCTGCCTCCTACGCACCAGACAAACAACCTGAGCCACTCGGAAGAGTTGCGCCGCCTTTTTCTTCGCCGCTTTCCTTCGCATCTTCGAATCTTTGCGGGATACGCCCGGTCCCAAGCCCGGGTGGCAAGCATAGGCCCAATTGAGTTTGGATCTTTGGGTCGATGCGCAAGCCACCCGGCCCGACGTGTTGGCACGCTTTGCAATGGGAATCCAGGATAAATAACCCTGGAGTTGATTAGATAAGGGGTGTCCCGTTTTAGTGGGGGTTCATCACTTTTGGACCTCCCCCATGAATAGAATGGTGCTATTTCTCCGCGGTTCCCATTCCACGCCTAAGGCAATGCCCAGATTGATTCCCCCGCGCGCAGGGAAGTGCATCAAGACCGGCGCCGCAACGAATTCGAAGAAAACATGTGCACTGGGGCTGGTCTTCATGGCTAGCCCATTGCGAAGGGGGGGCCCTTGAAAAAGGAGGCTCTCGTCTAGGTCCTTTTGGAACGCCGTCCAAGAGAAGCTCTGGCTGTTGGGGTCCGTTTCCGGTGAGTTTCTGTCTCAACACCAGAAGGCGGGAGCTGAGTTTTGGAGAGAAATCCTCACATGGACATTTGGCAAGCGGTCAAAACTGCGGCTCAGTCCTGTTCTTCCTTGACAGCCGAAGCCGAAAGCAACGTCATGCAAACGCCTTCGTGGGCGTGCGCCTTTGCCTTTGCTTGGAGGTCCCGGCCTTACAGCTTAGGCCTTCAGAGCTTGGGGTCTGGTCTCAGGGAGCCCTGCAGGAATCTGCAACTGGCACTAGGAAAAACAACTGAAGCGAAAAAGGGTGTTACCTACGCCATTCAGGCCAAATCACGATTCAACGGTGGCTTGTTTTACCCGCGGTACATGAGATTGCGAACGAGTTGGTGCAATGAAGCTATTTGGGCTCTGGAGGCAAGGATTCCTTTGGAGGTTTCAGCTGGGTCCCAACTACCTCCAGATGAAAGGTTTACCTGCCTTCACCCAAGATCACCCAACATGGAACAGGAAGGTAAAAAAGGTACCTATATGGACCAGTGAGTCAAAAGGACTGCAACTTTTCTCCTACAGTGACCAAACTACTGGAGCCTTTCAAGTTCGGTTTGAATTCCAATAGGTGGGCCATGATTTAAGGCGACCCTCCCATTTTGGCGATGTGTTTTCTCCTTAACCCTCGAAAAGGGAGTACCAAAGTTCCAAAGGCTGAACGTTTTTGGTTGGACAAGTCAGTTCATTGAGCTTACGAAGCAAATCCGCCAGGTGGCCGAAGACTAACAAGTCGCATTGTTTTTTCTCTTTCGAGGGTGGGCGGTATCATGTCAACCCATGACCAAAAAATAACTTCCATACAAAGCCAAGTAAAACCAGGCTTTTCCGGCTAAACCCGCAGAGAAAGCAGGTTTTCTCTTGAGTGGCTAAGCCCTTCTGGACTCTCCAAGCAGGTCTCCTTGCTCGCTCGCCCTCATTGCTCGCAGGGCACCTGCGAAAAACTGGGCTACGGCAGTCAGTTTAATTAGATCCGCGACAAGGGACGACAACTTTTAGCGGGTTGAATGCGGAAACCCAACCGCTAAACACTACAAAGCTGAAAAGCTAAGGGACCGTGGGAAATGGGATCCACTTCTGTGATACCCTGCAAGTTTGCTTCCCAAAGACTAAGCCTCAGGTGACGAGCAACCTGCCTTCAAGCATGAGAATGTTTTTGGGTAAAGCCCTTTTCCCGAACAGCTGAAAGCTATGAGGTTGATAGAGAGGCTCTGGGGTGGCTCGGAGCAGCTTGCAGGCAGGGTTTTGGAGAGGGTTCCGGGGCTATTATTGGGGATGTCACCTGGGCTGACTTTTTTGTGTGTACCGGTACCCTTCTTTGGGTGGGTTCAAGAGGAGGCCAAAGAGAAACCACATGTTGGGGTCCCTATTTTAAGACTCATCCCAATGGCCGTACGCCCTGGAGCAAAAAGGGAAAGCACGTAGTCTCACTTCCGACGTAGATTGGCCAAAACAGTCCAGAAACTCGGGAGTGATAAGTACTCGCTTCTGCCATTTGACCATGGACCCGTTATCAGTTGACCCGTTGACAGAAAATCGGGAGCTTCTTCAACAGCTCCACACGAGTCAAAATCAAAACCTGGTGTAAACATGCTTGACCCAGAACCATGTAAAGATTTAAGAAGGCGGCCGCAGCGATTTCTGGCTGGGATCGTCCCTTACTAACCTTCATCTACCCGGGCTTTGATTGTGGGTCACATGTCAACAACTCGTGGGTTAGATTAGGGGACCCCAATAGATCACTTCGGTTTCTCTTGCTGAAAAGAACGCTGCCCCCCGTTACCCTCAACAAACACACCCAACATTTAAGTAAGGGTGCTTGATGTTCAACAAAGAAAAAGGGGCACTCGGACAAACACGGTGAAAGCCAGATTTAAACAACGCCTGCCGCTAGAGAATTAATTCGAACGCGGGTGTTTCTTTGGATGCAGTAGTCTGATCGACGATGGCTTTCGTAGTTATTACTTCTGTTTGAGCAAAGTGGTTCACGACTCCCTCCCCGAAAGAGAGCAGCCAACGCCAAGGAGAAAGGTGTCAGGAAAAGCATCTTGTAAGTCCTACGTTGAGACCCGAGAAACGGCTCTCACCGCTATGTCCCTGCTTCGTCTTTCTGCACAAGCCGGCGCCTTCTAGAAACACCCGAGGCTGAAGCAATTGGAACTTCATCCTGTAGCTTCCACAAGGCACTCTTAACACATAGGGGAAATCTGGCCTGTTTCAACCAAAAGTTATAGTCCAAAGATCCACTGCCAAATAGCCATACAACCTATTGGCAGTTGATATTCAAGGGATACCCCTCAACAAACAAGCTGAAAAAGGAAGTAGCCAATCCACTTGCAGCTGTTTTCGGAATTGAGACCAATCCGCCAAAACGGCTGCCGACAGTGCGACATCCCTACATCTAAAAGCTTGAAATCTTTCACTTAAGCATCACCCCCACCAAGGGATACTCACCTTTCATGCCAAGCAAGTGATGTGCAAAATCACCAACCATTGGGACATAAAGGAATCGACCACTGGAAAAGGGGCCAAGCCAAAGTGCAAATCAGGAAGAAAGGCCCCTGACCCTTTGGTGGTTTCCATTGACCGATCGTTTCACTGTTGGAGGTTCTCTTGAAAGGGACATGGCATCGGTATTAAACCAACCCCAAAATCTTCATTTGCGTGGTCGCTCCTTGGAAAACATGAGAACATGCATCCAGTAGTGAAAGTGATTCCCTTTAGAACCAAAAAGGAAAAACATATTCTTGAGCAAAAGATAGTTAGCCCTTCACCTGCTGGCAAGCAACCTGCAAGAGCACAGCTCGAAGCTCGCGCCAAGCCTGCGCCCCTTTTCACTGCCAATCGGCACAGCATGCGACGCTTCAAGTTTGCCAGCGATCCCCTCAGCTCCTCTTGCTCTTCCCCTTCTTTCCTTGCCCTGTGCTCCCATCTCCTTCTGCTGCTTCAGCCAGGCCACCGCCTTGCTGAAGGCCTTCTCCGATTCCTTTTCCCCGGGCTGGCTGCCTGCCGATTCCTTGGCTGCGCACGTCAGCGACGCCCAATGGCGCCTTGGGCCGAAAGACCGGCAGCTCCCCCTGGGAGCTGCAAACCTTCACGCTGCGAACCTTCAGCCCGTGGGCCGTGAACCTGCGGTGTTGTCCGTGAAGCTGCCGCCGAAAAGGACCTCAGCTGTCCAGTGGCCCAGGAGAGAACAAATCCCTTTGTTGGGGAAGACCTGTTTTTTTTGTTGAAACTGGGGCAGCCACCCAACAAAAAAAGAAAGGCGCCACTGAACAACTGAGAGACTTCCTGGCCGCCGGGCTTGGAGATCTCGACATACCATTTCTTCTCATCTTTTCTGAACTTCACCCCGGGCACGGCGCCTTGATGCGGCCCTTGACCACCAGCTCCGTGCGTAACGCCTTGGCAGCCTCCAGAGCGGAGGCGTCAGCCGCCACCTCGTCGAGGCCATCCTTGCTGCGACGACCCCCCTGCAAAAAGTGGACAACTTGTTCGGTGTTTAGTGGAAAACGCCGTGATTTCCCCAACAAGGTTAAAGTCTGTAGATCCAACCCAATAGCAGTCAAGCATCTTTCATGAAACGGCTGATGCCAAAATTTCGGACGTGACGCGTGCTGGCGGATTGTTTGGCTTTTTCAGTCCATCGGAGCTGCCAAGTAAACATGGATGGATTCCAACTGATGCCAGGCACTCCGCTCTGCTTGGCCTGCTGCTTGGACAGCATACGCGCAGGCTTCACGCCTTGGCTTGAGCCAGCTGGCAGCAAACTCGTAGCCTGGCCCAGCTGGTCCGGAGCAGCTGGTTGCCCACCCTTGCCAATAGACTCCAAGACCTGGACGCCTTGCATGGCGCCTGCACCACCCGCGGAGGGCAAGCGGTGTGGGCCGCTCTCATCGTAGGCCCAGCCGCGGCCAGCCCAGATGTGGCTGGGAAGGTCCCGCATCCAGGGCCACATCTTCATGCAATCCGCCCCGCGTGCGAAAGATCCTGCCTCCTGCGCGCCAATTCCCGTCGCGCCTCGCCGAGTCAAGCATTAACATGACGCAACAGCACAAGCAAAACAACAAGAGACGAGCTGGATAGTGCGAACCGATGATGCTCCAAACGGCTAAAATGTAGTGAAGGGCCACGTCGAGTGGCAACCATGCCCACACTTGCAAAGTAAGAGAGACGGCATTAAAGTAGCTCATGCCCAAACACACGTGCAACTCGTGGACATTTATATGCAACAAAATGTTGAACCACTTTGCGGCCCTGAGGCCCCGGCGTGTGGGGGCCTTCGTCGTTGGGCTAGTCGCCAGTGGAGCACAAAAAATGGGATGCCCACGCTCGAAGAACCGCCGTAGGCAGCTCAGCTCCTTCTGGGACAAGCGCTGCTCGCAGGGCGGGTCCTCCTCTTGTGGCACTACCGGGTTGCTAAAGAAGACGTTCGCCGCACAGCAAGGCCTGCAAATGAGACCGCGCATTTCAACCAAAATGCGTGGAACTGGGTCCATTGGCGTGACAGCCTCAAACTTACCCTCTAAACTCTAAATTGTGGTTTACCCAGCTAGGTGCCCTTTCTCACCCCTTTTTTGGGGGGAGGGTTCCCCTACTAAAATAGACTACAGAAAATAGTTGGTGCCCTTATTCTAACCTCTCTACTGGAGGAGCTAGAAAATGTTCACCTTAAGGGAACCCAATGGAAACCAGACATTGCCCTCCATTTGCTTAAGTCCCCTGGTGAAAAAGAAAAAAAACATTCCAGCAGTGATAGATTCTCTGTAAAACCAACAGAGGAAAATAAAACATATTCTTAGCCAAATGGAAGTTTGCGTTTCCCCGGGCCTTGCGGACATCCAAGTCGCCCTCCGGAACTCGGTGCACTGCCAGGCCCACGCAGCCATCTGCTGATCCAACTCCGGCTTCGGCGGGGTGGCTGCCTCACTTCCGACCTGATCCGGGCATCTGCAACAGGCATTGATGGCAAGCAGCTGCAGGAAATTCCACCAGCAAGCCAAATTCCCACCAAAATCAGGGGTTTCCTGTAGAACTTCCTGTAGCTGGTTTCTTAGAAGCAGGCATTGATGGCAAGCGGCGCGCGTCTAAGAGTGGAGAACTACCTCCTAGCTGATGGCATTGTCCCAAATAGCTGGTCAAAACGGGCTCGCACGGGGACAAGCAGTACGCTAGCAACATATGAAACGACAAACTAGCATCCCTTTTCCCATATTCATTCATGGCTGGCAGCATTCATCCCGTCCAGCCTCATGTGTGATTCTCGCATGCTCGGCTTTGACCGCAGCGCCAGTTTCAATCTTGCAAAGCCCAGCATCAGTTTCTTCCTTTGAAGCCACCCTCCTTCATGTGTTTCGCATTCATTGACTGCGCTTCTTCCTTCACCTCCTGCTTCAACTTCAGCCAAAAGCTGTGCAAGGCAAGGCGCTCCTGCTTTGTGTCACTCTTCCCGCAGGCTTCGCCCACGTGTGCGTCATGACGCCGAAGGCGTCGACGCTTCAGAGGCTGAACAGAATCCTGGCCTGGCTGGCACTGCTCCTGCTTGATTGGATGCTCGAGCTTGCCGGACGCGTTCTCTGCCTTGATCTTCTCCACCTTCATGCTGCGCGTGCCGCCCACTTACAGTCGATCCAGGTGTGAGCACATGGCGTTCCAGTCGTGGCAATGCTCCGGGGGAGCTGAAACTGCTTCGGAACGGGACAAGCATGAGGGGCTAAGTCAAACAAACCATCACGTTCACTGACACTGGGCCTTTCTCTCTCCTAATCATCCTGCTCACTTTCCAGAATGCCGGGGCAATTGCTGATCAAGCATTCCGCGTAATAAGAACCGCAAATGGGAGAATTTGGGATCCCGGCATGAGCTTCTGTGCCACTTATATCTACTACAAGGGGTCCATACCTGAACCCATTTACGAGGGCGTTCAGTCCAGCAAAATCCGGCCCCAAATTCATCGATCGCACTGGTCGGCAATTGGGTAGCTCAAACTTTGTCTGTAAGGTTTGGCTTTGTACCCCGATGTTTTGTGGGGTATTAAAGGGAAGCCAAAAGGAAACAACCCTTTTTGGGAGGGTCCGATTCCTAAAAAAGACATACCCAAATGGTTTTTCCCAAGGGTATCCATCCCAACTGGAGCGCGAGAAACGCCAGCCACGTGCTGTTCATTGATTGTTGCGAACCTCGCAGACTAACATGAAAGGAACTACTAAGGATGCTCCTTTCTCGCCGTTTTGCACCCTTTTCTTCAGGCAGCTTGGGCCAGCTTGGGACCCAAATCCAATGCAGGAATTGCCAAATCCCTAGAAGAGCGCCCAATAATTAGTGAATCCATTTGGTGTCACGAAGCACCAGACCGACGACTGAGAAGAGGAGAACCTACTATAGAGGCTTTTCTCTGGGCTCCTCGCACCGTCGTTCTTGGCTGAAATGGGGCCACCCCCTCAACCCCAAAAACTGCTTTGCTTGGACCTCAAATATGTCCCGTGGTCAAATAGGCATTCTAAAAGGCTTGGCAAAACATAACTCTTGGACACATGGCCAACGGACTTCTCTCTATGTCAGTTGCTTCATCGCGCTTACTCGCATTTTCTTTCTGGGCCCAAGTCGCTCGAATTCCCCCAAGTGGTGAACATCTGCAAAGCAAAGCAGCGTCATGAAGTTCAAGCAGCCTTACCTTTTCTTTCCCTAACTTGGCCAGTGACCAGCCAACAAAGTGCACACTTTTTGGGCCACTAAAATCAATGGAGAGCCACCAAGGAAAAAAAAGAGGCTCCTTATGCGGCTGGCTGAGTTCAAGGAAGCCCTGGAAAGGCCGAACCTACTCCCTGAAATCGATTCGAATGGGCCTTGGTTAGGCACGGCGCATCCTCAATTTGCGAACCAACTAGTCAAAGCACCACACCATAAGAAAAAGTATTTGCCACAAAATCAACTAAAAATGGTCATTGATCAGGTCGATTCACTTCGCTGTGGGCCTTCTTCCATTTGCGTTTTCGGGGGAAGAACCACAAAACATGTGCAACAGTGATAGGTTCCCTTTAAAGCCAAGGGAAAATAAACATGGTCTTAAGCAAATGGAAGATTAAGGATTACCTGACCCGTTGCAGGCCCATCTCGCAAAACTTCGGCCTCTGGCTCTTTCTTCGCTGATTCTTCCACCTGGAGTCTGTCGAGGTTCCATGAGGGGGTCGGATAGATGCACCCCGCAACTTGTGGTTTGGTTCGAGACGTGATGCAAAAGCCGAGGTTTTCTTCCGCGAAAGAGTGGCCCCCATTTGTTTGGCATGCTGACATGAAAGGAGCACCCCCTCCCAAACTTCCAACGACCGCTGGGTGTCCGGGGGCTTTCGGCGTGTCGCTTTCGGCCCTTTGGAACCTCCGGGAGGGTCGCGGCGGAGTTCTGGGGTCTCAAGCAAATCAACGGTGTCCTCCAGTAGAGAGGTGAGAAGAAGGGTACCAACTTTTTTCTTGTTTGTCTAGTTTAGTAGGGGAACCAAAGCCAACCAACAAATGGTAATTAATTAAAAGGGCAGTACAGGGGGACCTAATCAACTCATAGGCAAGAAAAACAAGTTCCCCAAAGGAACGCACATCTAGCCATGAGCCTTTTCAAGACTCGGAGTAATCCTGAGCCAAGAAATGTCTATCCCCCGCTAAAAGTTTAACTTTTAGTGGGTTAAATACGGAAACTACCACTAAACACTAAAAGGCTAACAAGCTAAGGAACCGGATGGCTGGGAGCCACCAAGAAATGAGTTCGTCAGAGATCAAAACGGTGGGGTCCCCGCAGGTCCTTCTCCAACTCGCCTAACGCCAGGGACCTTCAGTGTTTCCCGAGCCCGATTGTGGCGTACAAGTTGGGATCCTTACATTATACACCACATTGCCTTGTAAATAATGGTTCCCCTTTATTTTGGTGGGAAAAACCAGGTTTCAAATGGGCAAAATGTATCTTTTAAAGAGCCCTGCTACAAGTTGGGAACACAAACTAGGGTAAGAGCAGGGGGAAAGGAGGGATTCGGCCCCAAATCAAGCAGAGTGATAACAACCGGTACTGGACAACGCCACCCGCAGTTGCCCCTTCCACATTCTTTCAGCTTCCCTCTCATTGGTGGTTTCGATTGGTGGTTTGGTGGTTAGAGGGTAGTTTCCCATCCATTTACCCTCTACAAAAAGGGGTAGACTAGTAGAGAGGTTAGAAAATAAGTGGGCACCCAACTTCTCTTCGTTTGTCGACTTTAGTGTCGTGGAACCCAAAACCCCAAAACAGGGGTGAGACGGGCACCAATGGCTGGGGGACCTACAAAGAACTCCACGAAGGGCTGATTGCCACCGATCCCTGGTGGCATGTTGTTCCTCCGATCCACCCATGTTTTGTTTACTGAAAGGAGGCTCTGCTCACTTCCCAAGTTGACTGGCCAAAAAACGCTTGAACTTTTTATTTACCACTAAAATTGTCTTTCCAAAAAAAATAAAGTCCACCAACTCAGGAAGTGAGTCAGGGAAACCCAACCAACTCTTGGTTGCTGTAAGGACCCCTCTGCAAAAACCAAAAACTTGTTGTGGGTTCAATGGCAACCCCTTGATTGCCCAAAAAGGTGAAGATGATCCAACCCAACAGCAATCAAGAATTGTCCACCCTTGAGGCTTGCTCACCTGTATGGACCAACCACATCCGTCGCAGACTCAGACTCAATCTCCTGTGAAAAGTGACAACTTTCGGCAGGCAAAATGACAACACAGGCAACAATCGAGACAAAGCCATGCCTCCATTTGCTTAAGTCCCCTGGGATGTAAACATGGCTCTGCCACGTGCCTGAACCTCTTTCTCTTTGCTGCTCGAAACGGTGTCCGGGTCCTGCACGCAGTTTTGCGCGACCAACCCCTTCGGCGGGGCCTCAAAGCTTGGTTGTTGTTGACCCCCCGAAGAAAGTTTTAACTTTTTGGGGGTTGAGTGGAAAACCCCTTGATTTCCCAAAAAGTTGAAGTCTAAAGATCCGACCCAATAGCAGTCAAGAAAG